TATTAGAAATCAATTCGACTGTAGAAAATTAATAAATTTCCAAGTTTTTCTAATTAATTCATGAACATTTATAGCTGCACAGCAAAGTTGAAATTATAGGCAACATTCTTATAGGATGTTTAATTTAATAATTTATACTTACATGAGGTTTTGTATTTCCTGTGGTAAATAATATTGCTATAGAAAAGTATTTTTCTTGCATAATATTCTTCTTATTTTGTAATAAATATATACTAGCATAAGGAAGCGTAAAAAATAAATTTTTTTATTATGAAATTTTATTTACAATTGTTTATTTACAATGTTTTCATAGGCGAAAAATGAATACAACATAAAAAATATTTTGAGAAAAAAAAAAATTATGGACGGGAATCGAACCCCGGTCCTTCAGCATAGCAATTCTCGACCTTTTTTTAACATACCTTTATTATGCCGGAAAATCTTTACAAACATATAAATACAAAAAACCAAAACGTATAAAAGGGTTATACATAACAACTTAGGCTACGAGATCGATGGCTCCAACACGAAACACTCGCTATCTTAGAATTAAAAGCTTACACTACCGCGCTTATCGCTATATGATAATATAAACCTAAGAAGTATCTTATATCGTAACGCGTGTTTGCCTATGTATAGAAAAGCACGAAAACTATACAGTCTTTGATCTCTAGTGGGTAAAAGGGAAAAGGGTCGATTAGATTAATAAATAAATAAATAAATAACTAAATAAATAACTAAATAAATAAATAGGAGGAGAAGGAAGGGAGGGAGGACTCAGCAAGAGGGGTATATAAATTGTATTTATTTCAAGATTATTGTTTACAATATTTATAAGTATGAGCAGTCTGAAACTTACAAAAGACAAAACGAAAATGACAAAGTAGGATAAGAGGGGGAAATAAAACAAAAATTAATCCTCTCTCCTTTGGGGAAATTCTCGACTATCGTCATTAAGCCAAGACTTCGCTTGAAAAATATTGGAAATAAATCTATAATTAAACAAATAATAAAACTTTACTCGCAAATATCTCAAAAACTATCGAGTAGTTGCGACTACAATGATATATTTTCTGAAACTGCAGGACGATATCTACAAACCTGCAAAATTTCAACTAAATCGTTGACTCGAAGGACTTGCACTCTCCTTGTAAAACAAAGTATTACACGAAAATTAAAAACATTTTTGAAAATCCATTCTCATCTTAAAAATTAGGCGATACGAAATACACTGGAAGGCTTATTTCTAAACTTTGATGACCAATTATAGTTATTCAGGAGTGCAAATAATTATAATTATGAATACTCGTAATCTCGGAATACTCTCACCTAACTTGCAACACAACTGTTGGATGACCAACGATTCGTTGGCCCTTAGACACTACTTACAAGAGCCTGGCTGATAAACGCAGACCAATTTCAGAGTCCAAAAACAATTGACTCGTTCCTACTTTCACTAAGGGCCAATGGTCATCTTCACCCCACCAAAAACTAACATTATACAAGCACCCACAAAATTTGCGAAAATTCAGTCTCAGTTCCAGTTTCAATTTCACTTTTAATTCTTTCCTCTCCGTCGACTTGTATTTTTCCAACGGTAGCCTTGTTGCTAGAACCCGTACTGTATACTGAAACCCAGGTTCCAACGCAACAATGAACCTCCCAATATTCTTACTTTTCATGTAATACTTCAATTTAGCTAAAAAGTCGAGCCTTTTGTGGAAAAATTCACATTTTTCGGAAACCGAGGCACAATTTCGATTCCGAATTCGTGTTCAGACAAGTAAACTCTATACGAATCGTGCAATGGACACTACAGATCAGAGGAAAGGTTAAAATCTGTCGGACAGCGTTACCTAAGGAACAAACTTTGACATAGTTTCTCAACGTTTATTCCACTACAACTGCGATCAATTTCTCGATAAATAACGTAAACAACTTGAAAAAAGAAGCGTGCAACGACATACTGAACGAGTCAGTGACGCGACGCAAGCGATATCTGTCTACGACCAATTCTTCCCTGTCTGTGCGCAAGTTATTAGTGTTAAAGGGGTTATTACGCAAGGAATAGTAGTCAGTGAAAACTGTGGAAAAATTGTGTATATCTTTATTGAACGGGCGAATGGTTAGAACTGGCCTGATCAGGGCCTCGCAGGTCAAAAGTCGTCTTCAGAAGACTGGTGACAAAAGACAGAACATTGGGGCAAGAGATCGCCCCCCACACCGCTGGAATGTAGAGTTTGCTTCGCTATTGAATTTTACCACAACAGTTAGCAATTAGTCAATCTACCCCTACGGACAAACATCCCCGGCCTCCCCCATGGAATGTCGCGAAATACCTTTGAAAGGATGATATCGCGAGGTAATCCTCACCGCGATAATTAAAACGGGGATAATCGAATCAACTTTCTCGATTAACAAATACTCGCGAGCAGCCGCGCTTCTCGAGTTCGGTACACTCGAGCGGAATAAACTTCATTTCCCAGAAGATTCGAACAACGATTTCGCGGGTCCTTGGTCGCGCTACACGCGGCGCTGAAAGCAGCCGGGGGCCTCGAAAATCTTTGTCCCCGCGAATTAAAAGCGTACTCGTCGCGATTCTTAATTCGCCGCTCGCTCCGGAGAATAAAGGTGGCACGGTACCTGTTGCGTATCGCGGTAACGGTGTCGAAACAATGCCAACAATCCTGTTCCCTCCGCTTCTATGTATTGCACGCGGAACATCCTTGGACATCCACGGCCGATGCATTCTAAACGGCGGCCACGGCAAACACACCATCGGAAATGAAAGCGCGCCGGTGTCGTTCAAACGGACCTCTTCAACGCCGAGTTCAACCAGAAACCTGTAAACAAGACGTAAACCGCGATCAAATCGCGTCCTTCGTCACATCTGCGTCCAAAGACTTCGCACAGCGCGTTTAATTACGTCCGCGAGCCACCATTTTCCTCGTGCGTCAGCTCGTAACTTCACCGTGGATGTCGCCTTTAGGTCACCCGTGTCGTGTCACTGTGCTGCTTCGCGAAGTAATAAATCGATGTTCGAGATTTACTTCTCGCTTCGAAGACGTCGAGAGTGTCGGCAAAAGAACCGGACATGTCCTCGCTATGTCGAGAAACGACGAGGAAATTGTCAAAAATTGTCAAAAATTGTCAAAAATTGCCAAACACGTGACAGTGACCAAGATCACTTAAATATCGCACGTCATCTTCGTTTCAGCCATGTTCGGAGTAATCCGATAATCGGTGATCATAGTCTCCGTGTGAACTTCTAACGTCTAATGTCTAACGTTCGGAGAATCGTTGTGAAATTCGGTGTGCGGAGCCAGCGTTGGGCCAAGAGAAGACGAAGAGTACGAACGAAGATTGACCCACCTTCAATCGACTGTTAAATACGTTTCGAGCGGTATAGATCGATTCGCCGGGAAGTTGGGCGAATACGAAATCGACGAAGCTGCGCGCAGAATAAAAGATGCAAACGATCAGGTAATTCCGGCTGGAACAGTTAAGAAACTGGAAATTTCGCCCGGCGCTCCATTACCCGAGGATTTAGCGGGTCCATTCAGGGACGGTAGTCGCGATGGAAACAAGTCAACTGCGAAATTCTAACTGGATGGTGAATAGCTTCGGCAATGTTGTTACAGGAGTTTTAACATTATTCCCTAATACCCGTAGACTAGGTCGATATCCGGCATCGAGGCGTGCCCTGCGAACGCGATTTTGACGAGTTCGCGTTGGCGTAAAGTTAGACGGTCCCGAACAACGGCCCAGTTCGCTGGTCCCGAACAACTTCCTTTCAATTTTGCCCCAGTCGATCGACCCCCTTCTTCCCCTCTTTGTTCGCTAGATGGGAATTCGAATTGAAGACCGGCTTCGAGAGCGGCCTGCTGCTCTACAACACCGACCAATCGTCGTACGCCGATTACCTCGGGATCGAGTTGTTCGAGGGTAAAATTCGACTTCTGATGAACAAAGGGAACGGTCCGACCGAGTTGATACACGGCACGCCGGTGGCTGACGGCAAGTGGCATCGGGTGGCCGTCGATTTCAATCCGAGCGGAATCGGGATCACGGTGGACCGTCAAGAAAAAGCGATCACCCTTCCCTCCGGTGGAAATCGTTACCTCGATCTGGCCGACACCCTCTACATCGGCGGCACCGAGCTGAATAAACGCGCCAGGGCGCTAGGCAAAGGCCTTAAGTCCGGTGACGTGAGCTACAAGGGTTGCCTGCGAAATATGCTTCTGGATAACAAGGAGCTCGGTCTACCGGACGTTAAAATCAGCCAAGGTATCATCGTTGGCTGCGTTTGGGGATTTCCCTGTATCGAGGTTGATCCCTGTCTTCCCGCAGCAGTTTGCTCGCAACTAGGTGTCAGCTCGTTTAAGTGCGACTGTGATCAACCACTGTGCATCAAGCCGAATCACGTCGAGGATTACAAGGTAAACTTGCCAGTATCCATCGTCTCCTTTTCCACCTGACTTTTACTTTTATTCTTTTAATTTACATATATACGTATTTCACCGGCATTCTCGATTTCCAATTTCCCAGACTTACGCAAAGGCCAATTTACCCGTGAACTTGGAGATACTCTCGCTGAATCCCCCGCTAGTACCTGAAGGGAAACACGTGCTGGTGACGAGCGATAACATTGCCATGGTGCTAGACATTGCTAAATATGGGGTGGAAGAGGACGGCGTTATCTTCACCTTGGTGACGCCACCCACGCACGGTAGCCTAACCCTGGACCTTTCAACGATCACAACCGACCGTTCCTTCAGCCTTCAAGACGTGAATCGAAATAAGGTAACGTCCCTCTATCGCCTGCGCACCTTGCGTTTCATATATTCTTCGGACGTTCGGGAAATATGGCGAAAGGATACGATTGAAGCATCGATAAGCGATCATCGATGGACGAAAGCGAGCGATTCGATAAGCTCCTGATAGATTGAACGGACGAAAGAAACGTGGAAAATCATGTGTTCTTCCAGTTTGTCATAGGGCCACGAGCTATAGATAGTTGCTGGCACAAGGACTAACTTTAGAACCGTGGGGGGCCACGAAGCGTGGTCGTGTCGTCAGAACTCTCGGTTCTGTTCCTCTTCTACTTGCACTCGATTTATCCAGCTACACTGGTCTATTTATAAACATCGCTACCTCTTATTAACTACTTTTTTCGGAGGGGGGTTAACGTCGAGCCCGAACCGCTTGTCCGTTTCCGTCGAGGCTGCAGAAAGCGGAACTCTATCCCGGGAATGCTGGACGAGGTGATGCGAAAAATCGGAAGAATTCGCGAGTCGATTCGTTACGCTGATCGTCAATTTATAAGCCCGACCCCCCGGCGTGTTAATTAATTTTAACCGTGAACAGGCGACAGATTTAGTACCAGCGATGATTCACCGGCGAGAAAGCGTAAAAGGAATCTTTAAGGAAGTTTAATTTTAAAAACGGCGAGTCACGCGGAAGATACGAGTTTCGAGATATTAAGGGAGTTTATTGGTTCGTTAAGAAGACCGGCGGCGTTATCGTCGGCGAGATTGAAAAGTTCACCTCGCGAGCGCGTCCGTGTCGTGAATAAATCTTGAAATAAGATGAAATAAGAGGAAATAAGATGGAATAAGGTGAAACAAGATGAAATAGGATGAAATAAGATGAAATAAATGTCTCGTTAACTGCGAGTCCACGGGTGATTATTCTTTTTTACTTTGGCGAGAGTCGGCACGTTGGCTCGATGAATACGAGGGCAGACACCCTGATGGCGTTATAACGCGTTGTTGTTACGCGTTGCACACCTTTAACGGCGGCATACATATTCATAAGTTTGCAGAAACATTGTTTGCCACGTGCTACGTTGTCTCGTTATTATGATCAAATTCCTTGACAGATACAATACAAGCACGACGGCAGTGAAACCACGGAGGACAGTATGATCCTGGAAGTGACATTAGAGGCAGGGGCTGGTTACACGTTGGCGGGCTACCTCCAAGGACGACTTAGGTTTCCGTTTCACGTCAACGTTACACCGGTTAATGATCCCCCATCGCTCGAGATACCGACCGCAAAGGTGCTACGACTTGCCCAGGTGAGACGCCGTGATGCGCGATATCTTGGAAATTCTCTATTCCGAGGAAACCTCCGAAGATGCAGCACCTCGAATGCACGTGAACGCGTAACACGCGAAGTAGTCTGTAATGTTTCACGCGACTTCACCGAATCAATTAATGGGGAATTGAAGAAATTGTGGCTTGTTTAGTAATCGTGCAGTGTCTGTATCTTCGGACGTGCAGTCGAGTCGTAACAAAATCGATTTAAGCCGCTCCAGTCGTTGCCCCTAATTAACCACTTAGAGTTGCCATCCTCTTAAGTGAAATAATTTCTCTAGTCGTAAAAATCGATTCTCGCGTGGCATCGAGCTACCTTACGAGACCTTTGGATCGAGTTACGGGTCCAAATCCGTAACGCTTTTATTTCTTCCTCTTTTCTTTTCCTTCGTTTATCTGCTTCGGTTCGATAACCGGATGATCACGTTAGGGTTAAAGATGCGGCATAGATTGGAAATGTCGAGATGGAAATGTAACGATAGCTGTTTAATCGTTCATAGGGCACGAGGAAAATCTTGACAAAAGAATTAATTTGGGCGATCGATGCCGACACGCCGTCAGACATGTTGATTTACACGGTCTTACGTACCGACGCGGATGCTGGCTATGTGGAAAGAGGGACTTACCCGTCGCGACCTATACCCGTCGCGACCTATCGACACGTTTACCCAGGCTGAATTAATGCAAGGATTAATTGCATACGTACACCGCGGAAACGGTAACAGCTTCATCGATATTCACTATGCAAACAGACATTATTGCCGTTTAATTACCGTCTATTCGCAGCTACGGTTTATCAACGATTCAACGGTTCGCTTCGATTACGTTTTTCAGCGAAACCGAACGCGAAGCTGGATCTCCAGGTGAGCGACAGGATAGAAAGCAGCCTGCCGGCGAGTTTAAGGGTGGCAGCTCATCCCTTGGAAATTAAATTGATGCACAATACAGGACTGGTCGTGGTGCATCGGTCCTATTCATACCTGACACCGGCGAATCTCTCCTTCGTCACCAATTCCGACGACAATACTATTGATATACGTTACGACATCGTCTCGCAACCGCAATTTGGCACGATTCAAAAGCTGAAGGACGTCTCGAGCAGCTGGATGAGCGTGGACCATTTCACCAGCAAAGAGGTTGAACTGCACGCGATAAGGTATCTTCACAACGAGGACAGTCCCAATCAAGATGAATTCAAGTTTCAAGCGAGCGTTAGAGAGGTAAGGGCGCCACACGTGTACGATTTTCGGATCACCTTCATCGATCTTGAGCTGAAAGAAACGAAGAGGGTGCCGATTAACTTTACCAACATAGCGGAAGTGAGCGTGACTGCACAAAACCTGAGGTACCAAACGAATCCGCTGATAACCGCGCTCAACAAGATCGCGTTCACCGTCACTACGGGACCAAGGTACGGTAATCTGTTCCTTTCGAGTCGGAAGCTGGAAATCGGCGACACGTTCACTCAAGAGGACATTGACTCCGGCAAATTGAAGTATCGACTGTTCAAAAGGGCCTATTCCACGATTTTGGACGAATTCGCCTTCAAAGTCAGCGCGCCGCAGTGCATCGATTTGCACTCTATACTCAAGTTCAGGCATTACCTCAGTAAGAACGTGAAACCCCTGGACAGCGTGGAAAGTCTGAGGGTCGACGAAGGTTCTAGGGTACCACTGAGAATTCTCCGAACCAATCCAGCAGATAACGGTGTTACGTCACTCACCTATAACCTGACGATAATTCCTCGTCACGGTTGGCTGACGGTCACGAACAGCTCCAAGTCTCACCCTCGAAACAACACTTCCTATTTTACCTCCGAGGAACTCGCGTCCCAGAAAGTCTACTATGTGCACGACGACTCGGAGACGAAAGAAGATTCGTTCCAGTTCGTTGCCATTGCCGCAGACGCGGTGGATTTCATGTACGTCGGTACGTTCCGCGTCGAGGTGATAATGAAGAACGACAATGCTCCGGAACGAATGGTTCACAAAGTGTTTCACGTAGTGTCGAAGGGTGAGAGGTTGCTGACGAACAAAGACCTAGCCTACGTGGATAAGGACATCGATACGAAGCCTAGCGATCTGACTTACACGAGAAGGGATACTCAGAGAAATGGGCTATACAGGGTAACCAACCCCACGTCGCAGGTGTACGAATTCAATCAGCAGGACATCGACGACGGCCAGATACTGTTTAAACATCAGGCTGAGGACCACAGCAAATTGGAATTCAGCGTTACCGATGGGCATTTTTACACGTCCGGCGTGCTCGAAATTCAGGCCAGTCCTCCCTACATCAGGCTGAAGGAGAGCAATGGGTCCATAGTGCAGTTCAATCGATCAGTCGCCCTTCGATCCAACGATCTGGATATCGAAACGAACGTGCACACCTCGGACAAAGATATCAAGTACACGGTGCTGGAGAAACCGAAGCACGGGGTGCTGTTGAAGCATGGCAGAGACACGAGCACCTTCAACAAAGAGAATCTGCGTTACGGTATAGTGTTTTACAATCATCTAGGAGGATCTTTAACGAAGGACGAGTTTAAGTTCAAGGTATCGACGAAGGGAGCCGAGACGGAGGGAGTATTTCAAATCAAGATCTATCCTGAGAGCTACTGGCAACCGTTGATCGTTCAAAACAACAAAACGGTGTTCGTGGAGGAGGCCACTAGTATTTTGTTAAGCAGAAAGAGCCTCGAAATCATGCATCCCAAGATACCGAACTCCGAAATAGTTTATTTTTTGAAAGAATGGCCGCAAAATGGGTATCTGGAGTTACAGATTCAAGACGAGCACAGCGACGAGACGCGAGAGGATTATATCGGAAACGCTGTGAAGACCTTCGACCAGAACATGATCAACGAAGGTCGCGTATTCTACGTACAGTTCGTGATGAATCAGACCAACGACAGATTCGTCGTGGACGTGACGAACGGTATAACATGGTTACGCGATCTAAGCGTGAACTTCGTGATCGTGCCGGAGAAGCTGTACGTCGAGCCGAAGAATGTGGTCGTGATCGAAGGACAGAGTACCATTTTGGACGAAACGAACTTTTCTATTCTCACCCCTTACTACTCCGGCAAAGTGACGGATTATCGAATCATAGATAAACCGAAGCACGGCATAATTCTTGAATCAACGAAAAATTCTCAGGTGAAAAAGTTCTCGCAAAAACACCTAACCGGCGGAATAATATTGTACAAACATAATGGCGACGAGTCCGCAAAGGATTCCTTCAGAATGGTTCTCGTTGCGGGAGACAAAACGAGCGAGCCATTCGACGTGTGGGTTACCGTGGAACCCGTTAACGACGAGGTGCCTGTGCTGGTTAACAGGACCAAATTAACCGTTTGGCAGGGTGGTTCGATCGCGTTAACACCCGATAATTTAGCAGCTGTTGATAACGATACCACTGCACATGATATTACGTTCAATATCAGCGGAGTTAGAAACGGATTTATCTCGTTAAAATCTTCTCCGGATGTGGACATTTACAATTTCACGCAGGAACAAATCGACCAGTCGAAAGTCATCTTTACGCATACCAGTAAGCGCTCTGTATTTTATGATTTGTTTATAAACTTCGCTACTTAACAAACCCTGCGTTCCAGATGGATCCGACGCTGAGTTCAATTTCGTCCTGTACGATGGAGTACATACCACGGAGTCTTATACGATACTGGTGACCACCAGACCGGTTCGACTCGCTATCGAGCAGAACGCTGCGCTTAACGTCTTCCCTCAGACCAGGAAAATGATATCGAACAAGTTACTTTTGACGAAATGCCTGGACGAAAGTCGAGAAATAAAATATACGGTGCGAAATGGGCCGCATCTTGGCAGGATCATCATGGAGACCAACGACGGCGTGTGGTTGAACGTTGAACGATTCACGCAGAAAGATGTCAACGAGAGTAAAGTAGTCTACGAGCATACTAAGCAATTTATGGACTTGACTGCCAATGATTCGTTCACATTCGACGTGGAAGCACGTTTCGCGGAATCCTTAACCAATCAGGCGAGATTACAATCTTAATATTCATAGATAAGGAACGAGAAATAATTCTGCATGTGACATTACTCGTTAACTTTGCTATGCTTTCCGTTGCAGGTTTTTCAAATAGATATTTCGGTCTCCAGTGGTGGTTTGGACAGATACATCTCCGTGAAGAATGTGAGAGTCGAAGAAGGTGGTTCCGCACAAGTCGTCATGAATATCAGCGGGATCGTATCGTTCCTTCAAAATCACGCTGGAATCGAGAATCCAACAGTGCTCTCGAGGCTGAGCAGCCAACCTAGTCACGGTCATGTGATGATCATGCCGGATTTGAATGTCACCACCTTCTCTCAGCCCCAAATCGAAGGTGGAAAGATCGCCTATTATCACGATCATTCGGATACCTTGGAAGATCGCATCAATTTTTCCCTTTATCTGACTCGTGGCCACATCCTCCTGTGCAATACCAGCATTCCAGTAATAATCGAACCTGTGAACGACGAACCATTCAAATTAATCACGAACCCACCGTTCATCACGGTGGTTCAAAACCAAAACCAAACGATCACCAGAGATAATCTGCTGACGAACGATCCAGACACTCCGCCAGAGGAAATAGTGTACGAAGTGATATCTGGACTGACGTACGGTCGTCTGTTGCTCTTACCGTTCAACGAGAATATCTCAGAAGTTCGCCAAGTGAACAAATTCACCCAGCACGACGTTGACTCTAATCGACTGGTGTACGAACACAACGGACCTCTTCAGGCAGCTTCCTTCTACTTCAGGGTATGGGACGGACGTTTCAATCCAACGTATACGGTATTCAAAGTGTACGTTTTACCGATTAAGCTGAACGTCACCGTGCCAGGTCCCGTGAATCTACAGCAAGGATCGAACGTGGCTCTAATTTCCGAGAGCAACGTAAAACTCGATACCAATGCGAGGCAAGACTTGGTCATTTACGAAGTGACGACGACACCAAAGTACGGAGTGTTGTACGTGCGAGATGGAGCTGCGGCTAGCTTTAAACAAACAGATTTGTTGTCAAAGAGCGTGATATTCATGCAAACGGACATGACCGTGTCGAACGACAGCCTCGAACTGACTGCGAGATTAAGCGGATTCGAACAAAAGCACATAAGAATCGAGATCAAAGTGGTACCTCTGATGATCATGAATCCTATGATCGCTTTGGCCGGAGAGAAAACTAGAATAAAGTTGAAGCATATGGACGCCACACCCTTGGCAAAGCTAACAAGCAGCAATCCCATATACACGGTCATCAAGAAACCGAAATTCGGTAAAATAAAGAGGATCATCAGAAGCTCTTCGTCGTCTAGCGAGAAACGGGGAACTCGTGAGAAAGAGGTGACTAAATTCTCCCACCAAGAAGTGATGTCGGGTACAATTTATATGGTTTGCCGAAAAATTCCGACAATGGAGTACGAAGGAGTGATTGATAGCTTCGCGTTCATCTTGACGGCTTCTATCTTCCAACCAGCCGTGGGTGTGTTCGAGTTTCGCGTGAAACTTGACATGGACGAGTATAATAACACGTTAGGCGGTCCAATGGATCCGGTAGGTCACGAAGGCGAAATGGCGATCGCGCCGAACATGAGCAACGACTATTTGTTAATCCTGGGAATGCTCCTCGGCGTATTTTTGCTCGGTGTAGTAGTGATCATCACCATTAGGTGTAGACACAATAAATACAAACACGCCGAAGAGGAAAAACCAGAACCTACTCCAGCAGTTGGCGTGATGCCATTGCCAAGACCTCCGGATCATTTAATGCCCGTGACACCGCACGTAAAACGTTACGCCAATGATCACAACAGCGTAGCAGCCAGTACTCCATTACCGATTCTCCCGACAACGACGTCTACCTTACCTCAGTGCAAGGTGATACCTCTGAATCCCCTGGAGAGTATCACAGGATCCGAAGTGGACGTCTCAGCGAAATATCCGTACGGTGTCGCGGATGGGGATGAATGGAGCAGCTTCGACACGTCCGATCTACCTTGTCAATCGGCTACCACACAAAGGACCAACAACCCCTTGCTAAGAAGAAACCAATATTGGGTCTAGCAAAAGGAGGGCTGTCCGCGATTAAAGCGGAACAGACCGTAACACTTTCTTAAACTTGAAGACTGTTTTTGTTACGAAACCTTGAGACTAATCGTCGATTACCTATGGTCTTAATGTGCCTAAAAATAATAATTGACTCTGCGATGGGGATATTACCGAAAGCCTCGATTTTATATCGAAACCTTGATGGAGACTCTTTTTCCCGACTTACCCTCGTGTATTCGAAGCCTCGATAAGGTGTGCCCGATGACGTTATTACTCGTCGATGTTCTTCATATTCACGCGTACACGAAGATTGTACGTTATCGCTTGTACGATGAGTCGAGCAACAGAGTTTCCATTGACTTTCATTTTTTTTTTTTTTTTTTAGCGAGCAAAACTCGTTAAATGTAAAAGGATACAAACCCAAGACTATCATTGCTATCGTGGATCGAATGTGCCTAAGATATTATCGAGTCTTGTAAGAATTTCCCCACGAGGCCTGCACGATGTCGATTTCGTTGTCTTTTCTCTCGGTTGTACGCCGATCCGAAACGATTCTCGTTAATCTTATTAAGATCGCTTTCGAAGCTCGTCTCAGCCAAATACACGTCCATCGGGACGTTTCTTCTTCGATGCTTCACAGCGATACTGCTCTTGATTGATACGAAATGGCCGTTCCTTTAAGAAACAAAAATGTCAGTGACATACAGTCGATAATATATCGAGGGTAAATATTACAAAAATGATAACCTGAAAACACTGAGAGCACTTAGAAACATTATCAGACGCGAAAGGTTATGTATAATTACACGTAAACTTTTGTAATGGAAAAGACTACAGAGTGGACTGCGTATTTCAGATTTGTATACATACATATGAGAAACACATAGAAGTTACCCGCGACTTTTGTAAAAAATTTACGCGTTCATAGCATGCAGTACGACCAGGAACACTCGAGTTTTCGCACATATCTTTTTACACGATTCCCGCGTATTTGTACCGATTCGCGTCGTACAACGTCGAGTTTCTGAATTCTAGCTACATACATACATCGATAGAGGTCGCTCGCGTTTCATTCCGGCATACGATCTTACCATCCGAGTAAAACGTCTTCGCGTAAAAAGGAAAAAGATTCGTGATAATTATCACTAGTAAAACGCAATTCAGTTCGAACGAATAAATAACTCTGTGCATCGTTGATCGTTTTTACAAACAAAACTTTTTCTACCCCTTTGGAAATGTGTTGTTTTCTGCGCAACAAGATTTATCTCGTCGACGTCGTGAAGGTCGAATTCATCGGATCTTGTCGATCGAATATGAATCCTCTTACGCGAATATTCCGTGACGTTGGAAAATTTAGCGTCGATCGATTTTCTAACAACGACGATACCGTTGAAAAATTTATCGTGAATCAATTTCCCATCTGCAACGAAAAAATTTATTATACCGACCGGCGTATGAAATGCACAACAATGATTCACTCGTTCTTTTCAGTATTATAATAAATTAATAAATCGCTCGATTAATCTATATCAGTTTGTTAATTCGCGCGCTCGTCGACTTTTCGACAAATATTTAAACGTTATGTCTTTTAGGGCTGCGCAAACTCACAGTGACCTTAACCACAATTTCTATAAAAACCCTAGGAAACGTATAATTAAGGAAATGCTCTAACGTCGATGTTAATATAGTGATAATGATAATAATAACGATAATTATTATTATTATATATAAATATATAATATATGTACACTCCTACATAGAAGATACTGTTTCACGAATTCGCAGCATATGCATTAATATGATAGTTCTAAACGTGTGGCAAAATGAGATAAGAAGACGTTTTTAACAAAGATACGTGTGTTGATTAATGAATATGCTAGAAACGAACAGTTAGGCTTTTTTACATCCCCAAAGTGAACCCATCCGAGTGCCAAACTTCTATATTGTGTAATATATAGTTATATAGGACTGTATTTTCCCTGCCGACTGAATGCATTACTCTTGTAATTCAAATAAACTGAATGTGCGATGTTATATATACGATATCATAATCATATGTATACTCCTACCAATAATTAGTTTATTCTCTGATAAATTAATCTCGTGCATTGAAGGAAGAGTATAGATGTTAAATGTAACTTCACATATTTAAGAACTTTTTTTACAACTTTTCAAATATACTTTAATATAAAATCTAATCAATTTGATATTCCAACAATATCTAAAAGATTTGAAAACACAGAAAGCTACCTTACGATTATAACTAGGAAAGCTCCATCTATGAAATCGATTTTGACAAGTTTGAATTAGTAACATTATGACATGACAAAAGTACAGACGAAATTTAGGTACATCTCGTCTGTGATAATACTTGTTCAACCCAATTAAAAATTAGCATACATTTTTTTATCCACGGCTGGGGAGTATCACTTCCAACAGTACCAATTCAACATAAAAGAAAATTGTAGCGTTACAAGCGATTGGAATTAATACTAGGTGTAATTACGAAATCATAAATAAGGATCAGATACTTTACAACTGCGAACACGACATAACATTTTTTATTTCTATAATACTTGCTCCTTCTATGTATAAAAATGAATAACCAGTATAAAATTCTACACTTCCTTGACACATATACGATACACAGGCTCTACGCTTTGGCGCATACTTAGATTTAGTTTTAATTCCACACTAATATAATTTTACTCTATGCTTGATCGGTAACGTTGAAAATAACAAAATGGAAAAAGAATTCTAAAATCCCTAAGACGTGGAACAAAATAATACATCGAGTAATAGATCTATTTTGTACTTCTTCTGTGGCAAAAGTTACTTTCCAACATGGCCTCATACGTGCGGTAAGTTAATTACTTTCGGTTTTTAACCTTCAAAAAACAAAATTAATTTTTCTTGAACAAAATACAGTGAAGTATAAATTATCCTATGTTTAATCAATCTTAATCTTACAAAATAACAAACATTACAACAGTTCTTCGAGCATTTAATTTTATAATTCAATTACGATCACGCTGACGTGTCCATGATAATACCTCGATAATACCTTCGACACGCAATGTTACTTTAATCTGATTAATTTATTTATAAATATGCCATTATCTATTTAAGGCCATTAAAGATAAAAATTGTAGACAATTAATTATATTTGATATATAGTAACACAATGATCTTCTTAGTCCTACAATTATTTAAAAATAAAACGTAATGATTATTATCAAATTCATCATATTTCTTATAACTGAGAAGTTTATACATTTAATAATTCATATTGCAGATTGGGACTATCATTATTATTAATTTGCACATTCCTTCTTATTGATGCAGTTGAAAGAGATTTATTTAAAACATGTGAACAAAGTAGCTTCTGCAGGTAAGTTTTCAATATTCATTTTAATTTCCCCAAATATAAATATGATTATACTACTACTATTATTTAATTATACCAGTAATATTAATATTATATTAATTTTATTAGACGTTGTAGAAAAGTGGAACCTAATAAAACACCATATCAACTTTTACCTGATACATTGGTTCAAAATGAATCCACTATAGATATAGATTTGTTTAATAAGGATACAAGAGTTCATTATGTATTGCAATTAACCGCATTAAAGGACAATACATTCAGACTTCATATCAATGAAAAAAATCCACATCATCCAAGATATGTGCCTGAACATGCTCTTCAAGATCAACCACAAACATTTAAAATAAATTTAATTGAGAAAACTGCAGATCATGTAACTGTAACTAGTGGAGAAAACAAAGTTATATTATATGCTAATCCATTTAGAGTAGATTTATATTCTCAGAATGTATTAGCTATATCAGCAAATGCAAGAGGTCTTATGAGATTTGAACATCATCGTACAAAACCTAAGTATGTATGATGAGAAATTATTTACATATATTGTTTAAATGTTACATGTATTTATTTAATATATTTTTTACCATTTTCAATAGTAAACCAGAGCAAGAGGAAAATGCTGAAAATATTGAAATATCTAATGATAAAGCTCTAGGTGATGGTGCAGATGATGATCCAGGTGCTTGGGAGGAAAGCTTTAAAACTTTCCATGATTCAAAACCTTTTGGCCCAGAAGCAGTTGCTTTGGACTTTAGCTTCCCTGGCGCTGAGCATGCATACGGCATACCAGAACATGCAGATTCTTTTCCTTTAAAGTCTACAAAACAAAATCATCCTTATAGGTTATACAACTTAGATGTGTTTAAATATGAAGTAAATGAGAGAATGTCACTTTACGGAGCAATACCTGTTCTTTATGCTCATGGTAAAGAAAGAACAACTGGTATCTTTTGGCATAATGCTGCAGAAACATGGGTTGATATTCTATCAAGTGCAGATAATAATGTTGTTGAAAGTCTTGTAAACTTCGTATCTCGTTCTACTAAAGAATTACAAGTAGATGCCCATTTTATGTCAGAAACTGGTGTAATTGATGTGTTCTTTATGTTAGGCCCTAAGCCTTTAGATGTATTCAAACAATACACAATATTAACTGGTACAGCACCTTTACCACAAATGTTTACTTTAGGATACCATCAAAGTCGTTGGAATTACAATGATCAAGATGATGTTACACAAACAGCAGAAAATTTCGATGTACATGATTTACCCTTGGATGTTATGTGGCTAGATATTGAGTACACTGAAGATAAAAAGTATTTTACGTGGGACGGACGAAAGTTCCCTAATCCTATAGAAATGATACATAAGTTAAGTGCAAAAGGTAGGAAATTGGTTATAATAATAGATCCACATATTAAACGTGACCCTAGCTACTTTATCCATAATGAAGCCACAAAAATGGGTTATTATATTAAAACCAGAGATGGAAAAGATTACGAGGGTTGGTGTTGGCCAGGAGCAACCTCTTACTTAGACTTTTTTGATCCAATGGTCCAAGAATATTATATTACTCAATATAGTTTGGATAAATTTCATGGTACCACTAATGATGTATACATCTGGAATGATATGAACGAACCAAGCGTATTTAACGGTCCTGAGATAACTCTGCCGAAAGATGTAGTTCATTATGGCGGTTGGGAGCACAGAAGTGTTCACAATATTAATGGACTTCTTTTCTCTATGTGCACATATGAAGCTTTGTTTAGGAGGTCAGGAGGCACACTACGACCATTTGTACTGACAAGATCTTTCTTTGCGGGATCACAACGTCACGCGACTGTGTGGACTGGTGATAATATGGCCGATTGGGATCATCTACGTATATCTTATCCAATGTGTCTATCTATAGCTATTTCTGGGATATCATTCTGTGGATCAGATGTTGCAGGATTTTTTAAAAATCCGGATTCTGAACTATTCATAAGGTGGAATCAAGCCGGAGCTTGGCTTCCCTTTTACCGTCAGCATTCTCATATTGAAACTAAACGACGCGAACCTTGGGTGTTTAATGAAGAAACTGTTCAAATCGTCAGAGAGGCTTTCAGAATGAGATATTCATACCTGAGCAATCGATGATGAAATATTAATTGGCGACTCTATACTTGTACGTCCGGTCTTTCAACCATCTGTCACAGATGTTAATGTATATTTCCCTGGAGAAGGCAAAGTAAGTTGGTATGATGTTGATACCATGCAACCATATCACCAACCAGGCATAGTTAATGTTCCAGTAACTCTTCATAAGATACCGGTATTCCAAAGAGGCGGTTCTATTGTTCCACGTAAAATGAGAATACGTCGTAGTACAGTTGCAATGAAAAATGATCCGTATACTTTGGTAGTTATCGCAGATTCTGCTGGTAAAGCTAATGGCACGTTGTACATTGACGATGAAGCCAGCTTTGAATATCGTCATGGAAAATACTTGTATCTGAGACTTAGTTTTGAAGAAAATAGATTATCCTCAACGTTCATAGACAAATTAACTTCATATCAAACAGAAAGTTGGTTGGAAAGGGTAGATATTGCAAATCCACCCAAAGGAGTTAAATCTGCTGTATTAAAATCACACAGTAAGTAAATCTTATTCTACTAAAAGATGCAACATTTAATTCTATAAATAAACTATAAATTTATTTTCATTTTAGATTCAGCAAAAGTCAATTTGGAAACTAAATACAATCCAAATAACAATGTATTAACCGTGCGTAAGCCGGGTGTAAATATGGGAGAAGAATGGACCATTGAATTAATCCACTAGAATTACAATTTTATTCGTCATAAATTCAATAATCATACATTAATGCCAATTTTCTATTATTCATGTACTTTTGTCAACTATATATGATCAAAATGTCATTGTATACTGTAACAGAGATAAATACAAATTTAGAATGTAAATGATATATCAAATACTTTAGCAAATTAAAAATTACTCTTAATTGTTTAAACAGAAGACATTGTAAAAATATTATTCAATCTGTACAATTTATAATTATGCATGTTAACTTTGATAAAACATATGTATTAGAAATAGAAGCATTAAAGATGTTTCTATAAAAAAGTATTTAAGCACTACTTAATACATTTGATTTTTATACATTTTGTAATTAATTTTTAGTTCCATATAGCATAATGATGTTCCTTTCCTTAATTAAAATCATTTCATTGAGAAAATGTAATTAAAAAAGTTGTAAACTTGAAAGCATAAAAAAGTTCTTTTATTTAATTTACAAAATATTTCGTTAAATTAAATACGCTCTGCAGGTGCTTGTTTGTGAGCTAAATACAAAAACACTATTGATGATAATGCAGATACCAAAAATATAACGTCGAACCATCTATGATAAAAATTAAACTGCAATTCTCCTAAAACTTGAGTTATTATAATTCGATATTCCGCGGGCACGTTCATCCGCATTAAGAGCACAGATGACACAAAATACATTCCCTATAAAAAAAAAAGAAAGACAATTTTATTGAAGGTCAATAAATCGTCTTTACTTTTATCCATGAGAAATAGAATAGTCTTACCATTATTTGTGCAAGAATAAGTACGATAATATTCGAAGACTTGCTACTTGATATAGCATAAAAGAACTGAAATAAGACAAAATAATATTTGATACTTAATATATAAGAAATATTTTCGAACTTCGAATTAAAGAATATTTATCTCATATATACCTTTGTAAGTGTTAACAATAGACCGCGAATTGATGTTAATACAATACAACCAACAAGATAAAAGGAAATATGTTGAGACCAAAATGTAACATCAATATCAAAACCAATCCAATGTACTGCAATTTCAATTGCTCTAGTTACAGGATCCTTTTTGCCCACACGGTCGAAAACGATATTAATCGTCGACTAAAAAGAAAGAGATTTTAAGTTTATAATTTTCTAGAGGTATCCTCCTATTAATACTTACAATAAATATTTTCCAAGTACAATAAACAGAAAAAAAGTAACCTAAAACATTGAAATATTTTCCTTGCCAAGTAGCAGCCCATTCTAAACGTTCTCTTGCATTTTGAATATCATGTGCTTCTAAAAATAATTGTCTAGATAATTCTTCTAATGCTGTAACTTCAATTTGCAACTGTTTTATACCTGTAATTATATTGGATAACATGTATATATTTTATATGTTGTCATGCTAAAAAACATAATACATACTTTCTTGATTACTTTTGGTACCACTTAAAGGGCCAAACATCCCCCAAAGTCGAGATCGAGTTTCAGTTTGTCCTACAACTTCTCCCTTTTTAGCTAATGCTATTCTTTTCTTTTTAGCAACAATCATATCCATTGTTTGTAACAAACGTTTTTCTATAGCCTGTACATCAGCATATGTTACAGGTCTCATAAAATAAGCCATTGAGGTATACGGATAATTTACAGCACCAAATCCTGATAATAGTGCCATAACAGTAACGCCAATAACTCCTATTCGACTAACACCCTGTTCAATAGACAATAGGCCCTTTTTTGGACTTAAAATTGGAAAAGGATCACCCACTTTCCAAAACAAATAGAGATAAAAAAAATATACAATAACTGTTAATGGTCTTATTAATTTCAGTCTTACTGCAAAAGTAAACAATTAGTTAATACATTATATATGAGTCTTATGTATTAAATATAAATGCTTTTAAAATACACATACCAAATCTGATATTACTAATGATGAAATATGCTATGTAAAATGGAATCAAAACAATTACCATAAACAGAAGCATATAAAGTCCAACATTCCAATGAAAATATCTAGAACTAAAAATGTATTATATTTTTAATGTTCAATATAAGAAAAATATCATTTACTTACCTAGAATCAAGAACACCAACTATTTCAAAAATAATTAATTCAAACATAGTACAAGACAGTGAAAATGTTGTGGAAAAAATTAATTGTACTAATCTGTGATGAACCTCATAGTCTCGAAATAATTTTTTTACAAAAAATACCCATCCTCCTAAGAAGAAGATAATCTGCAAGATGTAATGCTAGTAAATAAAAAAGTATAAGTAAAGTGATTAATAGGTCATATCATAGGTACACAATTTGGCTACATAAGATTAACAAATAAGTTTGTTACTTTAAAAAATAAATCACACACTTTTAAACTACCACATTTATTGTAAAATTATTAACATTAATACAAACAATATAAATTATGCATACATTGTACAATCCATTGTCTTAAGGGATACAATAATATACTACATCGTAATAATTTAATAAATCTATGATGACGTGTCTCAGTATCATATGAAATTTCAAAGTAATTTCATAGAACTTAGTTTACTAATTTACGTTTCAGACAATGTTTATGAAAACTCGATGTTATAGAATTTACATTATTAATAAAAGTAATGTTTCATTAAATAATATAAATGTTACAGTGATAAATTCATAACAAAAATATTAATCACTCATAACCTAATTGTGTAACATCTACGAGTACCGGCATAAATCTATTTATATTAGTGGAAATAAATTTCCACCTGTGTAATGAGAATTACAAATGTGTCCTCCAAGAAACCCATGTTTTAATAATATCACACACTCTTTGCATTGCGAAGCATCAATATTTCCCTATTTGACAGAAATGTACCGAGAAAATTTTCGATACGACGCGACGCACAGTGGGAAATTTCGCAGAAAAGCTGGGTAAAAGTCAGTTTTTGAAAGAATGAAACTGCGTTTTGCTACTATGGCATATTTGTTATATACATTTCAATGCATCAAACACCACGTGAAATTTTGAAATACAATAGTCAATTACTGAAGTATAGATCATCAAAATTGACCAAATTTAGTGCTTCTGTATGTCTTAAGATTTATAGCACGTTTGATGTACCGGCATATCTTGTACTTAAGAAATTTTATGTTTTAAACATTTTTCTCATAAACTACATTCTACAAACATAAACGTTGCAATTTAACACTACAAAATTACTTCGAAATTACCCATGTAATTGGTAATGACTTGTGATGAAAATTTTAGGCCAAATTTGAATATCACGAGTTGGGCTCGTTGTTTAATTTCATGTCAAACGTGGATATCACGAGTTTGACTCGTGATCGACATTTCGGGCCAAACATAAATATCACGAGTGTGACTCGTTATCGACATTTTAAGCCAAACGTGAATATCTCGAGTTTGACTCGTGGTCTTAATCTCCGGCCAAGTATGAACATCTCGAATGGGCTTGCGGCTATCTCGCACTCAGTCGTAAAATATCGTGTTTCAAATTTCGACACTCGTGCTCCGCCGTTCGGCTCCTTCCTCGACTATTCAGGCACACGAATTGGCACGGCTTTTTTCGAGTTTCAGTGTAGTGTAAAGGGTTAATAAAAAATTAGAAAAATAGTCATGTTATTCGCGAGACTTTACTGGAAATCGAATTGCACCATGAATATGAATAGGAATATCTCACGTTTAATAACCATTCAAAAAATTTTATGGAAATTTGTGGTTTTTGAAAATATTCAAATTTTAAGATAAGTAGTACCCATGGACGCTTTTTCTGCTTCGAATTGTTCTGTTGCTCGCTTTGTTCTGTTAAAAAAACAATAGAAATCAACATAGAAAGAACAAATATTGAACGAATAAATAAAAAATGATTAAAAAATGAATTAAAATTTTTAAAGGACTTTTAAAGGATTTTTATAACATTTGCACGAAATAGGTGATAGAATCACGTCACAAAATTTGTAAATTGTTTAGAAGGAATTACAACATGAAAATTTCAAGAAAAAAAAACGAATGACGATTTCTCTTGTTCAAAATGTAGTAAAAATACTTAAAATAAATGCATCACGGAAATTTAAATTCTAAAAGTATAAATATAGTTATAATTTCTAAAAAGTTTACAAATTATGATAGTTATCGTTAATAACAAATTGTTCACAACTTACAAATTTAGAATAAAAGTGAAACAATTAATAAATTATTGGCTATTACAGCGGAAAAATACTAATTAATGGAATTGGTAAAGTGCGGAAATTTCCATTAACGTTCGGCCGATTGAACTTCAATTCATTTGTCGATATGTCATGGGAAGTGACATATTAAAATTTTCTTAATGCGCGGAGAAAAATATTCTAAGCTGAGAGCTACACATGCATTGTTACGTAAATTAAGATACATTAAGAGTGTTCTAAATTTAGCCTTCGTTTTTACTACATGAAACATCTTCGATATTATTCATATTCCATAATTAAAAAATTTATATTCAATATATTTGCACATAATACAAATGTTATAATAATTTCTTTAACTAAGTTTGTTTTCCAGCTTATATTTACATTTATTTTTTTTTTATTTATAGCTTACATATTTACTTCTTTTGTAGAAGTGTTACTGCTCGATGCATAGGCTAATAGAACACACACACACATACACGCACACACACACACACACATATATATATATAATAAATAAAATGTGTTATTAAATTCATATTAAAATTACTATATCCAAACATACCTAATTCTCTGTATGTTCAATTTCTGAGAGAGTTTCTCTATACCTTTTAAGAAGTCGTTCATGTGGTGACGTTTTCATAAGTTTTTTAGGATACTGAAAATCCTTTTTTGCAGGAGTTAAACCTATTCAATTTGAATCAAATAAATAAATTTTGAATTTAAAGATGTAGATACACATGGAATATATACATAATGAAAGAACATTATAAATAATAATAAATAATATGTTATACCTGTCGGAATATCGCGATATAAATCTTCTGTAAAGAATTTATTAATTTGATCAAGTATTGCTTGGATTTCTACAATAATTGTACTGCTCATACTTGCTGCATTAATATTTTTACTTTCAAGCTTTTGGCTCATTTCTTTAGATACATTTATAAATGCCATTTTACAGTCGCTTAAACATCTTGTATGTTCATTACAAATAGTGTAAACTTTCAAATACACATCCTGAAAATTACAATATTAAAAATAAAATTAGAATGAATAAATGAATGGATAGAATGAATAAATTCAAATAATTATAAATACAAACTTACATTAATTGCTGACAAAATAAGACTTTCATCTTCTTTCATTTTTTGCTGCATATTTTTAATAGTTCGTTCCACACAATTTTTATAATTTATTAATGAATCGCAATTTTTGTTCAAATCCACTTGGAATTGGTTTATTAATATTTTACCTTGTGCAACAGCGTTTTCGGCCAAAAATCGAGACTATTAGAAAAAAACGAATACCAAATGACAGAATGAAACAATAAAGAATTTTTTTCTTCAAAGAAATTTTATATCTACCTTATTTGTCTCTTCATCAACTACTTGTTTTACTATTTTTAAATTATTTTCAAGTCTCTCTTGTAAATCGTTTTGTTTTTCTATATTTATTCTGCATGTATCTAAAGCGTGATTATTTATTATTTCACAAGTTTGATCAATATTATTTAATATATCACGTACTGAAGAACGATTTTCTTCCTCCTCTTTTCGCACTGCATTGAAACAACATTGCAAATCATCCATCATCTGTAAAAATGAAATATTATAACTACAACAATACTTTGAATTTTGAAATAGTGTACCTTTGCAAAATTTTTTTGTTTCTCAATAATACTATCTTCTTCATATTGGATATTTTTAATATGTTCTTTAATTTCTAATATTTTGTTATTTAAGCAATCCCGCTCTTCAACTGAACATTTAGAAATCCACGTTACTATTTCTTTTGTAGATTCTATTAAATCATCAGTCTGTTGAGAAATATGGGTATTTAATCCATGCAAATCTTCTGCTATTTTATTTTCTATCAATTGTTGAAATCTTTGTGTAATATGGTCAGAAATATCATTTAACATATTCAATTTTTTATCAGTCACAGTTGCAACATTTTTGTCTTCATTTTCAAGCCACTGTTGATATCTTAAATACTAAAACGCGAAAATTTTATAATTACTATTACAAGACTTGATTAAGTATTGAACTTATTTTATTACATACAGAATCATTTATATTTTTCACCAACTCGTGGTGTATATTTTGGTTAAAATTAGTAAAGTCCTGGGATATAACTTGAATCGATTTATCAATATCCTCAATAAGTAAACCATTTTGTATACCTGAAGAAGCAAGATTGTATATATTTACTTCTAAAATTTAGTAGTTTTACCAAATATTTTACTAACCAATGTAATTCTTTATAAATGCACAAAATTGCATAAAATTTTCGTTATGTGTTGTAATATCAGCTTCAATATTTTTGATTCGTGCTTGAATATTATGTTTAAATTGTTGTCCAAGACATTTATTTTGTTGTCCTATTTGCCTATAAACAAAATATTAATTTTAAATTCATAAATACATTTTAATATTCAAGATCTTTTCTTGAAAAAAATGCTCACATTTTCCGGAAAACTTTGTCATGAAGTTTATTTACATCTGAAATAGCTGTGTCAGCTACGTCTAAAACTGTTTGCACTTGTGATAAAAGAATATTTTCAGTATGTGTATGTTTTTCAACAAGATATTTTTGTTCTTCTTTTTCTCGCTCTGATATTGCCAAACGTGATGAAGTTGACATTAAAGCATTTACTGTACTTTCCAATTGACTTTTTACATTTAATAATTCGTTTGCTTGTTCAGAGTTTCTTGATTTTAATTCATTAAATATTTGCTAAAATAGTAATATTCATTTTTTATTACAGAATGCATTAAAAATATATTAAAAATTAATGAAGTCTGTAATAATACCTACCTCCTTAGAGTTCATACATTCTTCAAGTGCTTTAATGTGATTCAATTTTTCCTCTATTTCTTTGCTTTGAAATTCTATCAAACACTGCATTTCATTGTAACTATCTGGAGTTAAGTAAATACCATTTCGTTCACGACATGCTATTAAATCCTTTTTTAATCTTTCAATTTCTTCCATATATTCCTGAAGCAATGCTCTCTTAGAAAATTTTTGATTAATTTCAGGTCTATTTGTAATATTTTTTGCACGATATGCATAATCCAACGTTGATAATGTCTCTTCAAGATTAATACTAGCAGGTGATATTGTAGCGATTATCGAGGTTCTTGTACGTCCACCTAATGATTCTTGGAGCAATCGTGTCAATTTAGACTCTCTATGAACAAAAAATAAATAAGATACGTTAATATTTGATTATATCTTACAAATTTTACTTCAATATTTAATTTACCGATAAGGCACGTGTGGCGTTTTCTCTGCAAGTGCTGTTATAACTCGACCTAAAGTTAGTAAAGATTGATTGATGTTGCCTGCTTCTCTTGCTCTCCGATCAACAGCACCGGACCTTCCAACATTTTCACTACCAGCTAAATCAACTAAATTTAGTTTTCCTGTTTTCAATAATTCTTCACCATCTACAGTATTTTCCTTTAAATGGACAGTAATAGAAAATATTGTGTGCGAACGACTAAAACATAAATGATATTGATATTAGATTTCATATTAAAATAATCATTTAAAATATAGTGAAATATTAACCTTGAATGTGCATTCATCAAAGTAGCTGCTGTCTGCCGTTTCACTGTTCCTTTCTGAAGGATATTGAACACTTCAATTTTATTATGTATTGGTATTTCTTCTAAGCCATGCACTATTACTGCTCCTTTTTTTATTGGATCCTCATATATCCTTTTAAAGCATTATATATAATTATTACTACTCAAAATAATATCATATAAATAAAGAATATACAAGGCAATTACCTTATTTTAGTTGCATCATCATTAGGAGATAACAAATCAAATAATTCCTCATTGTATAATTCTAAAAAACTGGCTCTCACTGAATATTCTTGTACCCCCAATACACGCAGTTCATCAAATAAATGACTCAAAGCTCGTGGTATAACTCCGACATTAGTATCCTACAAGTTTTACACATTACATACCTATATGTGTGTGCGTACATTACATTCTGTACTATATACTTTTATAGTATTTAGTTCAAGATAACTATTGATAAAAAGAAAATAACTATTGACAAAGAAAAAGAATTACTGTTTGCCAATGTAATGACGGATCATTATCAGTTCCTTCCATAGTAAAAGTCTTCCCAGTACCAGTTTGTCCATAGGCAAACACTGTGCAATTATATCCAGCCAAAACTTCCTGCACCAAAGGACTAACAACTGCATTGTATACTTGTAACTAAAAATTTATCGATAGTTATTCCACTAATGTGAAATACTACTTCTCTGAAATATATACCTGTTTCGAATTTGGTCCAAATACTTTGTCAAATGTAAATTTTTTTGTAAATTTATCGTGAAGTTTTTCACGAATGACCACTTCTTTATTAGACGGTATATCGATAACTATAATTGATTTCCCAACTTTTTCTGCATTATTTGTTGGTCTATTATAAAAAATGGCAATATGAATATAATAGTTACATTTTATTATATTTTAAAATAAAAGTACTTAATATTTTGATATACAATTACCTAACACGGACGAAAACTTGTATGTGTTGTTTTTTGTCTTTCTTCATATTACGAGTGTCGTTCATTTTTGTGAAATAAATTTTCTTTGCACTTCAATTGTAATTAATTATTTTCACTTGAACATTCGTTTCTTTTCGTAAAATAACTCGTTGCATATGAAATCGTGTGTAAACGCTTTTTGGCAGTAATAACCGTTGATTTATTTCAAATTTATATTTTACATGAATCCCACTAGAGGTCTCTAACATCCAGTCATACATAAAGACAAAAATTTATTTATATCTACAAAAATGACCATACTTTCTTTAAAGCACACAAAAATAATACCTACATTTCCTGTTATGTAATAATTATAAAAATCAAGTATTTATAAAATTGATGTGTATTTTTTATAACAAGGAATAGTTAGTAAATAATTTTGACATATACTCTACAATCATACAAGTGTACAATTATGCAACATAAATTCGTATGTACCTGTTGCACTTCGTTAAGAAATTAATTATAACCGAAAATTTAATAACAATAAAATTTGTTTATTGGAAATGATAAATTTTACTTGTAAAACTAGAACCAATTAAAAACTGTTATATTTAAATGAGAAAATATTTTGAAAAATGAACATGACAAAATTAATTTCATTTAATCATATAATTTTATTTCATCATATCATTTTTTTGGGTTACACAAGATATACACAAAATCATAGCCACCTATAATACAAGTAATACAGCACAATATAACAATCCTGCTCATGTAAGAATCGATAATTCTATTTTGAACAATGAAGTCGAATTTGAGATAATAATTAATGTTTCTTTTTATAGGAAATTATTCTAATATAAGCTATCTTTTATTAATTATGTATAATAAATATCATAACTATAATAAATAGAAGTAATATAGAAACTGATTTGAAATATATTGAAAAGACTATAGATTCTATTAAATAAATGTACCATTAAACACACAAAAATGAAGGCCTATAGAGTTCATATAAATAAATGAATTTTATACGCATTATTACACTTAATCATTTCTCATATGCTTCGGAAGAAATTGAGATTATTACATTAATATACATATTTTTAAAATAAGCAGGTAACTGAATGACAAACACAAAGAGGCAGTAAAGGGAAGTAAAAAAAAGCTAAATGTAACTCTATTTAATATAAGTGACAAAAATTATTGCCAGAATTTCACCAGAATTATAAATTAGTTAGGCTTGCACATTCTTGTTCTAAAGTAACAATATTAACATAGAAAATATTACTGAGATTTGTAATATAATAATAATACAAGTATTATGAGGCAACTTACTTCTATGTAGGTGGTATAAATACATTCTTTTTATAATATTTTAGTTCTTTTATACTGTTTTTAATATCAGGCAGTGCTCTATGTTGTAATTTAGTATCTTTTTTAAATTGTTTTCCATACCATCTCCTAAGGTATAGATTATTTTTAAAAGTAATGAAGATTAAATAAAATCCACAGTAGTTAGAATTGTATAAATATAAATGAAAATACCTGACTAATTCTTTAATTGAACTAACATCGATGATCCTATAATGTAAATAATCATTGACTGATGGCATTAATTTAATCAAAAATAAACGATCCATGTAAATTGTATTTCCAGCTAAAGGACAAACTTTACTTGGAATATGTTTGTTCAAGAAATCAAGTAACATTTGCTCTGCATCCTTTAAACTAATTTTACTATCTTTAGACTCTTGTACTAAACCGCACTGAAAAAAATATAAATCTTGAGCATAGATATGAGTTATGAAATTATAAAATTCATATAAATTTTTCTTTAAATTCAAATAGAAATGTAAATCTTATTTTAAATATGAATTATGAAATTTAAAATTAAAATAATTATTACAATATAAAATAGTCAATTTACTTTCGGAAGATTATAGGTGCACCATTCATTCATATTTTCTAAAACAACAGCTGGGTGATGAATGACAACATTAAATGGTTCACTCACTATATCCAAATCCTTGTTTGTTATCAAACAAGCAATTTCTAAAATAGTGTCTGTTTCTATGTTAAGTCCAGTTAACTAGAAGAAAATGATTTAATATATTTCCATAGTTTAAAAGAATAAAATATCATTAAATATTTACTTCTAGGTCTATCCATACAATGTAATCACATTGGCTGTCTGCGTCTTTACTTTCACGTATTGTATACTAAAAGATAAAATTTATTAAAAATCTCTAAAAAAAATTCTTAAAATAGTCCGTATTTATTTCTTACCATTCTCCAAGCACTTGCTTCCAGTGGAAAAATCTTTTAAAGGTAAACAAATTGATTCGTGTAAATTGTTTTTATATATATTAATAAAAATTATGTTTTGCCAAATAAAAGAATTAAAACTTTTAATTAATAGAACAATGTTTTTCTGATAGTATAAAAAATGTAAAACATAACCTCAATTTTTAATACGTATCATTGAAGTTATCGTAAAAGAACTTTGTAATTGATTATACAATATGTAAATCGATACTACAGACTTTACTTTAGTCAAGCAAGCTCAATAAAAATAGATTCAAATATAGATATCATTCTATGCAAAATTTAAGTAATCACAAAATTTTTACTATCAAACTTCCTTAAACCATATTTTAACAGAAATGCGAATAGATTCCATCCCTCCCCCCCCCCCCCCCCCCCCCCTTCTCCCCTCCCCCCCTCTACTACATAACTATATAGTAATATCCTACTTATGTTCAATCAATAATGGAATTTATATATATCGTTGTATATAACTATATCGCATGTGCAGATATATAATGTATTATTCTATATTTGTAATAATATCTACATACATTGTGCTCCTCATAATCAAAAATATTCAATATTAAACTAATATATAAGGAAGGTAAAAGAATGTAATGAACATAGAGTTGTTCTGCTGAAAAAAAGATTGTTGGCCCTGAAAAGGGCCTTTTTTTTAATGTTAAAAGGAGATTAAGCTCTTTCCCCACGAATTCTACGTGCCAATTGTATATCCTTTGGCATAATAGTAACTCTTTTAGCATGAATAGCACAAAGATTCGTATCTTCAAATAGACCAACCAAGTAGGCTTCACTAGCTTCTTGAAGTGCCATAACTGCTGAGCTTTGGAAACGTAGATCAGTTTTGAAATCTTGTGCAATTTCGCGAACAAGTCGTTGGAAAGGTAATTTACGGATCAAAAGTTCAGTACTCTTTTGGTATCTTCGAATTTCACGAAGAGCAACAGTTCCAGGACGATAACGATGAGGCTTCTTTACTCCACCCGTTGCAGGTGCACTCTTACGTGCAGCCTTTGTCGCCAATTGTTTTCTAGGTGCTTTACCACCAGTTGATTTACGTGCAGTTTGCTTCGTACGAGCCATTATTACTTCAATATCGAACAACTACGAACATTAGTCAACTCAAAAATGCCGTTTTACACTCCAGAAGGCAGTTTATATACTCTGCGAAGTAAGAAAATCAGACATCTGATTGGTTCGTTGCCTAGTAGGGGGAAAACGCGTTAACGGCTTCGGATTGGATTACTCAATAATAGTGGGGGAAACTGGTGGTTGCTATATATAAAAGTACGTAGTAATTTTAAATTAAAATTGGCATTTTATGAGTAGAACTCAATTGTATTTATCAGAAAACGATGGATTTAGGACAATGAGATGATTTATGTACTATATTATCTTTAATAAATTACACTAAATTATTTATAATTCCTTAGTGTCTTCAGCATATTTTTTTAAGTTTCCCTAATTAGTTTCCTTAATCTAATTAATTCATTACCTTAGCTTGTCACAGCTAACTCAACTATGAAATCTACCTTATAAATCCTAGTTATATTTACATATTTTATACACCAATGGACCCTGTCCGTTTATATTGAATAATAATAAAAATAATAATAATAAATGTTAATAAATTAAATATTGGTACATGTTTACATATATATAAATCAATTGAAAATTCGATTCCTTCTAGAACTTGAACAACGTCGTTTCAATTCCTATTGGAATATGTAAAAAATAAATATTATTTGTATTACTTACTGTTGCTGCTTAATGTTTTACGACTTTATGTTCTTTTTACCGATTGATTTTATTGTGTATATTTATTTTAACTTTTATGCAAAACATATTAGATAAATGTTAGTGATTAACAAGGTAAAAGTTCCAGTAAGAATAAATTAGTGGCCCTAAAAAGGGCCGTTCAGTTAAAGCCTGGAAGACAGGCGATGTCATTTTGTTCATTTGGCACTTGTATATTTAGTAACTGCTTTTGTGCCTTCGCTCACTGCATGTTTAGCAAGTTCTCCAGGCAATAAAAGTCTAACAGCCGTTTGTATTTCTCTCGATGTAATTGTAGTTCGTTTATTATTTACTACTAAACGGGATGCTTCAGTAGCGAGTCTCTCGAATATATCATTTACAAAACTGTTCATAATGCTCATAGCTCTGCTCGAAATACCTGTGTCTGGATGTACTTGTTTAAGCACTTTATAAATATAACTTGCATAACTCTCCTTCCGCCGTTTCTTCTTTTTTGTGTCCATTTTGTTTATAGGGATACTTTTTTGAGGTTTTCCGGTTCTCCTGACTGCTTTTCCACTAGCTTTCGGAGGCATGGTAATTAAATATGTATACACGTCAAAATTTAAACACACTGAATATCTACACTCGTCTAACAATCTTACTCGAATCTTTTGCTTTTATAGCATAAGTAATAACAACTCCGCTCCAATCACATCTGATTATAGTGTCAAATACGTTAACGTTTAATTCTCATTGGATGAAAACATAACGTCGAAAATCATCAACGTTTCTAATATTTCTAAAAGGTCGAACGTCAATGTAAACAGTATACAACATAGAACGATGTGAAAGTATATACGTTTGCTATTATATTATGCCTAATAATATACTAATGTAGAATAGAACATCGATTATTCGAATTAATTGAGAGACAGATCTGTTCCGATAACCGGCCTTTTGGATAATCGGTCTGATAAAAGCAAATTTAGAATTGTCACAAATTAATAAAAAATTAAAAAGTTTTCAATTACAAATGTTTTTTATGTAAAATGAATATATATCTAACAAGAAAAGTACAAAATAGAAATAAATTACATGTAAAGTAAATATACACATTTATACAGTATTTATTTTTTTTTTTCTATATTCTACCCAATGCAATACACACTTTTTATATTCGAATAATCGATTAGTTAACAAAGTTTATATAAATATATAATCGATGTTCCATTGTAATATGAAATTTTTCTTCAATGCGTAGAAAAATTCCCTTCTGCGCAGCTGTTGCGGCGCATAACAGATGACTTTACCGTTAAACAAAGACAGAGAATTCAAAGGGGATGGAATTCCTGCCGTTCAATGCCTCGAAGGGTCGATTTCGTAACGTATCGTCTGTTTCGTTTCTCAGATATATTTTCAACACTCCCTAATCGTTTTTAACTCTAGTATTTTTCCAACGAAAATACATTTAGCACTTTTTTTTAGAGATACACAGGCAAAGAATAGGTATATATAAAAAGGACGATGAATGAATTTTTCACAGTTCATCATGTTTTCGGAAAGCGTTAAATCTTTTGTCGTTTTCGTCTTCGTTGCTGTAGTTGCCAACTATAATATTTCCTGTGATCCAATTCCCGATATATTGATAACCAATGAATGGGATTGGAACTATACAACTAATTCCTCGGATTGTAAGTATTTGTTGTTTAGAAAGAGAAATATTCGATATCTTCGTGTCTAATATCTGAAATATTAAACAAAAACAAAAAAGTAGATGAATTAGATGCGGATAGAATCGTCGGTGGCCAATACGCAGCAACGAATCAATTTCCATTTATGGCCGTGGTGCATCGATTAATGGGAAATGGAATTATTTCACAATGCGGTGGTACTATTATTTCTTCGAGATGGGTATTAACAGCAGGTCACTGCGTGGGGTCCGACTCAGCACAATTCCTCGTGGTTTTCGGTATTCGTAATAAAGCCGGTATAGGATACAATTATTATCAAGGACCCGGAGTAGCGATGTTAACGGATCAAGCTGTACTTCATCCTGGTTATAGAACGACCGTAAACGATATCGCATTGTTGTATATGCCAAAGAATATTCCATTCGGAAGTAAGATTAATATTATCGAACAATAAAACGATTAAGATAGTTAGAGATATATAAATATATTCCGTAAATTTTTATTTTCAGGAAATATTCGACCTATTCAGCTTCCAGGTTATAAGTACATTAGCGAAACGTTCAATGATAGGAGAAGTATGGTCATAGGATGGGGAAAAGATAGCCCTGACGGGTTTGGAACAAAATGGTTAAAGTATGCGATTTTACCAATTATTTCAAATTACGAATGTTCCTCATACTGGGCCGTAACAAAGAAACACGTGTGTACTTCAGCAGCATATGATCAAGACGCTTGTCAGGTAAATAAGCAACCTCTTGTTCAATACGCTTTATTTTAAAACATGAAAATGTACGGTTCTATTGTATATAGGGTGACAGCGGCGGTCCTTTGATCATAAAAAAAAATGGTATTCCACTTCAAATCGGAATTGTTAGCTATGGAGATGGAAATTGCCCTAGCGACAAGCCTGGCGTGTTCACGAGAGTCACAGCATTCATCGATTGGATTCAAGAAGTTACTGATCTTCACTTTTAAAAAAATGTATATCATATTACCTATATTATCGATCCTACATAACTGATAATGTTTAACAATTATTAACGATACTTTTTCAATGTTCTGTGTATTATAAATAAAAGTGATTTTATTGTAAGATTTCTAAGAATGGTTATTTTATTTACTGACTTGTACCTCTTAATATTACTTGATAATAGAAAAGATAAAGGTAAATACAAGATAATAGAAAACTCATAACTTGAAAATATTTTGTTATAAATATATGCGAAATAATTTCCATAAATTTTATGAAATAAAAAAATATAAAATTATAAATTCAAACTGTCAAATGTAGATCTGAAGTTAATATGTGTATTTTTTATTTTTTTCTATACATTGAAATTTATTATGAAACATTTGTACGTTTTATGTATGTAAAATAATTTAACGGCAAATACAAGAAGAACGTTGTGCCGACAGAATTTTTGTTCTCAGAATACGTTCAACTGATACACCTGGCTTGTTACGAAGAGAAGGGAGAATTCTTCACTGACCTGACTGCTTTGTGTTCGGGTGGAGAAGGGACGGTCCTAACAACATAGGTCTGGATGCCCTAAAATACGTTGGAAATACCTAGCATAACCGACGACGATTGCAGGAAATTTAGAGAGAGAAAAAGAGGAGAGAGAGAAAGATAAAGGTCAACAATTTCGTTTTCACAGCAGATGGTCTTAAATAAAATGTTTACAAGGAATATTGTATGAATTTTTAACAATATTCTATTCTATCTCGTTGCATCGATGCTTTTTTCTACTTCAAATTTAAATCCTGATCTGCAAGGTGAAGTCAAATCTTTTTTTATTTATTTTAAAGTGAAATAAACAACAAAACGTTCCAAATAAATATTGTTACTTATAAATGTTATTACTTATCTCAGCAGCTATATTAGATATAATAGCTTTAGTAGAGGAGAAATGTTCCTAATATAATTTGTAGCCCTTAAAAGGGCTGTTGTACGTCTTTTTATCTATTAAATAATAAAGGTACAGAAAAAATTAACTATTTGATTGTTAAAATAAAAACTTTCAAGCTAGACGTCCCGATTTTTTGTTCTATTGTATATTTCTTGCGATTTCTTGTACAAGTTTTTCAAATGATTTCTTAGATATTAATAATTTTGTGCTTTTCTGATAATGACGAATCTCTTGAATAGCAATATTTTTTGATTGTAGTTTACTTTTTACTTTCTTCACACTGTATTGATTAATACGAGTCATTTTATGCTAGGCGAACAAACAACATTTCTCTCGTCTTCGCGTTTGAATACTGCAGATATTCGAAGTACTCATATATATGCCCTCGGTTCGATATACTATGGCTTCTGATTGGCTAACGTCGCAGTAGTGGGGATACACTCTCTCGAATATATAAAAGCTCCACAACGACGTAGTAGCATCAAACGTATTCTGAACTTTGTAACGCGAGTAAGCTTCATATTCTTGAAATTTCAAGATGACTGGTCGCGGAAAGGGCGGAAAGGGATTGGGAAAGGGAGGAGCTAAGCGTCATAGAAAAGTACTTCGTGATAATATCCAAGGTATCACGAAACCTGCAATACGTCGATTGGCTCGTCGTGGTGGTGTTAAACGTATATCTGGTTTAATTTACGAGGAAACTCGTGGCGTTTTAAAAGTTTTCTTAGAAAACGTTATTCGTGACGCAGTTACGTATACTGAACACGCCAAACGGAAAACCGTAACAGCTATGGATGTCGTTTATGCTCTAAAAAGACAAGGACGCACACTTTATGGTTTTGGAGGTTAAAGTGCAAGATTAATGATATGCGATTATCAACGATCAGCAAAACGGCCCTTTTCAGGGCCACAACTCTTTCCTACTTAGGATCATTCGTTTCAACTATTTTAGATAATTCTAATCCCGAATTTAAAATACATATTTTATTAATAAATTGTTTCTGTGATTTTGCAATAACGTGTATTAACATATCAAAATATGAATAATACAGTACAAACTGTACTATGAAATGATGAGATTTGTATTTCCACAGTTCTTAATTTCTGCAATATGAAAAAAACATTAAAAATTCTTCAAATGTAACCTGAAATCGACCTGTATAAAATTATCTAAAAAACAAGTTTTTTATCAGCCTGTATTATACAAATATTGATTTAACTTATTGCTAAGTGACTAGTTACACAAATGTAACCATGTTTAACCAATATTCTCATACTCAATTATGAATTTTTATAGATCGTTGTATTGTACTTATGTAAAAAAATATATTACAATTTTAATATATATATAATTTAGCTCCATTTAGTTTACTTTTATGTTACATCTATTACGAATTAGGTTCGTAAATCACATTTACGAACTAAGGTCATTATTTTTTTGATAAAAATTGACTAATGTTCCTGAAAAGCCCGTTTGGATTTAGAAAATTAGGATTAAACTTAATTTTTATTTCTATTTTAATTTTTTAATATTATGAGTTATGTTTTTGTCACATTCTAACACTTCAACAGTCAATTATTGTTTTACAATAATGCAATATTCAGTATAATTTCTTCTTCACAAAAAACAACGAATATACAGAATTGAAGACATTGCTTTTTAAGTCTTATTATTTTTTCTTCGTTTAAACATACTGAAAGATTAAATACGAGGTGATGTCGTTCGATTACCAAGATTTGCTAGATATTAATTTTTGAGCATTTTTTCTTTGTTGGATATGGGGTTGAACTTTCTTAATAGGTATTGGTATTACTAACCTGAGACTAATTTATGGAAAATTGTATAATTAAGATAACTAATGAAAAAAATTTGCAAAGGAAAGTAGAATTTAAAATTTTACTATAGGAAACTAAACTTAAGGTGGTAAGAAATCAACAAAAAACAAACTTGAGGGAAAGATAAAATGTATTTCTAAAACATAAAAGAAAAATTGTCTATGCTCATTATACCCCATTTAAGAAATTAATTTTTGTGTAAACGTAATATTTCAACAACTCAGAAAAACAAGTCACATTTTTTACATAGGGATCCCTTGGACAGTACTAATTTAACATGTATATAATCTGTATGATGTATATAGAAATGATAAAGAATATATAAAAGGTAAATGAAAGGATATAAATCCTTTCATCTACAATTTAACAGTTTGCTTATCACTGATGTAGCAAAAAAGATGATGTTATAATTAATTGAAGTAAGAGTTATAAAACAATAAAATTTAAAGAATACAAATAGACTATAGGAAATTGTTATATTTGTAATAAATTTTTGTATTTCAATTTTATAAATACGTTATTTGCTTGATAATTATTGATTAATAATTATTTTTTAAAAAAATGTTAGGAGAGCATTAATTATCAAGTGTATAGATAAACAAATCTCAAAATGGATTATACATGACCCAGCTTTGTTTTGTAATAATGAATCTTTTGCTGCTTAATGTTTAACATTTATATTACAATGTTCCTATTAGCCTTAATGCTCATCAAATATATCTTTAGCAAACTGTCATCTATGCCTCCTTGTGCAAATTTGAATAAATTAAAATATATATAAACACACAGGAATTTGTTTGCAGTAAATGAATTTGAATATTTATGTTGAATGTTGCTTTTATTACTGTTTGACACCTAGAATATACAGAAATATTTGTACAGTTTACTGTGCCTTTTGTGTCTGCAACTTACTCTTTTTTTAAAACTAATAACTAATAACTAAAAACTAAAACTAATAAACCATTTAAATTCATTCCAATGAAACAGAAAATCCTGACACAGAATATTAATATTAATAACAATATTATCATAATATCAACAAGAATAGTAACATCAGGATTTGTACTTTCAAATTTGAATCCTGAAAGAGCATATAACAAGGTCACTCCTACTTTTCAAAAAAATTGCAACATGCCATATCTCTCTAATCTCCTCTTAGTTGTAACGTTAAATATCATACAGTGTCTATGTTGCATAGATATGCATTCATAAATTCACCACCACAATATCTACTCTCATTCTTTTAATGAGTCTTTTATACAATAAAATGTGGATTATCATCTAAATAATAAGCTTATATTTAAAGAATGAGCTGTTATTTATTTTAATAAATGAAAAGATCTTATCATTTGAATTTAAAGAACTAGCCTTGTTTTTAATTGATTTAAAAATATATTACACGTATTGATATTTTGTTATAAGGATGATAGGGGTTTCTGATTCTTGTTTGTGTTGTTCGATTGCTATATTTATGGAATGTTTTCCTTTAATATTAGTAATATTCTGTAAAATTATTAATTTAATGTATTTAATGATAAAGGCTGAATTTATTTCTTACCAAAATAGTTGGCTTTACATTGAGTTCCATTGATATTATGTGTGATGATTTTTATCAGAATAGGCAGGATGGTGAAAATGTTTTTAATGATATATAAACTACATGTAATTATTGGTTTCTTCTTTTTTCAATTATTAGTTAATATAACTCCCATTCCATTTTCGATTACTGACAAGAGATTTTTTATTTTTAAGTTATATGTACATATGTCGTTTTGTCATCGTCGGTATTTAGGGTTGTCTAGATTTTGTAACTTAATATTTTCTCTTGTATTCATCTATTTTACACGTATAGCTATTATATTACACTTATCATTGTGCATATTCTTTTAAATCTCAAAATAAATAGTTTTGTCTTGTAGTAAGAAATCTATTCTTTTTTCCCAATATTCTTTTCCAATATCATACGAATAAATTTTATTCATATCGAATGTTCTATGTCGTACTAATTCAGAAACATGTATTTCCAGATGGCAGTAAGAGCGCACTAATCAGAGTACAGAACTGCATGTCTGCCTTATCCAGCGCTCTGATTGGTGCACTGTAGCTACTCCCAAACCTAATAAAGGCGATGACCAACCTGTGCAACTCATTCGTGCATCATCGTTTCGTACGAGTAACAGTAATACGTAAGGAAGAGATTAGTTCACAATGCCGCCAAAAACCAGTGGGAAAGCAGTGAAGAAAGCTGGTAAAGCTCAAAAAAATATTAGTAAAGCGGATAAAAAAAAGAAACGTAGGAGGAAGGAAAGTTACGCAATTTACATTTATAAAGTTCTAAAACAAGTACATCCAGATACTGGTATTTCCAGTAAAGCTATGAGTATCATGAATAGCTTTGTGAATGATGTATTTGAGCGCATTGCGGCTGAAGCATCGCGCTTGGCACATTACAACAAACGCTCAACGATTACTTCTCGAGAAATTCAAACTGCTGTACGTTTACTTCTTCCTGGTGAGTTAGCCAAACACGCTGTCAGTGAAGGAACTAAAGCTGTTACTAAATATACCAGTTCAAAGTGAACAAATCACTGGATAAACGGGCCCTTTTTAGGGCCACAAATGTTTAACACGTGGGAATGTCTGGTTCTTTACATGTTTCGTATTTTAAGTATTTCGAGCACTTCAATTTCTACTGCTTAATTGCCTTCGTGATGGAATCACAAATATTCTAAATTATTAAATTTATTAATTGTTAAATTAAAGTTAAATAATTAATGGTTATTTTTCTTATAAAATACCAACCTAAAGGCCAATCTGAAGCTGACTCTGCCAAGCTGACAATTTTTATAACATACAAAAATATCATGTATTAATTTTGTAAATTAACGTATATATTTTATATAATCATTCACATATAATTCTTGCCATTATTTTCAACTTTTTCATTCAATAAGTTTCTCTCTAGTTTTATCACACTTTCAAATGCAAGAAAATTTATACTACATATAATATGTAATATATTCTTCATATAATATGTAATATATTCTTAAATATTAAGACTGAAAAATATTGAACGTACAGATTTCTCTGCTAGATAAAAATAATGTGTATTATAAAGTTTTAATTTAATGTTTGTGAAAATGTAGCTGTTAGATTACTAATATAGGAAATAAGAAACCAATGTTATATATCATGCGAAAATAAAAAGATATTTTCTGAAAGTTCTTAATTCTTTAGTTATTATTTACAGATACCTAATACATAAGTAAAGTATTTATCATCAAATATGTGAAAAAACAGAAATGGACAATATTCGAACAATTATAATGTTCTTATAAAGTTGAAGATTATTTAAAATAAAGCAAATTTGTATTTTATATAATAACTATACCTTTACAGGTTAGGATTGTTTTAAATTTTGCTGCAAAATAACAAAATATTTACCCAGGTAACGAAAACTCCTTATATACATAACTGCTATAATAGAAAAAATTTCACATAGGACAAAACATAAAAAGATAGGAATGGGAAATTTTATCCGTTGTTTTATTCGTGGCTCGAGTAGGAGAAAACATTAATCTGAAGTAATTTTTCTTTATTGTCGTGTAAAAAAATAAAAAATGTAAAAAATGATATGAATACGATGAATACTGTTCAGATTGTCTTAGGTTGTTCCTTATCAAATACGAATTTGTGGCCCTGAAAAGGGCCATTTGTTTGAGAAAAGAATTCTTAAGTCTCCATTTAATTATTTCTTAGCTGGTGCTTTGACCGTTCTGGAAGCAACGGTCTTTTTTGGTTTTGGCGTTCTAGTCTTAGCTGCTGGTGCTTTAGCAGTTTTCTTGCTCTTTGACATAACCTTGGTTTCGCTCGTGGGTTTAGTTTTCTCAACTTTTTCAAGTTTTGGAGCGGGTTTGGCAGCAGATTTTTTCACAGCTGCTTTTTTAACACTTTCAATTTTCTTTGCAGAACTCGGTTTCTTCGGCGACACAGATTTTCGCACTGATGTGGTTTTCTTCTCAACCGATTTCTTGATTTTCTTTGGTTTCGGTACTTTAACAGTCCGATGAATCTTCTTAGTTTCAGAGCTTTTCGTCGTAGATAGTTTAAATGATCCAGAAGCACCTTTACCTTTTGTTTGAACAACAGCGCCAGAAGTAACGGCAGCCTTTAAATATCTTTTGATGAAAGGTGCTAATTTTTCTCCGTCAACTTTGTAGGTGGATGCGATATATTTCTTAATCGCTTGAAGAGATGATCCCTTACGGTCCTTCAACTCCTTAATAGCAGAGTTTACCATTTCAGAAGTTGGTGGATGCGAAGATTTGGGTCTTTGCGATTTTGTTGACTTCGGCTTCGATGTCTTTTTTGCTGGACTCTTTGCTGGACTCTTTACCGGACTCTTTACCGGACTGTTACTACTTTCAACACTATCTACAGCAGTACTCCCAGCATTAGCTTTTTCCTCCATCTTACAAATTCTTATAATCGATTTCTGCCTTTGGAAAATGAAACTAAAGTTTCTCAATTGCAACTAACACACAGTTCGTATACTGACAATACTGACCGACTCCCTGAAATAGCCTATATGACCTGAGAGCGCGGACCATGGAGAGAGATCCGCTGAATATGTTGAGCGTTGAGTTTCTCTAAAAACGGTGAAGCGGTAAATAACCGGTTGAATCAAAGTATGATTATTCAAAGCCAAGCATTCATTAAGAAACAAAAAATACACGAACAAATCGCCACGTGTATCTACTTTTATTCAATAGCTTTTATTTCTCGCTAAATGGTATTTATTTCTGATCACGGCATGATTTTCCAACGAGTGTCATTTCACGGCATCAGGATAGCTTACGGAAAAACAACAATAATTGTTAAATTCTTGTAAAGTTGGTGTGAAATTTTCATTGTTAATGATTATAGTAGAACTGACACTATGACCTATCAAGTATTTTTTATAGAATTTTGATTAATAATTGTACAATTACAAATTTAAAATAGCTACTACCGAAATACTTAGTCCTCTAGAGAATGAACGACGAAGCCAGTCTTGATATTTTATAACTCAATGATCCATAGTACAAAATTGATGTAATTTTATATGAATCATGCATTAATAACATGGCATATCGATAAAATAAATAAAATGAATAAAAAAAATTAATTGAAATAAAGCCGATATTAGTGTCATTTACGAAAGTAATGTATAAAAGTCATAACCTCATTGTTCAATAAAAAAACATGATATTTACTACCAATCACTCAATATTAAATTCAACTCTTGCTTCTTTGCCAAATTCAGAAGATATTCCAATAAAAATGTCATGCTACATTAATTAAAAGAGCTATAAAAGGAGGGAATTTCGTGAAAAGAGAAGCGATACATCAATTTTGTGATTGTAACAGAAATTTGTTGTCGAACTATTTTTACTTTTGTAAGAATGCATTGATCACTTGGAGTATTAAATTTCAATACATAATAATATAAATCATGTGATGCAGACATAAAGATTGCATTGTAAGATGGCAACTGAATGTCTATTGTGCGTTAAAAATGGCTACGCATTTCTTACAATAAAATATTGAATTTCATTTATGTACATTGTAATATACATGATTTTTGTAAATACAAATATAATATAGACTCATAAAATAATTATTTCAATTTCAAATATGAGAAGTTATTGAGGTAATAGATTGTATAATATGAGAATAATACTTAATCATTTAAAGTAGACATCTTGTTTTAAATATCATTTGTTATGTAGTCGTAAAGTAACACCAACCCTTTCTTATAGTAGCAAAATGACCTGATTAGTAAATTTCAATTACATTATAGTATTTTTCAATTCGATATGTAGAGTTTATATTGTTGCTTTTTTTTATTTTCATTTCTTAGTGAGACAAGTACTTTTTTTAATTATGCATAAATTTAAATTAGGAGGAAAAACGTGTATTTTTTGTTATATAATTAATGAATTATTTACACATGGATAAAGATTATAATTCACATATTTGGAAATAAAATTACAAAAGTATAATATATTTATATAGGGTGCGCTAGCAGCTTGAGAACATTCAGAAAGTTTAGCAACCTTCGTCCAAAGAATGATATTTAGAAAAGTTTTCTATACGAAATAATGCACAACATTTGTTAATCGTTGAAGAATTTGGATAATTATATTTGAAAACAATATTGACAATTTTGAAGACGCTATTTATACTTGACGTAGAAAATTACCATTCGATAAAATAATTATACTTCATTATTTAATTTACTTAACGTAACAGATAGATGAAGGAAAACTCAGATTTTGAAAATTTTAGAAGTCTACATTTAATAACACTTTACTGAAAAGTAATAAAATCAAAAGTAAATATAATATTAGTTTTTTTATTTACATATGCCATTTATTTATATAGAGGTTATGTATCATTCTATCGATATTGCATTATGTCTAGTTTTAAATAATGTTTCGAATATATATTTATAATAATGTATTTCAATGAATTCATTATGCAATAAGAATGCAAACTTACAATTTATCTTGTACTTCTGTACTATTTGGGAATTATTTAATCAAGACGAGATAAATTTAAATAAATTTATTACATTTTTACATGTTTGCATAATTTAATTTGAGGATGGATTTTAGATAAATAAGCATTAATCAAGGTATATTAATTGAAAATATGAGTATTCTGTTCAAACGCGCGAAAATTTATGAGAACGGTGCGGTAATAGTAGTGATAAAACGTTTTGCAGCGGCCGGTCTCTTTGGGTGGGGAAAATCAATAGGAAAACCGAGTTTAAATCACAAGTATAGGTCATTAACGTTTAGCGAATGAATCTTGTAGTGATATTTTTTAATGCTGTGATATATGTGTGAATGTGTCTGTGTTTGTGAAAGCTTAACAATGACGCTTTCAAAATGTGGCATCTCTTGATGCATACGGCAATTTGACTGAATATAGCGTGTACTCGGTTATCTTTAACAGCTGTGTTCAATAAGAGGAAAATGTTAAAAAGCTATGTAATTGATACTTCTTGACATCTAATTTGAAGAACGAGACATCAAGTTGTGCATAATAATGTTGATACTTCGAGAAATTTTGTTGATTTGCTTTACATTATGTATCTTATCACAAATCAACTATGTTAAAAGTACACATATTTCGGGTACCTTTAATACAAGAGAATTTTTCCGTTTTCTTATTAAGTTTGGTTTCCAAAAGACTGATCGTCATCGACAAAAAGATTCGTACGGATATATCTTCGGTAATGTGACGTCGAGAACCAATTTTCCTGTACCAATCACATTGGCAGTTTTAGATCGTGGTCATTTTTTAGAATACTATGGTAATCGTACATTAAAAGATAAAAATGCTGCTTGTACTCTTATGTTTAACACTTTGAATCAAAGTTCTTATGATGTGCATTGTAACGAAGAAGGTCAAGATTTTCTGAGGTATATTATTACTTTCAATTATCATTCTTCAAAGTAACATTGATGATATAAGATGCTTAATTTCTGTTTTTTACAGGAGAATACCTTGTCCAAAGGGTAAATTGTGTCCAGATGAAGATTCCATATGGAATATTGTAAAGGGATATCAATTCACATATGTTATACAAGATTTTTGGCAGCCACGTTTTTGGTATATGAGTTTAGTGGCATGTTACAGAAATACAACTACTTGTCAATGGGAATATTATGATAGATATGATGAGTTAGAGTATGATATTTGGCTTGTAAATGGAAATCCAAATACTAGTGGCCTAAATAGCTTAACATACCAGTTTTCATATGATAGACAAAATACTATAGAACTATATTCATTGTTTTTTATGTGTTATATTATACTTGTGCCACTACAATTATATGCTGTAAGATTACAAAAGCATCCTGTAACAAGATTATTCACTGCTAGTTTATTATTAGAGTTTATAGCAGTGTGTTTAATTTTGATACATGTGTTGAAATTTGCTGTTGATGGAGTTGGGTATGAACAATTAGAAGTTGCTGGAGATATTTTTGATATTCTATCAAGAGTAAGTTTTAGTAACAATCTTTACTTTTCTATTTTATATATTTTTGTTCTTAATAACTATATTTATATAATTTAGACATCATTCATGTTACTGCTTCTTCTACTTGCTAAAGGATGGGCTGTAACTAGAATGGAATTGACATGGAAGCCATTGGTTTTTACTATATGGCTTTGTTATGGAATTGTTCATATCCTGTTATATGTGTGGAATATGGTATGCCTTTTATATATATTTTCTTTTGTATAATTATGATTTTGATATTATATACAGAGATAATATTTTTAGACTGAAGTTGACATTATTGAAGATATCGATGAGTACCAAACATGGCCAGGTTGGTTTATACTTTTATTTCGCAGTGCAATTATGATTTGGTTTTTATGTGAACTTAGAAATACTATGACATATGAACACAATACACAGAAATTAAATTTTCTACTTCATTTTGGTGCATCTTCATTGGTTTGGTTCATTTATTTACCTATTATAGCACTTATTGCACTTCAAGTAAGTGCATTATGGAGGTTTAAACTTTTATTAGGTAAGTATATCATAAAATTTTAAATATATTTATATTAAAATTTAAATATAAATATCTTCATTTATATTGGTTTTATTTCTATTATAGGTATTACAGACTCTGCTGATTGTTTTGCATATTGTGTAATGGCACATTTACTTTGGCCAACACGAAGTGAACAATATTTTTTACTTGCACAAGGAGCAGATAACGGAGATGAACTCGATGAATTTAATGAAGCACCACATGTATTGAATAATTATGTAGAACCTCCAGAACTTACTAAAATAATTACTTAATGTCAGGATATAAAAGGCAAAGGGTTGCATATATCAAATGTCAAACTTATAATTTGACACATACTATTTGCCAAATAACAAAAATGTATAGGGTTGATAATAATCTGCTATATACTACTTGAGACTGATATATTCTGCACACTGTGTAATTAGACATATACTAATAATCAAATTTACATTTGTGATAGGAAGTCAATAATTGACACAATGAAGAATAAAATGGGTGAGTATGATATGAGTATCTTTAAATAATTTTTAATTTGAGAAAAACAAACATGATTGGGTTGTAACAGATTGTAGGTATAAATAGATATTGTTATCTACTGTATAACTTTTATGCCATTGTACATAATGAAAATAATTAGCTGTCAAGTATTTAATATTTAAGGAGTTACTATGTTATGTATAGTGGTACTTGTATACACATAGTCTTTATTCATATTTTTTACTATTTACAATATTACTAAATGCAATCCTATCATTGTAATATAATATTTCAACTACAGATTGCTCATGTCATACTCTTTGATCATAAAAATTTAACACCAATTATTAATTCAATCTTTAATACTTTTTCACCACTATCTGTTAATTATCTGTAAAAAATTCGATAAGGTAATCATACAATTGTATTTATAAAGGATTTTAGTCTTTTATCTTTTATTCCTGAATCTACATTCTACATTTAATTAGTACAACTTATTTCCCTGTATAAAAAATCTTTTAATACACATTTTAGAAAAGTATAAAAGCTAAATATAAATTAATATGGTTCTCTTCATGTTAATTTTAATAAAATATGTAGAAATATGTATAATTTTAATGTATATAAACGAAATTGAGCATCAATAGATTACACATAAGATTCTCATAAAAAATATTCTATATAAGCACATCAATAATTTTTTCAGTATTATATTATAGTAGATGCTGTATTAAAATTTGAACAATTACTGAAATTATCATAAATATATCTTTTATACATATTTTAATAACAAATGTTATCATCTTAATATTTGTTTTGGGCTAAGGCTGTTTTTTCTTCAACTATATAATGTCATTGCATACTCTAATAATTCAATATTTGAAACACAAAATAATGATATTTTATGTAATTTTAGTTTTGTAATATTTATTCATGCTCTTACAAACAATTCCTATAACTTTCTTGCTCAATCTTGTAATAAATTAAGTATTAAAATAATAAAACATTTACCTAGAATACTCATAAACTGTGTACATGCATACTGCAAGTTTAGTACAGTACAGTTTAGTACAATAACTTTAATATATTAATATTTATAAATGTAACTTATGACAGAAAACACTAAAATTATAACATCTTATTTAGATTTATTCATAAAATTTCTAGATTTAATCAGAAATCACACTTAAACAAATGTAAATAAAATAATTCTAAAAGAATTATTTGTGCATAACAATGCTTCTTTATTTTATAAAGAGGATTAAAATGTTTGATATTCACAAAATATGTACAAATATTTATGCTATTTTGGGGTATTACTAAAAATTTGTAAATTAATGTATGTGAATCAATTTTAAAAGCATATATTATTATTTGATATTGATAATTTCAAAAATAAAAAACAAATACACAAATTGTGCTGGTACAAGCTTGCATGCAGAATTGTATGTTATTATATTATACGAAATAGAATGATAACTAAAAATGTTCTGATTTAAAGTACTCTGTTATATGATTTTTAATACATAGAGTTTTGAACAACCATATTTTGTTGAAATTTTCTTGTATGAAAGCCAAGTAGAAAGACAGAGCTTTAATTATTAATAAAATATTAATCAAAATACAAAAGTTTTAAGTGAATTATAAATTTATTTAAACACTGTTAATTATATATCAATAATACAATCATCTTACTATATGTGTTTAGCAAAAATAAGCTTGTTCACGTAAGAAACCTTTACATAATTTATATAATTTAACTTTACAACAAATTCAACTTCGAAGTAAGATTATCTATCAATTGTTTTGGACCTGGCCCAATTCCAAGTGTAGATGTTGTACCAGGTAATAATTGAGTATTACCTGCATCTTTTATTATACTAATAATTAAGCCAGCTTTACGAGCTTGATAAGCTAACGACATTAATTGTTCTTCATTAGGTATTCTTACCACAATTTTAGGTTGTCCTTGTAGTAACCAAGATTCATACATATATACATATTCTGTATTAGTTAATATTTGTCGACAACACTCTACTGCAGCATGAGCACATTGAGCAGCAGTCTTTCCTTTTCCCATGGATATATCTGATCTTACAACTAACACCATTTTATACCGTTCATTTTTCGAATGTTTTATAGAATAAGTAAATATACGTTTTATATAATTTATGAGCGACATATTTATTTATTTAAATAAGATTCTTCTCTCTTTCTTTGATATTCATTCATACACACTTTAAACTTTTTTACTTGCTCTTGACATTTTCTCCAATCTTGAGTTTCTGCTATACACTCCTAAAAAGTATAAAATTAATAACACATTTACATTATACATTTTCAGCAGTACATATTTAAGGTTAGTACCTGAACTTGTTGATGTAATTTTATACAACCGGTTTTAATTAACATTTCTTCAATGGGATCCTCAACATCTTTTTGTTGCATAGTTAAATTTGAAATCATCTGATAATTATCTTACAAATTTTCACTGTACATACACAATATTAAATAGTCTAATATATAATAAAAACTCGTTAATTCTAAGATTACCTTTTTACGTGTTTTCTACGATATAGTAGGATATACAACATAGACACATTTATAGTGAAAATCGACAGTAATCACTTTCTAGCTTCAAAGCATTGGGTACTAAATATAACTGTTAATGATTTGGAATTAGAAGACAAAATTTATAGCAGATTAATGTTTAAAAAAGACAAGGTTTTATTTTTCCCCTAAATATTTTACATAATAATTTAAGTTCGATATTTAAAATAAATCAGTTACCGAATTATCAAATATTTAATTACTGATTGTTTTTAAATGTTAAATAGAATAATATCAAAAATGCAATAAAATAATAAATATAAACAAATTTTATATTTATTTAAAGAAAAATGACTAATAATTAAGTAAGAATTATCATGTAAGGCGCTAGCTTCGACATATGGCTACTGTTGTCTTGAGTTCTCCACTAGACGACAATAAGCCATGGTATAATAGAGTGGAAAATATGACAAGTATTGTTTCACTACGAGTGCCATCAGTATTATATTTTTTGATTTTGATCACATTTTATCTACCAATCAGGCATGTATCAAATTGGAAAAAGTGCCAATGATTGTGTACTTAAATACTGATCATAGTTGCGTCCACACTGGGGCGTTGTGTTCATCTGCTGGCCCTCATTTATAACATTTTCGTAAGTATTTAATGTTCTATTCTTATTGTGATGAGTTAAACAGCTTCTCTTTTTTTTAAAACATGATCATTAGTCGAAAGAAACAGTTCAATAAAGATATTTCATTTATAATTTATGTCTTTTTTCATCGGTGTAATTCATAAGATGACATAACAATCCTATAATTCCATAGCACGTGGGTGAAGCACATTGAATACGACTGTATGAAAAAGAAATATTACTACGTTTTATCGATTTATCTTACATGCATAGAGATTTTTTATTAATAGCATTAAAAATATCTTATTAAATAGAATAGATGTAAGAATCAATTTTGTGGTTAATTATTTCATTAGGAAATGTCAAAAAACAGGAATTATAGCATATTATTCTTTTTACAAGAGAAATTTCTATTAATTACTTTTTTGGTATTTTATATACTACTATTTATGCATCGTTTTCATAGCAGTTCTGTTTGAAAAAATTAAATAGTGTTATTTACTGAAAAATCAGGTAGTGTTACATAATATTGTTAGTAACAACATATTATATTGTTAACATGTTATAAGACAGACATTAAGTGATACAAACAAAACAAAGGTGTTAATAGTTTAATTTGTATAGGTTATTCTAATTAATGACGTCACAATTGCCGAAAGAATAAATGAGATTTCAAAGTTCAATTCAATATAAATTCTTTTAAAAGAGTACGTACATTTGAATAATATCGAACAATTTTTAGTCCATTTGCAATGTTACGTAAATATTAAAGATAATTTATACATTTTTAAGTTACTATTTTCATATAACTTCTATACTTTTGCGACAAGTATTACAGTATCTTCTGCAAGAGTAGGAAATTCATTTTCAATTTCGCCACTAGATGGCTACTGCCGTTTGTCGCATTCTCGCAAGTACTTGAGTACCTATGCTATTCGTATATAAGAGAAAAACGTTATGGTCTCTGATGGATAGTCCGATGCTTCCCGGGTAAAAATCAGTGATGGGGCCAAGTTTTTAAACCACATCATTTGTCTGTCCAAGTACTATTTCACGGGTTTTACAGCCTTATGAAAAACCGAAAACTCGTGTCTTCATCGGTAAATTGTTTGTGCTTACTTTGTAAAACTTATACTGTGGAAGCGGCGCAATAAGGGACTATCTTTTTTGCGATTTCAATAATTATGTTTCTTTTTCTTGTTATATGTAAGTATTTATCAAATTACGTTTCTATTATTTTTTTACTTTTTTTTGTTAAATTAAATTCTTATGTAATAATTGCTTGCATCGGTTCTAAAATTTATCTTGTAATTTATTTCGTAGCTTATGTATATAAATATATTTTTTCACAATCATACATTATATAATTATAATTACGTTATTATCAAGTTAAACTATAATTACAAACTGAATATTGGTTTTATTATCAAAATAAAACGTTTAACAAGTGTTTGTACATTTATATATAAAATAAAATTGTCATTCACTCTGTTTGCGACTTTTTAATAAAGCGATTTTTGCATTTTCGTTGTATGAAATTGAATGTTTGTGGTAGCAGAATTAAATAGATCAAAATTGTTTCAGTGCATGAGAAACAGTCAATTGATTTCAATGTCAACGGGGAGTTTGAAAAGCTTAGGATCTATGAAAATACACGTAACGCGGGTAATTTAAAATCGGCGCAAGGGCTGTGTGAATTACAAGGAAACAAACAGGATTAAACGATAGACGGTTAATTTTAGAATATCGCTGATGCCGTTGGCCACGACCACAACAGACGAACAGTGGTTCACGATTCGAGAGAAAGGACAGTAAACGAGAAACAGTTTCTGGTGAAACGAAGTGAGAGGTAAGGAAGCAAATGTCAAACAAGCAAAAGTTCCGGTGATTTCGTACATTCTCTTTGTTGACATGTGTTCAATGCGCCGTGGAAATGCGCTGATAAATCCGTCATGTTTGTGATAATCACCGTTCACTGATATAATTTTTTTTTTTATCCAGAGGATTGTGGGTATATCATTCAAAAGTCGTTGTTGGGTTCTTCCGTTTCACGTGGGATACGATTGTGTGACACTGCTACTCAAATACTGATTAAAAATCATGGAGGAAGGACATGTGAAAAAGAACCAGGATCCAGAAGATGAGGAAATAGAGCAAAATGAGGATGGAACGTTCGATGAGTCAAGATTTCCAGAAGCACTGGAGCGTACACAAACCGGTCGCAAAACGAGTATCTTCAAATATTATTCGTTCAATGAGAAAGGTGAGTCGGATCGATTACTTTTCTGAAATTTACATACAGGAATTGTTAGATTATTCTTCGTTTTAGAATGTTCGTAAAGGATAGTTAATTCCACAAAGATTTAACGTTCGATAAATTGGCATGAGATCAAGTTTGATCGATTATTTTCATTGAGTTTGTTCAGTTATCAAATTTACCGTATACGTACGATTTATTTCTACATTATAATGTTCTTATATATTCGGTCATCATTATAATATTCGGCCGTTGACATTTGATAAAGAAACATCTTTAATCAGTCGATATTGGTTGGAGATTAAAAAGGAAAAAATGAAGAAAAAGTAATCCTCTAGGTAATTTAAATTTATTGAAGAGAATGTGAAGATGTGTATTTATAGTTGCGTAGTGTATTAGTAATCTGGCCAAAAATAAACTAAGAAAATGATCGACGACATACGTAGCGTACGATGTCATATACAGTTGAATATCATGTGGATATCGATATGTATATATATATATATATATATAGATATTTGATAAAAAGATGTTATAATTAATGTGAAACTAGGTTTAAAAATTGATCATCTCTAAAATAAAAAGTAAAATTTAAAAAAATTTTCAAATTCATTACTATACATCTAGTATTATCTAATACTACTTTGGTTATAAAATACCGGTAATGTCTAATGTTAATTTTCGCGTACGAAGACAAACAATAAAGTTATAATAGATATTTGCATCTAAATATGATACCTTGGATTTTGCAATCAGAACGAACGTTGGCATCGTTTATGTAATACAGGTGGTCCATAATGTATCTCATGAAGTATCATGAGTCCGACATCGTGGCTTATTAATTCCAGTGTCAAGTGATATGTGAAATAGGTGTTCTTCAATTGCATAGATTTATTGATTCATTGCGAAGATAAACGTAACGGTTTTTGTTTGAGAGGTCGCATAGATTGCAGTGCTTTTTTTAAAGCACTCTAAAAATAACATGCGTAATTGAACTGTGACGTTTTTGGCATTCGAAACAAGGAAATTTTAATTCTTCTTAACATTAAGTGAATTTCACTTACATGTTCATGTTATCACATTTTAAACTGACTTCTCTTATAATATTTTAACGTAAAGTTAGTTATTCATGAAAACCAGGTAAAAGTAGAAACTAGCGTCTCGTAATTATACAGGAATTAAAAAATAGCTGTCGCTGAAACTCTGAACATATCCTAGATAAAAAATTAAAAGAAAAAGAAAAACGAAATTACTTCAATCACGACTTTGACTTATATGTTCCACATAACGAGTCGAGTCTCGTTACCTCGTGGTTTCTGTTTGTGTTACGCCATTGAAGAGCAAAGTCGATAGTGTAACTGGTTTGACAAGCATAAATTATTTTCAAAAGAGAACAAGCATAAAGCGTGAAAAACAAAAATGCACATGTGTACTAGGGACATATTGCGCAATACTGTGTTGGTAGGAAGAAGTTTTTGTTCGATGTGTTGCCGTTCGATAATGACGCAGAACACTGTAAATGTGACGAGTCTCTGATCAGCCAATCCGATTCCTCTTCGTCATATGATGTCACGATGCATTTCGAGTTGAAAAGCGGCAGCACGTTTCGCGCGTGTCTACACCTCGCGTCATATTGCACGTGTATCTTGATATACCAGACCGCGTGTTGTATCATGTCATAAATTAGAACAGCTTGTGGGGAAATTGGCAGAATAGCGGCCAGTATTGTCGGTCATTTGTCAGTTTGGGTTATTTTTCGTAATAGAAGAAACAAATTTGTGCGAAACTTCTAATTTGAAGAATGTGGAAGAAGTTTGAAATTTGAGAAAGCGTTAGATGGAAGCGTATTGAGCGTAGTTACGACATAGAATAGATTATCATAGTTAGTTATACTGTAGAATTTTTGAAAAAAATATATAGTAGTGGAGGTATGTTTTAATTATACTATATCATATAAATCATTAGCTATTATATTATGTTGATTCGTTTGCAAAGTGAATAACAAATGTTTTCCTGTTAACCATTTTTAGATATAGATATATGTTTTCATTTTGTTCCTTGCGACGTCACACATCATTTTTCCAGATCTGTCGCAATTACAAAGTTTCGTCTACGTCCACCGTTCTTTTGTTTTCCGAAAAAATTTGTTAAGTTTGAAATAATTAAATGACATCAATTGACGTTCATAGAGGTGAGATACATAATACTTGTATTATTTGTAGAGTTTGTAACTTGAGATATCGCAATTCAGAGAAACTCGTCGTTCGTATAGTTTTCACACAACTGCTGTTGTAAATAATTTTTACACAGAAAGTACTCTTTCTCTCGTAACATCGTGTATCACAAGAAAGTCTCGTTTCTAGAAACAATTCTACTGTTACTCTTTCACAGGGGAAGCAGATAAAAACCTCTTCACCCATTAACAAGATGATTACATTTTAGAAGAAGAGCCTGAAAGACAGACATGATAAAATAACTGCTTGAAACAAAATGACTTGATCGTTTATCAATATCGATGTATGTTCGCCAAATATATTTTGTACGTATCGTAACATCTTTACATACCTTTGTAACGCGTATTTACTTATCTTGAATTTTATGAAGTGGGCAAGGGGTCAAGAGGCGGAGACAGAGATAATGAGCCTCCAGTGACGACGAATCACGTCTCTTCCGGCTTCAACGTCAGCGGATAGATGTATTTCGATTAAAAAAGCCGCAACGATACTGAAATGATCATTTCTGCTTCTTCTGTACGATGGGGAATCATGCGTGAAATTTCTGTTGAATTCTTTTCTAGTCGAAATTTCTCTTAAGTGATGACAAAGAGTGTAGTAAAGTTGACACGGAACTTGACACGAAGAATATAAAACTTCTTCGCGAAGACTTCCTGATGTAATTAAAGACGTCGAGTTAGTGAAGTCGATCGAGAAGCGTTGCTTTTTGAAATCGAAGGTTTTGCGTTCGGTATTCGAATTGTAGATGAGTCTAGCTCTGTTTGTTCTTCTCAATTAATAGGTATTTTGAGCTTTGTGGGACGAATACGAAGGAGATCCATTGGTACAAAGGAAGATAGAATATCTTTAGTGAAAAGATTCCAACAGACTTTGCACAAAGTTCGTCTCAGGTTAGTAAAAAAGAGGTTCTTATGAACAAACAATTTTTTCTGTCAAATTAAGATCGATGATGAAACTTTTATCCTAAATCACAAGCACTGTTTTCGTCGACGAACGTCGAGTCGAAAAATAATCGTACGTTTAATTTAGAAAAACGTGTTAAAATTGTATAATAACTTCACGAAGAATGTAACGTAACTAGATGAATTTAATGAGATAAACAATTATAATAAAATGTGATTCTGTCATTGCAAAATGCTTTATAAACACAATGTAAAATTAATGTTCGCATTATTGAATACGAAAATTTGCCTCGCAAACCACATGTCTCGCTCATCTCTAATCTTATTATTATCACTTCGACTTACGCGCGGGTTATCGAAGGACATAATAATGTATGATAATGGAACGTTGTATATTGTCATCAATTTTTTTCTTGATGTAACAGGAGTATAACAGAAAGGTTAAATCCAGCGTGGTGGCTAGTGACATAGTTTCAATAAGGCTGTACCATTTGTTTCGCAAATATTACGTCAATTCTTTTTTCACACGTTAAAAATTGGAACCATGTCCTTTAAATTTCGCGACTATGATGATATTGAACATGAATAAATTGTAAAATTATATTTATCTTTCAGATACAATGTCTAACTTGACGAAAAAACCGGGTCCCCTTATTGGAGTAATTGATGTTGGAACGCGGACTGTTCGCTTTGTGGTGAGACATTGTTATAGTTGAGTATATAGTTGTCCAACATTGAGTTTACTTGAGTCGATTTTGACGTAGGATTCTATTACTAAGAACGTATACGCTGCTCGCGTATAGAGTTGTTAATGGCTTAATAACTAAACGCATGATTTCAAAGATAACAAGCGGCTTAAAACTAAATTGTTTTGCAGGTATTCAACGCAAAACACGTGGCTGAAGTAGCATCTCAACAAATCGACATAGAACAAATAAGTCCACAGGAAGGATGGATAGAACAGGATCCGAAGGAAATTATTTTTGCGGTAAAGACCTGCATCAAAGATGTTATTCGGAAAATCGACGTACTCGGGTTAAAGGTAGACGAAATAGTAACAGTCGGTATTACGAATCAAAGAGAAACTACCGTTGTTTGGGATGCAGTGACCGGTGAACCGTTATATAATGCAATAGGTATGTCTTGATAACAATCAAATTGATTAAACGTACTAAACTCATAAACATGACTCGTTATATCTTTTGTTATTTCAGTGTGGTCCGATATAAGGACAAATCCGATTGTTGATCAGATAATAGCCAAATTTCCCGATCAAAGTAAGAATCATATCAAACCATTATGCGGTTTGCCAGTGAGTCCGTATTTTTCGGCATTGAAAATTCGTTGGATAAAAGATAACGTACCTACGGTTAGGAAAGCGATGCGGGACAAAAGATGTAAAGTGGGAACGATGGATACCTGGGTCGTTTGGGTACGTGAGTATTGTATGTTTGAACGTAGAACTTGTCTAGGGTATGCAAACAATTATTATGCTTTACAACAAATGGAATGATAAATGATGAACATGCAAGATCCAGAGAATTAATTGAAAAATGATTTCAGAACTTAACGGGAGGTAAAGACGGTGGATTGTATATCACTGACGTAACAAATGCATCGAGGACCATGTTAATGAACATAGAAACCCTTTCATGGGATCCCACGTTATGCAGATATTTCGACATTCCTATACAAATATTACCAGAGATTAAGAGTAGCGCCGAAATTTACGGGAACATTGCGATTGGTCCATTGAAGGGCATTCCTATATCTGGTGTAAGCTACATTTCTGAATATACTTCGGAAAATTAATATAAATGTTAGACATTTGATATCCTTTATATTTTTAGATTTTAGGGAATCAGCAATCAGCGTTAGTCGGACAAAATTGTCTAAAGAAGGGACAAGCGAAAAATACGTATAGAAGTGGGTGTTTTTTGCTCTGTAACACGGGTACAACAGTATGTAGTATAGATAATATCGCGATTCATGAGATTATTTGATCAAGAGTTACGAGATGTTTCAATTTTTAGCGAGTGTACTCCTCACATGGATTAGTCACAACGGTGGCATATCAATTCGGTCCAAAAAGTCCAGCTGTTTATGCATTGGAAGGTTCAATTGCAGTAGCAGGTTCTGCTATTAAATGGTTACGAGATAATATGAAACTTATACAGAATGTTCATGAAAGTGAAAAATTGGCTCAATACGTTTTTAGTACCGGCGATGTGTATTTTGTGCCAGCTTTTACAGGATTGTATGCCCCATATTGGAGGAAAGATGCCAGGGGGTAAGTGACACTCAATAATGTTTCTTACTAAGTGCAAAATCGGTATACATATTTCTCTGTTTAAATATAATTTTACAGAATTATTTGTGGTCTTACTACGTTTACAACAAAAGAGCATATAATAAGAGCATCATTGGAAGCTGTTTGTTTTCAAACAAGAGATATTTTAGAAGCTATGTACAAAGATTGTGGTTTTCCACTGACGAAACTAAACACAGATGGAAAAATGTCAACAAATAATCTTCTCATGCAGTTGCAAGCAGACCTTTCTGGCATGCCAGTATGTAAGTATGCTTTGTTTAATATTGTCAGAGTAAAAATAGATGAAAGCATTAATGCTTGCATATTTTGATAGTTAGGTCAACAATGCCAGATATTACGGCGTTAGGCGTTGCAATGGCTGCAGGTCATGCAGAAGGTATTGATGCTTGGGAATTGGAAGGTGAAGCAGTAGAAACAGTACCGACTGATACATTTTTACCAACTACAACACCAGAAGGTAGAAGACTGTCAAATTTAATAATGCTCTTCGTACAAGTGTTTTGTATAAAATATTTACTTTTTGTACAGAGAGAGATGCGAGGTATAAAAAATGGAAGATGGCAGTTGAAAGAAGTTTAGGTTGGGCGGCAATAAAGAAATCTGATCAAATGACAGGTAAATTTGAAAATACTGATCAAGTAAATTTCAAATATATTTATTTTGTATTAAGTTCATATCTTTTGCCTGTATGCACTTATAATTGTATTTGTCTTAAAGGTAATAGATTTTCTATAAAATGATAAAATGTTGCAATAGAAAATGATTAATGTTGCAATAGAAAGGTGATAGCTTTTCTTTTTGAATTTGTTTAACCTCCTATATATGAAACAATATGAGTGCATGTGTATCCTTAGTAATTAAGCTAGTGTTAAATCGAAGTACATTTCATTGATGGCAGTTTGAAGAAAGTTATAATGCGTTTTTAATGTTTCAGATGAAAGATATTATGTGCTGGCATCGATTCCTGCAAGCTGGTTCTTAATGACAAGTTTCATTTTACTACGATTAAGTTATTATTTCGAAAACCGGTGACATAGTTTATTCTATCACAACGGTGGATCGTTTAGATAGCAGATAGACTGTATTATATTACAAATGCAAATAGGAATAGGACTGCCAAGTCTTAATCATTAATAGTAGACCAAAATATGGCCATCAGTAACCAATAAAAAAAACAAAAAAGATAGTACAAGACACTGCGTAGAGCAACTTATACTTTTAACTTTGCCAAAAGTAATCAATATAAGTTAAATAAATGAAGCGCGACAAAACAAATTATCAAGAAACTGATTTTGAAGAAAAATGTTTTAGAGAAGAATATTAGAAAAATGCACACGTACAATATCTTAAGAAATTAATTTATTCGTTACTTTTAATTAATTGTTGATACAAGATAACGTGATATTTTACCGTGGAGCGGTTTTATCACCACACCTTGTAGTCGCAAACATAGGACTATAATTTTATATAATTTTGTAGAATCTTAAGCATTTGTAATATTTTAAGGATTAAAATATTAATTAAATTTGTATACATCAACTAATTTTGGCGCTTTTTTTTTATCTATTTGTTATGTCGTCGAAAAATCCTGTATGTATAATGTTAAAATTATTGTATTGTAAAAAGCAAACGTGAAAATACACGTTCGTCTTGTTTTATCAATGCATTTATTTCTTCTATTTTGACACTTGATCAAGTTATACTTACCCGAGTGATGCAGAATGCAGAATTTGACGGTAAATAAAACGAGAAAAATGACATTGAATATTTATAGGAAAGAATGGACAGAGTTTAAATAGAGCGCGCTTTATGAGCGCCACAAAGCGTCACGCGGACGCGAGTGAAACCATAATTAACGAGCCGTGGGCACGCTTAGTCGTGTCAGTGTCGATTCGTTGTGGGTATCCGCTGTTGTCAGTACGAAGTAGAAAGAGTAGGATGCGGTATCGCACAACGTTATGGTACATCTCGTGGCCGCGACTTCGTGAGAAGGTCGTCGAGATAATGAACGCATCTTGTTAAGAGAAATGCAGTATATAGTATCACGCGAGTGCAGGGTAGGCTAACCTAAAGCGAGGTGTTGGTGGCTTCGTCAAAGGTGTAGAAGTGTAAAAGTGCGCGGGACTCGTATCGAGAGCGAGTACCAAGGAGTCCCGGTGTCGTGGGATATGCACGGACACGTCAAGATGTCGTCGGGAGGACATAGCAGTCGTACTCGAGCCGTGCACATAAGTTCAATTTTCCAGAAGCTTCATGGTCGTTTCGCTGATCCTATGACATTACCGAAACTTTCGACCGACAAGCGAATGCTGGATAAGACTTGGAAGCTTATGGACAAGGTAGTCAAGTTATGTCAACATCAGAGGATGAATCTAAAAAATTCACCACCGTTCATACTGGACATTCTACCGGATACGTATCAACGATTGAGACTGATATACAGCAAATACGAGGACAGGATGCAGGTGTTACATAGTAACGAACACTTTTGTGTGTTCATCAACAACCTTATGAGAAAGTGCAAGCAAGCCATCAAATTGTTCAAGGAAGGCAAAGAAAAGATGTTTGACGAAACTTCCCATTATCGTAGAAATTTAACCAAGCTCAGTCTTGTGTTTAGCCACATGCTATCCGAATTGAAGGCCATTTTTCCAAACGGAGTGTTTGCCGGACATAAATTCCGTATTACCAAGGCAGATGCAGCCGAGTTCTGGAAAGATAGCTTTGGAATCAGGTGCGTATCGTTTAACGATTCTTTTGCTTTTTTTTTCTTCTTTTTTGTTTCAATCGTGTAAACAATGTAAAGGCAGGACACCTGTCTCGCCGCGTGTTTTCAACTCTGACGTGCGTAAAAACGAATAATAAACGCGCGCTCTGTGGCTCGCACGTGCGCACACCTAACCTAAAAACGACTCTGCGTCTCATTGATATTGACATTACTATCATGTAGCGAAAACCGGGACGTGTCGGCTGGTGTGCACCTGACGCCATTCGCGAAATGTATTTCATCGGTACCGGAAGTTTTCTTTTTTACGTGCGAACTCGTATCGGGGAAGAGCTGTATTTTCGCATGACCTCGAATCACGAAAAGCATTACTGTCGCTACTATTGTTTTCATAGTAATTCGATAATATCATACAATATGGGCATTACGGGCACCTTTTATCCATTAACATTAAAATTAATTATTAATATAACACAAACTGCAGATATGCATTTATATAATATCCCTTTAACAATTTACATAAAGTACATAGATTCAAGAGCGTCATCGAATATTTTTCTTTCGTCGAATAATCGAAAACAGATGACTAGTGATTTGCATTTCCGGTTCGTGACATTAATTATTTGAACGGTGAAGCGATAAATGCGGTCGTTGATTTAATTCCTAATATCGAATAACGGTCACTTCTGTATTAGCACAAAGTTACTTCCGGTGTAATCGGAATTTCATTTATACTTGGTTCTGGGCATCGAACCGTGTAAATTGTCAGGATGAACCGTTACTGGATTATTGTCAGTGGTCGGTTGCTGCCCATTGACAGTCGTTCATGTATCCCGATACAAAACCGTACAGAGCTACACAAAACCGAAAAAATTCACGAATGATGATTCGAGATCTACGAATATATCACGAAAAGAAAAAAAAAAAAAAGAAAAAGGAAAAGAAAAAAAATAGCACGAGAGCGAGCGAGCGAGCGAGAAAGAGAGGAAGAGAGAGAGAGAGAGCGAGAGAGAGAGAGAGAGAGAGAGAGAGAGAGAGAGAGAGAATTTAAAGGCTTGAAAATTGGTGGCAGGACGGGATCGATTGGTTAGATCCGTTTCCTGGTTACTATTCTTGGGGAGCCGGTAGTTTAGTATCGTTTTACAAAACTGATACACCTACTTTTACTGGAATACGTCATGACATGGTATCGGAAAGCGCGTGCGGTGCGCTCTGGGCTACGTGCCGCGTAGCGATTTATCAGCCGGTATAAATAAACGACCAGCAGTTCGAGCCAATTCATGAATGAGTGACTGCTGTACGTTGTCGCGAGAGATCGTCACGATTTGTCGGTACACGAGATTCGTGAACGAATAGTCTCTAGTCGCACGCTCCTTTCGAATACGTTATTACGAATACGTTATTACGAATTTCGCATGTACCGAGATATTGCAAACGCGTTATTATCTCGTGTTTTTTTCCACTCGGCAGAAATTTAAGTACATTTGTTTACCGTTTCATATTCATCCGTACGCGCGTATATCGCCGCGTATTTTTTAAATTATAACAGGGCTTTCTTCGCGTAATATCTCATAATGCGATTTATACTAATCGACAGTAACAGTCCACACGTGGCTGTTTTGTTCGCAGAAATTCATCGCGAAAATTTTCCAACGACGAGGTTAGAAAAATACGCCGTTGGAAATAGGAACAAGCTCCCTCGGAAGCGATAAAACATTAATAACTTATAGAGAACAGAATTAGTTAGGTTAAACATCGTCAAAGATATGTACAGTAGCCCACGAAAGTATTCGCACGCTATATTTCCAAAGAATCCTCTAACTCAAAAGTTCTGATTTTTAATGTAAAGTATAACGCGTTTTCCAATATTTTCATTGATAGAAAATGATTTTGAAGGTAGAAAATCAACGACTAAAGTTTTAGCAATTTTTTTGGCTCTTAAACGGGAGCTCACACAGAGAAATGTTTACTATAGAATTAAACATTTTATATTCAGAAAGTCTCTGTTTATCTTGTATCGTTGTACAGTTACTCCAATTTCGAGTAACAATTGCACCCACGTGAAGCAGTATCTGCAAATAAAAAGAATTGAACCATATGTAACTCGTTATGCTTTACATGCACGCGAACATTCGTTAAAATCAGAATTTTTAGGTTAGAATACTCTCTTAAAGTTTGTACAGCGTTGGAATATTTTTGCGAGCCACTGTATATATAGGAACAGATATTCAATCGTGGGTTGGAAACCTTTTTCCTCTTTCGTTTCATTTCTCGAAATCGTTCCCATCGCTCGTCGTTTCCTTCCGTTTCAATAAACCGCGTGTGCTCGTAGACGAAGAACGGGCCTACGCGTTTTCCGAGAAGGCTAAACAGGAGTTTAAAGAGCTTTTATCGGGGAACCATTGCCGTTCTGAACGTAGGATGCGGGCGATTGCAGCGCGATTAACATGCGGCCAGCCGACTCGATTACGCCGATGCGCGAACTTTCAGTTTCCGGTCAAATGATACGCGGACATCCGGCGGTCCCTGCTACGCTTTTTACGCTCTTACTCCGCTGTTTAATCAGCCAGAACTCCCGCGTATTCCTGCGCATTTAATTCGGCGTTGATAAGATAAATGCAAGTCGCGATTTATCGTACCGGAAACAATATTTATCGTTAATACCGTACGTAACCTATCATAGAAAATTATCGGTATCTCGGTATTTCTGCTCGACCTTCTCGTCGCATGACTCGCTTTCGAAGAAAACGGTATAGGAAATCGCATAAGTCCTCTCCAAAGTCACGTCATTACTCGCGAGAATTTATCGGGAAAAATCGAATATATCTCGTAAAACACGATTGCGAACATTACACGTCATTCCACCAACGTCAATCCCTAACTTATAGTTAGGCCTTATCTAAACCACTTTCCTAACTTTCCCAATTTCCAGCCTACCTTCTTTCCCCTGAAATATCGGTAATACACGATAATACACTTGCGCGAATGGAAACTCAACGTTAATGGATATTTGCAACGACGAAACGTACCGGAAGCAGAGGCAAGGCGTGAGCTTTTATCGAAAAGGAGACCGAAGTGATCTATCCGAGACACAGAGAGACGAAGAGTAGCGGAGTTACCGGGGTCTATAGTTGCGAGGGATTGTACTTTGTGCTGGCGCGAGCTGGGGGGCAGAATCTTCTCTCTTCTACGTTGTGTACGTATAACGATATCCGGATGTGGGTTGGGAAAGCCATATGAGAAAAAAGTGCTGAGGCAGAATGGAATTTAACGAGGTTGAACATTCCGGTTTCTTGTCTCCTACGATTATTTTATTAACGTGTCTCCGGTTCCTTTTTCCCCTCTCGAGAAAATAATTTAACGCGAATCTCTCTGCTCCTCGAGGATAAACCGGCCGGATATGACGGCGCCGTGTCTTATATTTTACTCGGTGCCCGTGTAACCGATATTTCGATAGCATGGGTAGTAGGATGATGGAACCATCGATTCGCTACATCCGGCCTAAAACTGGAGGCAGCGAACGAGTAAGCGAAGAAGAATTATGCGTGGGGGTGAGAGACGTTAATTCGTCTCGCGATTAGCCGCGATATCAGAGGGATCAATATATTTGGAATTCCGTTAGAAAGAATCCCGCTGTTTGCATGACTCTCTGTTTATTCTCGAGATATCGGGTATCAGGTGCATAGCAGATCTGGTGTCTTGAAAACAGGGTGCCGACGCGGATGCAATATGTCGCGTTTGCGATCCTCCATCGACTTAGCATTACGATGCGATATTCAGGTGCTGAAAGGTCTGCCTAGCTAGAAAAGACCTTGATCGAACGGAAGAAACGAACATCACCATCGTCATCGTCGCTCGACTTTCGAGAACGCTCGTGTTCTACCACCGACGCGCAAAAATCTTTGCGGGGGTGGCTCCACGACCTAACCTTTCTCTCCAGCTTTCGCGCAACCTACGATAACTTCGCAAAATTCCACGATATAGCTGTGGCTAAATAAACATCCATCTCTCCTCGAAACGTTTCGAATTCACGGAGCGTAAAATTGCGGCAGATAAAATTGAATTAGAGAGAGAGAAGAGGAAAAGAAACTAGCTAGGGAGAAAAAGGTGAGCAGCTTATAATACAGACGAAATGCGTTACCTCGTTCGAGGAAGCCCGCGAATGACGGTGCACTGGAAACGCGTGAACTGTCGAAAAAGGTTCGCTGAGTTGCGTAGGTGGGAAAAATGGCGTGTGTGAAAGGCGTGCTGGTCCCGGAGGATACTTAGCCACTATATTAATTTCGATCGGCAGGGGTTGGAACCGCATTGATAGAGGCGGACCGATGCGTATCAGCTATCCGTGTCTGGAGAGTTACGACCAAAGAGGCCTGTACCCTTCTCCCCTTTCGTAGTCGGCCAGTTAAGCTCACATCCGGACGTGAGCCGAAGCGGAAGGAAGGGGACGTGACGTCGCGATTAAAGCGAATTAAGCGGAGCGAACTGTAGGAATCGGCGTGGCCGCGTGCACGGACCGGGATCATCCTCTTTGCTTACATTTATCGGAACAGGCGAGCGTTTGCTTCTTTTCGTTTATTCGCTGGATGGTTATCTTCCACCGGTGGCTGGAATTTTTCCTCCATTACTGCCGATCATGCTTGTTCGAGGTAATGGAGCGAGGTAGACCGGATAGCAGCGTTACCTTCATCCTCTCCTCTCCAACGAAATATTTCGCTCGCCTGAAATGTCGAGAAATTAGTTTCGACTGGTACATTCGATAGAACCGGGGACTAATTAGTCGGTTGACCGATTACGTAACGATTGTAGGTACACAACGAGCAAACGTAGGTAGGCGTAGCCTTTGCAGAACGATCGACCAAGGATGAGAAGTATTCGAGAAGCTAACTTCACGTCGATCGGATGACAGAGAAGACTCACAGGGTGTAGTTCTGTTAAAAGTACCTTTGGCTCAGTGGTGCACTGACTGTGATACTCGATATAATACCGATAATACGGTTAACGCAGGCGGCCATCGTGAAGGGAATCAGTCGACGGATTTACACGAGCGTGCAGAACCTTTGAAACGAGCGAACCATCCTTGAAACCCGCTACTCCGATCGTTCCACTGACATTTTCCATCAGCGTATTTTCGCTGTGTATTGCGTAATTGCATTTAGCCATTGATGGTTGGAAACCTTAACTCGTGAACCGTACGCGAAAGGTGTAAATGGAAGCACGCATCGCAGATTCCGGGTTCAGGGTTTCTAATCGCTTCCTTGCGCTGTGATCTTTGAAAAACTGAATGGAACACTTAGAACGAAGCTCGAGGCAAATTTCTACTCTAATTTGACAATTCTCGGTTTAGCCCGTTTCGTTTTGTAACTTCTTTTCTATCTTCGAATCAGACGATTACCTGTTGATCGTCCCGGGGTCTTTCCCCTCCGGAGTACGTAGATATTCGTCGCCTTTTCCAAGTTTGACGTAGGTTGTACAACGAAATAGTATTCGTAGCTGCTTATCGACACTTTTAGCCACCTAATCGCTACATGGTATCGCATAGATTTTAGTATCTCTGTTAGAAAAGTGTCCGTAATAGAATAGACTTGGTAGCACGAGAGTCACGAGGAACATACTCGCGCTGTTGCTCTGACGCTGTACGAAGTATTAGAGATTAATACAAACACTTGACGTTATAATCGATTTGATTTCGAGTCGTAGTTACACAAGTCGGAAACGTCATATGGAAGACGAGATGGATGTGTCGGAAAAGCAGCGATCTATGAATGGAGGCGAGGCTCAGATCAGTCGGCAAGCAAGGACGACTAATTATAGCGTTAGTATCTCTCAGCTTCGTTTTGTACGTTAGCCACGCACTGTCGATGCATATATACGCGTATGCATACAGATATATCGCGGAACATTCAATTCCGAGATGGTACTCCTGCAATAGAGGACGTGACCCAGTTTAATGATGACGTAAAGCGGCTCAGGATTGAAATTCAGGAAGGACACGAGACTCCGTAAATCGTAGCTCTTTCTTCCTTTACCCCTACCCCTTTCCCATCTCGTTATTCGAATCCGTCAGGTGCTCACTTTCCAAATATGAATTTTACACGTTCTACGAGCGAAAGGAAAGAGAGAAAAAGACAGAAAAGTATTTTACCGAGCGGGTCGAGATTCGCCTTGACCCGTTGGGGACACACGATGGCCTGTAATTATGTCATCGTGTTACTCGAATGTGCCTGGGATACATTGACCTATTTTTGCAAGCAAAGAACGTTGAATTAATGTCTCTCGACGTACTGTTGCAGACCAGATAAAGTCGCGTGACATCGAGTCATGGTCAATCGTATTTAGTTTTCACTATGTAAGAAAGAACGAAAGTAGGGTGGGGCTCGATTGATGACTAAATAAAATCTACTAATGATGCTAAAAATAGACAAGGCCAGGAACGAGTGTAAATGCCGTGACGTAGAGCGAAAACGCGTAGGACACACATTTGTCACCATAAAAATAAGTAGTAACAGCGCGCAGGAAACATCTGCAGTCGAGAATTGTTTTGAACAAAATCAGACTTAAAATTTGAGATCGTTTACATGATAAAATTCGAAGTTTCAGCGTAGAAAGTTTCTCAGAAGTTTCAATGTCGCGAAAGTAATGAGAGTAAACATATTTATTTATTTATCAACGTGACGTTACAACACGTAAAGTGCGCATTCTGATGCTGTTTACTTTAAGAAGTGTGCAATATTCCATAATGAAAACATTCGAAGAATTTCGCTGAATAAAAAACTATTCATCTAAGAGTTTATGAAACGTATAAATTTTGACGTACTTTTCACATATTCCATATAAATAATCCGTGGTTGTTAGAACACAAATTACTAATACAAATATTTGCATATACATTAAACAAAGGTAGGTAAACAATTAGAAGTATGCTTCAATGTTGCTTTTCAAGCCATGGGGAGATGCTTGGGGTCCATGACGTTCCACCACTTTGCCTTCTTTGTCTACGATGAATTTTGTGAAGTTCCATTTTATGAAATCACCAAGGATTCCTCCTTGCTCCTGCTTTAAATATTTCCACAGAGGATGTGCTTTGTCCCCGTTCACGTCGATCTTTTCGAATAGATCGAATTTAACCTGGAACAAAGCCCAATCAGTAACAGATAATTTCAATCTTTGATTAGAATCTTCCTTAAAGATTTGCATACCCTTTGCCGATCGGCGAAGCTACATATTTCTTCGCTGTCTCCTGGTTCTTGCCCATTAAATTGATTACAGGGGAAAGCCAAAATTCGTAAACCTACAAACATAGCGTTTCAATGATTGTTCCATAGAGTCTTCTTTATTCTCTTACCTTTTGAATCGGCATATTCATCGTATAACTCGTTCAATTCCTTATAATTGCTTGCTGTGAGGCCGCATTTTGACGCTACATTTACGATTAAACAGACATGTCCTTTGTACCTGTAAATGAGACGAATAAAATCTTTGTAATGGGAATTTTACATTCACGTGTTTGTGAACATTAGTTAATATTAAGTATTATTTACTTTTCCAGAGGAACGTCTTCGCCCTTGATGGATTTAGCAGTGAAATCGTAAATGGATTTCGCTTCCTTGTAGTTTTCGTTTCCACTCATAGTTGTTGACACAACTGAAATCATTGGATGTTTTAAATATTTTATTGTATTAAAGGTTTTAAACGAAAATATAATTTACGTGATAAATGAATTGTTTTGCACCCTTAACATATTAAAAGCGGACAGCAAATACAAAGAAAAAAAGATAAAAAAAAATACTTATTAGTAAATTGAGAATGTCAGTAAACCATTATTATTGTTATTAATCATCGTATTGATTTGTTAATATCGTTACAGAAATTGTCAGAAAGTATCATAAAATTTTAATTACGTGATCATTTTTATTCTTCTTGTTCTTTTTTGTAAATTTAAATACAAAAGGTGTGTTTTTCGTTACAAAAGTTTTCATAGTAATTGTCATTGTATAGAGATCAAAAAGCAGTTTTAACACTAACCTTATTCGCATAACGATTGCCTGCGACTTCATTATTAATGTACGAATACGGTCTACATAGATTCTACTGTTGGTATGCGTTTTGCAGTATCAATGTCAGAGCAAAGACATATTTGATATTATTTTTCGTGTTTTTCATATTTTTAACAATTTTATTTTTCATATATAACAAAATTAATATTTATAATATTTATAGTGCTTACAATATTTTAATGAAAGAAGAAAAACCATGACTCATAATGTAATTGTAATATTTTTATTTGAAATTTATATATATCGTTTCTATTATGAGGTGCTAATGAATACGGTATATGAGATGGGCGTTTCACTTGCCATACGTCATTTTCTGTATACCTATGTTAAAAGTACACCGTCCATATTTTCAGAGATATCAAATTCTTTGCAATTACTTAATGACATTAGTTCAAAATGTATTACTCAATTAACCAATCATATTTTATTTTCCTTTTTACGTGAAAAATAATGATACTTTTTTCAGAATATATTTTATATTTTATTATAAACATAAACGCAATTTCATGCAATTGTTACTAATAAAAAATGCAATACCTGTAACGAATGCTGTACTGAAAGATATTATTAGAGTAAAAATTTGAATTATGCTTGTCATTCTCTTACAGCAGGGAGGGGGGAACAGATGTCAGACTTATAGTATTACGTGCCTGAAAAATTTCGTATAACATGAGTAAAGCCTACCGGCACCAGCAGTTTTAAAATATTCATTCTCCGTTGGTCGATATGTAAGGGAACAGAAGTATACGATCGTGTTCCTGAAATTTTTAGCGCAAATACCACATTTTACGTCATGAGAAATTTCAGAAATTAAACGCAGGACTTTGTACTTTATTGAAATACTAGAAAATAATCATTAGTTTTTAGGTTTAAAATATTTATTGTACGTTAATGAAGTAAAGATTAAGTCATTTTGAATACCTGTGATAGGTTATACGGTACTTCAACGATATTTGATAAATTTGTGCTGATTGTACAAGATTATGCAATGGTTTTCATTGTTAATCGCAATTAATTTGCGTATTCTAAAGTAATATATAAAACAGAAGAAAGAAAAACGGTTAAGTGAATATTTTGCGAAAATATCAATACAAGACATACAGTTTTTTATATAGAGTACTTTGAAATTGATGCCATCTGTTGTTCATTGGTCAAACCTTCGTAAATTGCACGAATGTGTGATATTTTACACCTATTTATTCTAACCTTGTTAATTATTCTAAATTTTAATCCCGTTTTCTATTGCGAAAGCAATAGATATATTGAAATGATTATTAATGCCTGATCCTAATGCTCGTGAAAAGAATTGAATGAATCTTACCAATGATACGTAGTTAAATATCGCAAAGAGAAAACGAGGAACAGAACCACACTCTATGAAGACTGATTTTGCACTGGCAAGTCTGCTATGAGTTGAGAGTTACCGGCCCTCGCATGAGCACAAACATACCAGTATGATATACCCAATTCATCGTTACAAAAGAAAATGACATCGATAATTTGAAATTTTATGTTGATTCATTCATCACTTGAGTACATTCTATTTTATGAGAATTGTGTACACTATAAATACAGTAATGTTGTGCAATTGTTAGGTTATGATCGTGTTATTGAAGAGAACTACATCTGCAATCATGTTGCTAAGAAATGATTTTTATATTTGTTTTCAGTACGTTGGTTCCATGGAAGGTATTCAAGGATAAGTTAAATGAAGTTCATCCAATTAGTTCTGGATTACAAGCCATGGCATTAAAGTCAACGATAGATCTCACGTGCAATGATTATATTTCTAACTTTGAATTTGATGTATTTACGAGGTAAATTTATAAACACGGAAAATAACTGTTTTATACAATCAACCAATTAAACGAGTCATCATAAATTTATTTATCATTACAGGTTATTCCAACCATGGTCTACACTTCTTCGTAATTGGAAAATTCTGGCTGTGACACATCCTGGATACGTAGCTTTTCTTACTTATGATGAAGTGAAAGCACGTTTACAAAAGTATTGTAGTACTAGACCTGGAAGTTATGTATTCAGATTAAGTTGCACAAGGTTAGGACAATGGGCTATTGGTTATGTCACGTCAGATGGGGATATTCTTCAAACGATACCTCATAACAAAAGTCTTTGTCAAGCATTATTAGATGGATATAGGGAAGGATTGTAAGCATGCTATCTCTTTACATATTATGAATATAAATTCATTAAAAAGTTTCTAAGGTCTATAATTTGTTTTCAGTTACTTATATCCCGATGGCCGTAATATAAATCCAGACTTAACTTGGGCAGTTCAACCCACTCCAGAAGAACATATAAAAGTCACAGCAGAACAATATGAATTGTATTGTGAAATGGGTAGCACATTCCAGTTATGTAAAATTTGTGCAGAAAACGATAAAGATGTGAGGATAGAACCTTGTGGACATCTTCTTTGTACTCCATGTCTCACAGCTTGGCAGGTACTAATATATAACTTACTCTATATATTTTCAAATCATTCATAAAAAGAAATTCTATAGAAATACAAATAAATAAATATATTTATAGGATTCTGAGGGACAGGGTTGTCCATTTTGTCGAGCTGAAATTAAAGGAACTGAACAAATAGTAATTGATCCGTTTGATCCACGAAGAACACATCGACCGGGAACACAATCAGCATCTGCTAGTAATGCATCGACTCCCACGCGGGACCTTGACCCGGACACCGAGGTATCCGACTAGGAGTAGCACCTACACTCATTACATTAAATGTGCTCTATGTATAACAACTTCTCAGCAAAACGCCTCATTTTTAAAGAATGCTTCATGCATTTCATGTGAGATCTCGAGTTTGTACGATTGTCATGTCATGTCATTTATAGAATTATCATCAAACACGTAGCCTCTCACGAGGTACATAAGTTTAAATATAATGACGAACTTATTAAAGTTAATATTTCAGAGAGTAAATAATGTAAAAAGGGACCAACTTTTTTGTCTCTATATGAGTTTCGTTCGAATCGTATTTTTTCCTTTTCTTTTCTTTTCTTTTTCTTTTCTTTTTTTTTTACATTATTTGTCTATGTATATAAGTACATGTAGAATGACTCGCAGAATAATTCTGAGAAAGTTTAAGTTTACAATTAATATGAATGTTTCTTACAGTTCACGTGTTTATTTAAACTAACATATGTTTTTACATTACTTGTTTGTATGTATCACGATTTACGAAAAATCTTCCGGTTTATGGAGACCCTAAGGTAGGTTGCTTTTTTGCATTACAAAGTCGAGGGCTTATTGTACGAGTCATCGTTCTTGTTTTGCACCGTTTGCACTCAATCCCATATTCTTCGTGCCGTTTATCATACACGTTACTACGTTGTACTTGCTGTGCAATGATTTAGTTAAAATAATGGAACTTACATTTTACTTACGACAAGCAGATAATGTCTAGAAATAACATTGTAGTCGATTTTCGTATCAAGTTTACAATAATAATTACATACAGGACACATTTTATACAATAGAGTAAAGATTTTTGCTCGCGACTAATCAAGGAACCATTCATATTTTAAATGCATGTGCCAATGTATAGCTGGCAGCGTCTTCTTTGCGGTGTATGCATACAAGACTTGGAGTTAGAATGCTTCATCTCTACATACAATTGCATTATTTATCAAATAAGAGATTTGTAACGTCAATACTTTTCCAAGAATATTAACCTGTTTATAAATTTACGTTGGATCCGCACAAGTAAGAAATTTTTTGCTGTAAACGAAATTCATTTAACAAGACCTTGATTCGATACTCCTCGCTTTACGTTTCGTTTCAAACGAATTTAAATCCTTTTTATTAATTGATATTTTATTAGTATGTATATCGAATGTCCACAAATGCAAACAATGACATGGTAAAAGTATAGAACGGAAAGGAATAGTGATTTTGATAGTACTAAGAAATAAGAAAGAGACAAAACAAAGTAATCTTCCAACGGAAATAACGTTGCTTACATCGAGCAATAGAAATGCTATATAGCCCATGAATGAACAATCGTTCATTCATTGTATTTTATTAGAATTAATTACGTACCTGTTGGCGATAGAAACAATGTAATAACATGCGACATCTTTACCAGGGAAAAGAAGTTATTATTTTTCTTTACTTTAGAATATTTATTATTTATTCTGTTCACGTATAAAACAAACTTTAAGGAGTTATACCAGTGATTGTATGGTAGCACTTCATACCGAATTTCGATGCTGTGGTGTATACGTTATCTTTCCTTTTTCTTTTTTTCAGTATCTTAATGCTGTAGATCCTGTATGCAATAATGCATGCAAGAGCAATTAAAAAATCGTACTCGTCCCCATGAACGAAAATTATATTTTTTTATCGTATAAATTGGCAATTAATGATCGAAAAAGAAGGGGAGTAATAATTTTTTAAGCATAGTATTACGTATCTTTACATATACTACGAAGTCTACTACATCTTGCACTAAAAACTCGAAATTAAAAGATAGATTTTTTACTGCGTTTACGTGTAGCCATTAGCATAATTTGTACAATGACTAGTGCTGCTAATTGATCAATCGTTTAGATCCATTCATGCTGTGTATATCCAGCACTGAAAGAGGTCTAAAATAAATAATTCATAAACATTACAAATTGTAGCGTACGTTTCTTCCTATTCATTGTAAGATATTAGGGTTCTGAGAAATACCTTCATTGTTTTTCTTTCGGTTTTCTTCTTTATCTCGTTTTAAATAAAATTATATTATCATTATATCGAATTACTTTTGCATATTATGTACTTGCATCCCTTTTGCTGGATTCTAATTTCTACGTCTATTGAATCAGTGTTCCAGCAACAGGGAACTACTGAAAAATGAACCAAGGTGTTACATCGTTATATCGTTCGCATGATCGTTTATCTTTATTTCATAATGTTATCTACTGGGTCCATTGCTCTGCCCGCTGCATGATCGAAAACTAATCGATAATGTACATAGCCGAAGGAAACGTATTTTGACTCGCTTAACGCAGGTAAGTGAACAAATGCATTATGACTCTGCGCTTTACCGCTTTGTAATTATGCTCGTTCTTAACTGTGATGTTCTTCCACATACAGGTTTATTTTGCTGCATCCTTTTTATTTCTATTAATTCTAAGAATTTTTATTTCATTAACATTCAAGGAAATTCACTACATTCTAAAATTTGATTATTATATTAACAAATTTACCATTATCTAAGATCAAAGTCTACTCTATACGCGTTCACGCGTTTCTTTGCGTCAAGTAACAATAAACGTTAGCAGACTAAAATAGAATGAATCCTGCTTTTGTTAATCAAATTTACAAAGATTAATGTGTCTTTCTTTTACGCTCGATGTTTTAGGAAATCATGGATCTGTGCAACGGACACTGCGGGCTGATGTGTTACGATTCGGACGAAGAAGAAGACTCCAGCCCAACGAATTCACCGATTCCAACTCGAAGGATTGTACCGAGTCCACCGCTACCTCCTCGACGACCTTCTCCATCACCCACGCCAAACAGTCATTCGAGGAATGGTCGTCATTTAACTGTTCCGAAGGAAAATGCTCCTCCACCGCCGATGTCTACAGTCAACACGGTATTCAACCCCAATAACGACAATCAGCAAAACAATAATAGTAAGCAACGGAAAGAAAAGGAATTTATCTTTGATTTGACTACTTATTTCTCTTCTCTCTATTCAGAAGTTGAGAATTGTTCCGTTCAAGTAGTAACATTTGCTTTACTTTGGCAGTGAACTCCGAAGCAGGATACGATATGCTACATCGCGCTTCTTCACCCTCTCCAGTGCCACCGATACTTCCTACGTCATTTACAGTGGCTAGAAGCCATGTTCGTCGATCACAAGGAAATCATTTAGCCGCGTCGCAACCGCAACCACCGCCGACATTACCTGAAAAACCGAATCGTGCTAGCAGTGGGTCTTCGTCGACGACCAGCCAAGTTTCGTCCAGCAATAACGTACCACCGGTTCCGCCGCCATTGTCAATGCCACGACCGCCGAAAACGACCAGTAAAGAGACCAACAGACAGGATCATCATTACGAAAACACAATCGTGATACCTGGTACAAGACAACACGTCGTGAGGAACATTAATCTGGAAGCGAATACAGCTCGATTGTCCGCCCTGATGAGAGGTAAGGACGATCCTACCGGTTCCTCTAAGCCAGAATCCGCGGCATATGAGAACGTGAACGTCGAACACATTTCCAAGCTGACAGCTCTCGGATTCGCGCAAGACACCGTGATTAGAGCCCTCGGTATTACTAGGAACGATCTTGAAATGGCTTGTGACATACTGCACGAATTTGCCACGAAATCGTCTTGACCAGGTATGCATAAAATGCAAACCTAAAAAAGAGATTAGGTACCGAATTCATATTTTAATGGACACTGCTTCATAACTTATGTTAAATATTAACGCTTTCCTTAAAAGAAAAGTGAAATTAATACATGACAATCTAATAAATTTCATACTGTAGAAGAAAGTAGAGATAATCGCATATCTTTCTTTGCAACAGAAGTTAACGATTTTAGTCACGGTATCTTTCTGTTTCTTTTTGTTCCAGGATTGAATACCGAGGAACTGTAATTGGCTCTACTTGCCGCACTTTTGACGAGCATTATGCGTAGAAACGTGTAGAACTTGCTATCACAGATTATTGGGAAAACCATCTTTTCCTTCCTCGCACTCAGGCATCGCGTAATTCAAGCAACGCACGGACCGAGAGCCAATATATAAAGATTTCCTGTCCAGTTAATCCGCAACACACTCGATCGTTTTTGCACGCATCGTGCGTCAATGTTTCTTCAACCTTGCTACTCGACCGAACCATCTTCGCAGAAGATATTCTGAAATACCAGTGTATTTCTTTCCCTTACACGTACTCGATACACACAACCGATACAAATAGAAGAAGACTGCTTAAAACTGCGAGAAGGCGCGACAAATGTTACAAATGTAAGTAAGAGTTAAACTTTACGAGAATAGTTCGCGGCCGCTGAGTACAAAGTCTTTCGTTTCCCGCGATCGATGCAAGCGAAAATTGCTGTCACATATTTCCCTAAGTAGTTCTCCATCTTGCGTATAGAGTAACTAAATTTTTCAATCTACTTAAGGCAAGAATTTATATTTACGTTTTTAAAGAAAGCATTCGCATGCAATTACGCAATTGTACAGTGGCCAAATTTATAAATAAGCTAATTTAACAATTTTCCCTTTTTCATTCATATATATATATATATCTCGTTATTTGTTTCCTGGGAAAAGGAATAATCAGATCAGATTTTTACAAGATATTTAAAATACCTCTTATATATTATAAAAATCGACTGTAACTACGAACGAGTTATAATTATCGTAATTCAATACAAAGTACCTTTAAATATTTCTTACGTGCTCCATAGGATTGATATTAATTGTACGAAACGTTTTGTCGATCGCGTGTAGTGACTAGCGTTATTTATCAAATGTGATACTTAAGTTTTAATAATTCTTGACTGCACTGAATAGACCTATCGATGCATGAGAAGTGAATCTTGTTAATCAATATTTAATTACGTTGAGAGAGAAAAGTATAAAGAAAAAGAAACGAATATTAGACAAAACACTTCACTTTGATACAATTTTTAGCCGTTTTTATTTAAATGATTTACAGAAGTTCATAAAAATACTCGTAATTGTAAAATTTTGTTTCTATAAGTTAATTTAACATACGCTTAATGACACATCCTCGTAATTCTGTGGCTTTTGTCGTATCAATTCGTATCCTAATAATTGTAAAAACGAGACTTAAAATATACACGTACGAATACTTTCTTTCCGCGTAATAAGTTCGTTGTCATGAACGGTAAAGAGAACGATGTATGCTTCAACGTCGTGAATGAATTGCATTGGAATCAATCCTACCTCGCGATAATACCAAAGGAATGTCGTTATTCTGTAATCGAATGAAGTACGTTACTAATGTGCTGCCTGTAAGGCAGGAGCAATTCGTTAATGTAGATTGTATATTTCAAAGAGTGCAATTAAAACGTTTAAGAAATTAGGGCGAGTCACAGTATTGCTCTTGCGAAATGCAAAACTGTGAATGGCCTTGTGACGTAAATAAAACAACAATCGTTTAAATGAATATCATTTTTTGGTTAAACTTACAAAATGACCACAATTAACAAGAATAAATATTTATTTAGTTTAATAACAATTGCAGTAAAATAATCGTTCTATTTCAATTATTGCCATTTCAGAAAGAACTATCAGTCTTTGTTATGAAATTTTATAGTTCGACATGGGTACTCGATGAATACTGGTATGCTATTTTTCTACACGGTATACTATTTCAATTGGTACATATTAAAACGTATCCTTGATACGCGGGAACCATTTTAACCCTTTCGTTACGAGCGCCAGATATAGATGGCGTCCACTCGATGGCCTTTGAAGATTTGTTTAATTTGTTTTATAAAATCTTTTTCCACCTTTGTCAGAATGTTACAACAAAGCTCAGAAAGAATTCTATTTTCTAACGAATTGACTGATTCGGATAATGAAAATCAAAATCATTTTACTTTACACGAGAAAAGAAGAATCATATGCTATACTTCAGAATCAGAAGCAGAGACGATTGAAGAATATAATGACACAGTTACTGCGATATATGGACGTCAAAAACATTTATCCCTAAAATACATAAGTTTGCGTCAGAAGATTCAGGAATTAAAGGAAACATTAGATCAGCAAAAATCTTAGATTACTTTCAGTTTTTCGTTCCTGAAGAGTTTGTACAATTGATTGCAAATGAAACAAATCAGTATTGGTCTCGAAAAAATAATAACATAAACGATACAGAAGTAACAGTAAAAGTAATAACTAGAGACCGCTATTTCAAATTATTAAGGAAGCTACATTTCACCCATATAATCTCGGTCCTACTAATGATCGTTTGTACAAAATACGGAACGTCATTGATATGTTACGAAAAACATTTAATCGATCATTTCAATCTTACCAACGGTTAATGGCCTTCAAACAGTACACCCCGTCAAAAAGAAATAGACTTGGTATAAAATTCTTTATTCTCAGTGATTGTCAGACAGAATTTGTATAGGAGTTAACTGTTTATGCCGGATCATCTACCATGATGGATAGCGAAAATAAGTATATTGGAAAATCGGGAGCAATAGTTGAAGCACTGAAGCCCTATCTAAGAAAGAGCCATACTCTTTATGTAGATAATTGGTATTTAAGTCCAGTTTTATTTAATTTGCTAGATAATAATTGTACAAATGAGTGCGGAACCGTAAAGAAAAGGCAAAAAGGAATGCCAAAGATTAATGATAGATTAAAAAGGGAAGATGCAACCCCTCGTTCATCCAATAATTTATTAGTCATAATCAGGCACGGAGGAAAAAGAGTTATCCAAATACCTGTATGCGTATTGGACCATAATAACTCAATGGGCACAGTGGATAAAGCTGACATGGTTATAAGCACTGTGAACTCTACACGCAAATCTTTGAAATGGTACCGCAAATTTTTCTTCCATTTGTTAGACATTTGCGTGTGGAATGCTTATTGCCTTTACAAACACAAAATGAAAGAACCCATATCTATGGCACAATTTCAGTTGCAATTAATTAGAGAAATACTGGGAAAGTATGATCAAAGTACAAATCATCAACGTCGAACAAGCAATAATCATCCACCGAAGTAGAAGGCGCATTGTTTGCAGTGCAAATGACAAAAGACGCGAATCTAAGTATGAATGTAAAAGTTGTAATGTGGGTTTGTGTGTCGATTCTTGTTTTAAAATTTATCATTCTGAATTAAATTACTGAGAATTTTAATTTGATATATTAATTACCTGAAATTGTATTTTTATTTACAATAATTGCAAAATCTCCAAATATGTTGTTATGTGACACTTAAAGAAGTGTACATAGCGGAGAATGACAAGGTAGCGTTGAAAGACATAAGTGCGAACACCAGTCTGCCGACGTGCACACGTTTTGGACCCCGTTCAATGGCGTTATTGCTGTAACGAAAGGGTTAAGGACCGTACTCCCGATGAAACGTATCGACACTACTACGTCCTTTGTCGTAGACTAGCATGTAAGAAAAACTATTTGGTGCAATACCTAGGTTAGAACGTAGATACCCTTCTTGATTTAACTATTCGTTGTAAAAATTGTTTTACATACTTCTCCAAATAAAATAACATGTCGTTTATAAGAATGTAAGGTATTCAACCTGATGCTTGAGACATGATTAGACATTTCATGGCACTGAAGATAATTCTATCTGCATTCTTCTGTATCTTTCTGCTTCTTCTTTGCTAACTGACGGGATCAATTCGTGCGCGGCTTTAAAAAAGTCCTCAAATTCTACAACAACATGTTCGTTTAATTTAATTTTGTTAGAATTATCTTGATAATTATTTAAAACTCTACGTGCAGCGTTTAACCATGCATTTGAACAAACGGCATACAAATCAGCACCAGTTGTGTGATCGGGTAATTGATATATTAACTTTTCTAATTCTTCACCATTCTTGTGAAGTTTAAATTTACGAGTAAGTGCCTTTAACACATTAAGTTGTGAATCACGATCAGAATGAATCCCTACGTATAATAATTTATCAAATCGACCAGGTCTAAGGAGAGCAGGATCGATGAGATCTGGCCTATTTGTAGCTCCTATAATGAATATGCTGCTAGAAGAATCAAGACCATCCATTTCGGCAAGCAATTGGGAAACCACACGATCCATTACACCCCCGCTATCACCACTTTGCCCACGATTAGGCGCTAATGAATCCAGTTCGTCGAAAAATACTATACATGGTGCCGCAGCTCTTGCCCGTTCAAACACTACGACATTGCATTTTTTTACTTTAAGATATATTTTTATTCTAAGATATTCTAATATGTATCTTCATTATCTTACCTTGTCTAACATTTTTCTCGCTTTGACCGACATACATATTTAACACCTCGGGACCTTTAACCGATAAAAAATGAAGTTGATACTCTGTCGCTACAGCCTTAGCGAGAAGAGTTTTTCCGGTTCCTGGAGGTCCATATAGGAGAAGTCCAGATTGGCCAAATCCTAGAGCGTTCATCAAAGGTAACTGAATTCGACGCATTATTTCTTGTTTTAGATTCACTAAACCACCTATATCTTTCCAATAAACTTTTGGTACTCGTGGTGCACCTTTACAATCTGTATATATTGATTGCATATATTCTGTAAATGAAATTAAACAGATTAAACTGATATAGCATAAACAATAATTTTTATAGATTTAAAATTTTACCATAAGCTCTATCAAAATCTTCTTGTAAAAGCGTTAACGATATTAAGTCTTTATTATTATCTTTGCATTGAAATTTTACAGCATTTAATACTAGTGCCGATAAATCTGAATACCTAAAATCGGAACATATCCCGGAAATTTTTGATAAATTTACTTGATGATCAAGATTTCGTTTTCTTAGCAACCACAAAATTAAATTTATTCTTTCATTTTGATCTAGATGTTCCAGGTGAATCGTCTCGATAAAAATTCTGTTTAATTCTGCTGGTATATCAGGCTCAATTGTGGTAGCTATTATAATAATTGGATACTTCAAACGTTTATTATATAACAAATTTATTTCGTTTGTAAAAGTTGATACAACTCTTTCATCTTTCTGACCTTCCGAATTTCTTCCAAATACCTACAAGTATTACTTTAGAATGTTTATAAATAAATTAGAAAGCTTATCTTCAAAATACCTCTATATTATTTAAACATAATATACATGGCACAGATTGTTCGGCATTATGTAATACAATACGTAGTTTAGCCTCTGTTTGTGCTGATGTCAAAGCTTGAACTTCAGCAAAATCTGTATTAAGAAAGTTTAAACCTATTTTTTCAGCCAAAGTTTGAATTAATTTACGTTTATTTGAACCTTGTGAACCCTTAATGAGAAATATTGGCTTTATATCTAACTGAATATCTGTAAAAGTATAAAACATTAAATATTTAATTTATACTATTTAAATAGTTCAGATGATTTATATTATTTTAAGAGTTTGATATTTAAATATTGATCTTTACCATGTTTAATGAATGGAAGAATGCAATGTTCTAAGTATTTCAAGGGTGTTATTAAACTTGGTGGATATGACTCCTCATATTTCTTTCTAATTTTATTAGAGTTAAAATGTTTTTGAGGTAAATAACTATGTACATTTGGTTCCTGAATAAGTGTTGTTATTCCATGTAAAATGTAAGAAATATTACGAGCTGTACAATTTCTATTATTATCAATAATAATAGAATTAACTTTAAAATATATTATAGACATTAAAGGATTAATATGTAAATACATTTGATCTAATATATATTCCTTTATATTAATGCCAAATAAGTCATTTTTTCTTAAGAATCTAGGTTTAGAGAAATAATTTTCTAATAGGGTACTTATTAAATTATCTGTCGTCTCATATGGATTAGAAATCATAGAAATTCTGGCCTCTGTAGCAAAACTAATTGTGTCATCCTTTGCTGGTACTGAAAAGGAAGATCAGAGAAATTATACTTGTATCAATCCTCTTAATTTATTATTTATCCATTCCACTTTTTCTTTTTTGTGATACTCACATAAAAAACATTTATCGATGGTACAATGCAATGCATTTTCTATATTACATTTCATAGTATCTGATATATATATAACATTTATATCACTATCGTTCAAAGGTATTACTAATATTTTATATTTTTTTATAGATACTGTAGAACATATATAAAACCAAGTTGGTGTAGAAATTTGTAAATATTCTATATTTGCTAGTAAACAAGTATTATAGTCTATATAATAATTTCTCACATCATAAAAATGTTTTGTTAAATATTTGAAAGCAATGTCTGACTGAATGTTCCACTTAAATTTTGTATCAATTAATACTTTTAATTTAAAAAGCGTGTATTGTACAAATGTATAAAAAAGTACAAAATTGAAGTTATACTTCATTAATATTTTTGTTAATTTACGTAGAAAATTTATATAAAAATATAATGAATTCATATTGCATTTGTGTTTTAATTAAATTTGAATATACTGAAAAATAAAGAAATAATCAATTTTTATACGATGAAATAAGAATTAGAGTCGTTTAATAGGAATAATTGCAGTATGAAGATATAGTAAATTTTGTATTATATACGCAGCACAAAAGAATATTTATTTTAAATAATACATATTAATAAATAAAATGTTTAACAACATTTCATGAAGATTTAATAAATATTCCCATCAATCATAAAAAAGAAAAAAAAAGATCATTGGCATACCAATTTTGGACCAATCTGCCAAGTTACTATAGAAACAGTGACGAAGTGGAGGTTCGAAGATTATGCGAGATCCCTCTGTAACAGCTGTCCTATTGGTAATTTTCAATAGGGATTTGTGTGAAAACTATATTAAGCACGGTGAATCTCTCGTCGCATCGGCTCTCAATTCTTTCGTATAGTACGTCGAATTAAAATTCGTGATCAGCGAGACGTAACTCTTGCATCATTTGAAGCACAGTATAGCAGAAGACAGTGAAAAACCGTTGGTGACCGTAGCCGTTAAGTGGAAAACTAACCTAACCTAGAGTGATAGCGTCCTTATTGGAGTTATCAAGACTAGATTTATTTAAATTTGAAGGTCCGCCGATATTCGAAGAATATTATGCAAAGTTTTAGTACGTGTGAAAGGTTAAGTGCTTCCTGAAAAAACGTCGTTTATAGTTTTTTTTACCATTTCATAGTTTAGATTGTTTGCATTACGTTTAACTAAATACATTTTGAAATATTTACGGGTTTGAGTTCCCTTCGATATTTCTGCATTTTCGCACATTCTAATAAATTATGATCATTAGTGTATTGTATTGTGACACAACGAATACTAAGTCATTTAAAGTTTAGCATATAGTTTTATTGGACCCACTTTTGAGTATAGTTTGAAATACCTTTACAACATACATTTAAATGATAGTTCCATTAACTCTGCTATTTCAGTATTTTCCTCTTTTTAGAACATAAAATAGTTTAATTAAGAAACTATAGAATTAAGAATGGACCCTGCAACAGTTATAGCTCTTTGCAAAGAAAATATTCAACCATTACGTTATGGACGAAATGCTGTACAATTGGGAACTGCATTACGAGCACAGGAAGATACAGATGCTCAACAAATACTTTTACAAGAAAAGCAGTAAGTTCAACAATAATTAATGTTTTTATAATAATGTAACTATTTTTTTTTATAATGAAGTTTTTATTCATATAATAGCTTATTACATTCAAAACTAATAAATTTCATTTTATTTTTATTAGAATGTATGAAGAAGCAATTAAAAATTATGAAGGAGATGATCCCTTAGAAAGTTGGTATGAGTATATACTTTGGGTAGAACAAAGTTATCCAAAAAATGGACATGAGTCACATGTTGGAAAACTTCTGCAACAATGTCTAGCTATATTTGAAAAAGAGATCAAATATCATCAAGATCGCAGATATATACGACTTTGGATTAATTATGTAGGATATTTAAAATGTATTTTGCATCTAAAAGAAAATGTCTCTTTTGTTATCTTATAGAATAAACATTTGGTTGCAGATAAGTATGCAAAAAAACCCATTAGAGTTATACCAACTTTTGCATAACAATGGAATTGGGACTATGGTTGCAGATATGTACAGAGCATGGGCTTTTGAATTGGAACAAATAGAAGATTATAAACGTGCTGATGAAGTTTATTTAATGGGCTTATCTGCTTTAGCAGAACCACAAGATGAATTAGACTATGCTCACAAGTATTAATCGCAAAACTTTCCATTGATAACAGAATTAATAGTAATATGAATTTTTTGCATTGTAGGAACTTCCAACTTGCGGTTGCGCGTAAAACATTAGGACGTACGGATGATCGTAACGAAACATCACTTTTTGAACAACGACAGGCTTTTAGTTCTTTAAGAGCAATAAAATCTGGTAAAAGAGTTGGCAGTGTTCGTACTGGACATCGAGTACGTGAACACTTTCCCGGGACTGTTCCGCAAATTTCATCGACAATACATCATAACAGACCAAATTCCAGGATACAGATATACCAGGTATATAAATATTTGGTAAATTATTCGAAGTACATAACACAAAAATACTCCAAGATATTTTTATAGGATGACCTATTGGGTGAAATGAAAGGTTCAAGTATATTAGATTATGTTCCAGTAGAAGATACAATACATAAAGAAAATACTATTAAACCCGGCCCATGGAATAGCGGAAATAAACGATGCCCATTAATAACATCTGCTATAAAGTCCTCCTTTAAAGGTATAATTCAATTTATAACAGAATAATATTTATGTTTATACATTATATTATATTTTCATGTTACTTAAATTATAGTTCATGAGGATCAACCAGATGATTTCGACACGAATAATCTACGATTATTTCCGAACCATACCTATTTTTTTGATGGTAGCAAATACCCTGAGTATCTAACTGTGCCTGTATTTGTACCAGATCCTCCAAATCCAAATATTATATTAAGGCCACATTATCCCAAAGAATTAGTTTATGCTAATAATATGGATCAAAGTATGGAGGAAGTAAGAGCCCAATTATATTTACAAAGGTAACATATCTTTAATAATGATTATTTAAACGATAAAAATTTTTCACGTAATTGTAATTACTATTTTGTAGAGCACAAACTCTAGAAAAAAGGCGCGACGTAGTATCAGATATAATAGAGACTAGCCATCAAGTTCAGCATAAAAATTTTGAATCTGAACATCAGAGACACGATATATCTTTACAAGAATTACAAAGACAGAGGAGAGAGTTTGAACAACAAGAATTAACAGAGAGACAAAGGAAAATGGAGCAGCAACGCAGGGAAGCGGAACAGCTTGAGTTGGATAGACAGAGACTTCAGGCTGAGCAACAAGAGTTGCAAAGACAGCAATATGAGGCTGAAAACCAAGCTTTGGAAACACAAAGGCGTGAAGCAGAACAACGTGAATTAGAACGATTGGAAGCCGAAAGAATCGAAGCTGAAAGAATCGAAGCTGAGAGACTCGAAGCGCAGAGAATGGAAGCAGAATTAAATTCGCAACGAAAATTACAATCGAGTTTTATGCATCAGCATCATACCTCATCGTTGAACACCGACCCCGAAGAACATTTACTCGGACAGAGTCTTACGGTTAATACGAAAGAAGCAATGTCAGTCGTACAAGATATGTGGCGCTCTCCTGAACCAGTACCTTCAACTCCTAATTTTCGTACCCCCATGACACCTAGGATTCCAGATTCCAAGACTAAATCATCTTTTGACATACATATGGATAGTTCAATGACACAGCAGGCAATGTCAAGTAGTAAACATCATTCGGGATATAATGTACAACCTTATAATGACCAAGAAAATCACCAAAATTATACGGCTCATCAAAGTTACTCTAATCAAGAACATCAAACCTCTTATGGAAATCCTGGGTTACATAACACATACCAATATCAAATGCAGGTATAGTACAAAGTATAAATAAAAGAAATTTTATATATGTAAGAAATTTTCGTATTAATTCTTAAAATAATTGATTACAGCAACATCACGAGCAACAAGTACAACAACCTCATTCTCGACCTCATCATTCACATCACCAACAATTAATTCAAGCACATCAGCAGCCTCATGTAATTTCCCATCATCATACTCTTCCCCATGTGCCGCATTTGCAGTCTCATAGCCAAATTCAGCATCATCAGTCTCATCCTCAACAACATCAACCACCACATAATCAACATCTACATCATCAGCCACATCAAGCGCATCAACATATACAACATATTCAGCAAGTTTATGGCAATATGATGCCAAATGACGTAGCTTATCAGCAGTATCCATCACAATTAGAATCTACATTATTGCAGCAAAATATAGAACCTCAGAAACAACTCCATTATCCTCCATATAATGAACCGGACATCGAAACCAGCAAACCATACAGAATGCCACCTGAATTACCGTATATAAAGTCTCCAGGAATGAATCGTAGAGATATTAAGTATCTTGAAAGTGCCGAAGATAAAGAGAATGCTATCGTCGTTGATTATAATGGACCAGTAGAAGAAAATATGACGCCAAAGCCAGCTGAAAATAATTTATATATTGACGAAAGTCTTGGTATCACTCCGTTGACGGGAAACAATGATACATGTTTCACGGAAGCATTTAGTACACAATTAACGAGTTCTACACCTATGACTAATCATTTTAGACAATCTTATAAAGTAGTAGAAGGAAGTTCACAATATCCAAATCAGTGTGCTGCATCTCAACCGTATGCGACTTTTTAATCACATACTTAATTAACATGAAACTTTAATTTATATTTATTTTACATTTTATTTACAGCAGTACGGAAACACCTAATGGTGAAACTGAAGAGAAGTTGAGTGTCATATTAGAATCCACTAGAGAATATATTTCAAGTAGTTCTGGCAGTAGTACCCATACGAGAAATACTGTGTTGGGTTTTACATTAACAAAAGAAGATCTGGTTCCTATAAAAGAACAGAGTACTAGTATAGGTATATTAATTAAATATACTCAAATTTTCGTTATTGTAACATTACATAAAGAAAGATTTTTTATTTAATAAGGTGAAGAAGATGAAACAAAAGATATCACGGTTTCTGCGAACCAACCTTATGAGCAAAAGCTTCAAGCCCAAATTCAAGCTGTGCATGCTCAAAGTCCGCGTACAGTGCAACGTAACGTGGATCAAATTACTTCTGAAATTAAGAAGAATTGCGATCTACGAAAATCAATTAACTTTAAGTTTAACGAAATAGAACAACAAGAAAAAGTTGATTCAATGGAATGTGAAGAGCATCATGAACCAATGGAAGAAACAGAAGAAGAAAGTTTTCAATTACCTTCAGGAAATATAAATCCTTTTGATAGAAATTTAATAGCTGGTCTTTTAAAGAAAATTAAATTCCCCCAGCCACATCATGCAGAGGGATATGTGAGATTAAATATTAACTTAAATAAGCTTGTGCCTTCTACTATGATTACGCTTGGTCAGTGTATTTTGATGTAGAAACATATCATTGTAGATGCAAATTATTTTTCCTTCGTCTCAGTACTTATTACTTTATTTCATATGTCTAGGTACTGAAGCGTACGATTTGGGTAAGTGCCTTGGAAAGGGAACGTACGGTACAGTATTCAAAGCAGTGAACCTGCAAACAGGTCAAACAGTTGCCCTAAAAACTCAAAAACCTGCTTGGGTTTGGGAGTTCTATATCACTAGGGAAATAAAAAGTCGTCTTACTAATCCACATATGGTAAAATATTTTTACATTTATTATGTTTATAAATTAACAAATCCATGATTTTTGTAATAATAATAATAATATCTATTTTTCAGTTACGCGGATTTATGGATGTCTCAATGGCATATGTGGCAAATAATAGTAGTGTACTAGTTTCAGAATATTCTAGATTTGGAACATTATTAGCAGTAACAAATCAAATAAAAATTGCCACGGGTAAACCGTTATTAGAGCACTTGGCTATATTTTTCACGATTGAAATATTGCAAATTGTGGAATATTTACACAAATGTCAAATTATACACGGAGATATTAAACCAGATAATTTTCTCTTAATGCGTTTGTACGTATTTCATATTTATAATATATTTATAATATATTTTGTAAATTAAATTTAAATAATTATATTATATTTATGAATGTTATAATTTATAGACCAACAGAAGATGTAAGGCCAACAATACAGTTAATAGATTTTGGATGTAGTATAGATATGAGTCTTTTGCCGGAAAAAACGACATTTACTACAATCATCAAAACAGAAGATTTTACATGTATTGAAATGCAAACTGGAAAACCATGGACATACCAAACTGATTTGTATTGTTTAGCTGCAACAAGTCATTGCTTACTATTTGGTAATTATATGAGAGTTTCAAATATTGGTGGTCGCTGTTTTATCACATCGAAAATACCAAGGTATTTATATTTAAGTAAAGATATTTTATAATTATGAAACTATAAAGAGTAAAATTCATTAAAAATTTATTGAAAAAATGTAGGTATGCTAAGAAAGCAGCGTGGGAGCAGTTCTTCACAGAATTATTAAATGTTGAATCTTGCGATAAAATGCCAGATTTATCAAAATTGCGCAATATGATGGAGGAAACATTAGCGCAGATGACTGACGCGCAACAGAAATTTAGAAATTTTGTCAATATTTTAAACAAACGATAACACTTACTGAATATATTGTATCAAACGTTGTGTCCCAATGTGTGCACATATTTAGTAAAGAACCAGCATTTATTAAGAAAAATTAATGTTACTATGCTATTTATTATCAAAGTTAATACTATGGTGATATATGTAATACACGGTTAATAATACGTAAAATGCACTTCATGGCCTGCTTCGTGGAGGCTTTAATGAACTATATTGCTTGCACATAATCAATTATATTAAAAATACTAAATATTTCATTAAATAAAAGAAAAGAAGAGAAACTTTCCAAACTGAAGATATTACAGACATTTTATGCTCCATAAGTTATAAAAATGTCTTTCAAGATACCTCGTGACGCAGTACCTGGATGTTAGCATCTGTCACGTAAATTATGTAAAGGCAGATTTGTATAATAAAGTTGAGTAAAAACAAAACTTTGAGAAAAACGAATATGTAAAAAAATAAATATTTATAATACAATGCGCGTGAGATAAATGCGGGTTGTTTAACTACAATGTTTTATAATTACAAGCGAAAAAAATTGTACTGACATATTATCAAGTACACCATGCAAGCTTGCATACTTTACCTAGGTAATATGTATGTAGTGTTTATATCATATATATGAAATAAAATAAATTTCTGTTCTACAGATATCAAATTTCTTTACACGTACATGCATTTTAACATTATATTTAAAAAATTGTATTGCTCTCGCATGTTCTATAAAGAAAAGAAAAAAAAAAATTAAAAGTAAAAATATTTATTTTTCAATAATTGATCTCAACACTAGTATTTTGTTTTGGTTTAGATATCTTTTGATGATGATCGATAATAAAATATGCAAGCTCATAGAATGTGAATAAAAACATTAATGAGTTAATATAATATGTAAGCAATTTTATATAAAAATTATATTGAATTATAGTTTTTTGGTTTATTTTAATATCTTTTATTTTTAATGTGCAGGCTTATTCGCCAATATCCACTAAACAGGCCTTTATGTAGTATATTTTATAAAATAGAATTTATTATATCTAACATGCATATGATAGAAATTTCAAAGTTTGTGTTCAAATGATTCAATTTTAGATTTTATAAAATGCACAGGAACACTAGGTTGTCTAATATTTAAAGAATAATATAAATTATATGTATAGCATTATAAAACATATTGATAATAAGAGACAACCTATTGTTCTCATTTAGAAATTTCTGAGAATATGCCTTATCTTATTTTAACGGTGCAACGTAAAAATATTTATATTCGTATAAAATATATATACAATTATTCAATACATCCCTTATAGAAGAAAAAAGGAGAAAATGATAAGTGGTATACATCGCTGGAATTAGGTTTAATTATACAAATAAATTTAAAAAGAGTACTCAGTAGTAGACGATATTTACTACCGTTAGTTTACTTATTTTTATAAAAATTAAAAAGATGTATTTCTCTTCTAAAAATCTCTAATCATATTTAAAAGCTTTTGTTCTATAGACTTCTTTATGTATTATTGTTAAATATATCTTATAATATGGAATTAAAAGTAATTAAATCATTGCAGGTCAGTTTTATATTATACATAAATCTGTAAAACTTCGTAAGATTTATATACCTTGTTAAGTTATATTGGTTGCTCACAATATTACATACATGCATACCAAAAAACATTATTTTAAAAAAATTTATCTTAAGAGTACAATTATTTACAAAAATTAATCTTGTTCTGAAATCTGTTATAGTGATAATCGTAAATTTAATACAACAGATCTAAAATTTGTATGAACTGTAAATTTAACATTCAACATATTTTTGTTTAAAAGTTCATAATTACAATAGGACACAGTATACATAAGTGCATAATTGTCATATTGATGAGTAATATAAGTTAATTCCTTTTTTCAAGTTTTACCATAAAATTTTCGATTCAATAAATACAATAATAAATTTACGTTAACTTTTGCTTTACCAAACATATCCATAATTGGTGCACCTTCAAATTGTAACTCAAGTAACTTTTGTATATCAATATCAACTTTCTCCATTTCTACTCCCATAAATTTGCAACGTACACTAAAAAGACCGGTATGTTCTGTTGGACTGATTTCAAAAATCACATTTTTAAATTGTGATTGTGGAAGTCCATCAACTTCTAACAATACTCCCTTTTCTTGTAGTTTGGCCGCAGAATATTTTAACGTCATTTTAGATCTCAACTTAACATGATTATTTTTTTGAATGGCTTTAAATGCTCGTAAAGACCTATAAATAGTTTGTATCTGTTACAAGAATAAAACCGAAAATTTGAAGGAATTATATACATACCCTTTGCCGGTATGTAAATTTTCCAAACAACGTTGTATATATTCATTATAATACTTTACTTGTTCTTGGTAATATTTACACTTTTCCTCGAGTCTTTGTTTAGTTGTACGTAATGTCTGTAATTCTATATTTCGAAGAATTCGATACTTTCCTTTATTGCAAAGATCTTTGGCCACTGCAGTTATAATATTTTGATATCCATCTGAATGACTGACCCATCCACCAAGTTCGAGTTTATTAAGATATGCTCGTAATTGAAGCTTACAATCATTTAAGGATGAACTGCAAATAAATTTTTGTTTGTTCTCTATTTGACCGATGATTAGTAATTTATTTTATTATGATACCTCTTATGAATTATATTTAAAGTAGGTGATAAACTGGAGCATTTTATATCATATAGTTTTTCTTGTATGGGGGAACACGTAATTTCCAGAGCTTCAATTAATGTTTGACCTTTTAAAAATTGTAGTACAGAAACTAGTAACTCTTTTGTTTTTATGAAGAGTTTATTTAGACTAGCATCTTCATCTTCTGGTACTTGAAATTTATTGGTAAGTATAAGACATACTTCCGTCTTTCCAAAACGCGTTACATTTGTCTCACATATGACATCAGCTAATAATTATAATAAAACATTATATTAAATTAAATACAGTGTAATAATAAATCATTACTTACAGATTCCAAGTAAAGATGCAACAGTTGGTGCAGGACCCAAATCATCCAATAAGTCATGCAAGGGATCCATTGGATCTGGTGCTATTTGATCTTGGTATTCTAACATAAGGCAATGAGTATCACAGATTTCCTGCAATACAATTAAGTAATTTAGTAATGAAAAGTTTTTAAATTGTGTGTGATTACCAAAGTTTTGCTTACTTGTAATGAAATGTAAATCTCAGGTTTTTGAATCAGTGTCGCTTCCGTATATTCATGAATACAAAAATGTTTTTCTAAATCTTCAATTTGACAACAGTAGCGGAAAAAGCTTTTAAACTTTTCATGGCATTCAATTATAAATGAATTCAAACAGACTAGATGTGTGGCTTCTTCACCAAACTGAAAAAAATTGTCGTAAAATGCATGTGTTTTACACAGTTCTAGATATATTTATTAGAATGAATAAATTACCCCTTTTTTAGAAGCAGCAAATTGTAATATTTTTGCAATACTGGCTAAATTTCTTCGTTGATCATTGGATAAAGATCTGTCGATTGGTAGCGTAATTATATCGAAAGCATCTGGAGCTACAATAGCTGCATTTATAAAATGATAATAAATCAAATTCCCCACTACTTTTAAAATATCTTTTTCTGGAGCATTTGGAAATTTTTCAGTTAAGGAATCATTTAAAATTTTAGCCATATATAACATTCCATATGGTATCAAATCTCGAGACTCAGTTATTTTAGTTAAAAATTCTAAAACAGTACTTTGTAATAATTGTATTCCCTTATTTAATCTAATTCTTACTTGCTCATAATTTAAAGCTTGTTGTTGTGTTACTGTATAAGGCAGAGTCCTGTTGAAAAAAATTATTATAAAGAAGTATTAACTACAATATTTGTATTAAACTTACAATGTTTCTCCTGTTTCCATTTCTAATTGATTTCGCCAGCACTTGTAAATATCTACGGGATTTGTTTCTATACTTAACGTTCGATCAGCTAAAATTTTTTCAATAATTGGTCCAACAATTTGCCTTAAAGCTCTTTGACCATTTAACTGTCGCGCATAATTTACCACCATTTTCAAAACAAGAGGATTTCCGGTAACGACTTCAGATGGTTTTTGAAACTTACATCTATATGTCGAATTAGAATTATTATTTATAATTAATTATTTTGTCATCTTTTTATGCATCTTTTTAATCACTGTACCTGATTTCTTCTTGTAATGCACTTCCAAATAGTTTCAATAATAAGTATTCCTCTCTAATATTTGACCCGAAATTAAATAATGTTAAAATTACATTTTGAAGAAACTTATTTGTTTTACTTTGAGGTAGGAGAAATAAAAGTTTTGATAAGTATGTTGGATTAGTTTGCAATGCATAAAAAAGATGTTGATAACCTTCTAACATTTTTCGACCTTCTTTAGTTAATGATTTTAAACCTTTGTGTGGGATAACACCATCCAATAAAGAATTCCTTTGGTCTCTATTAGATTGTTTCTGTTTTGCAAGAGTTTCTAAACTTTTTCCATGAGCTACAACATCCTAAACATTTTATTTTTTAAAATATATTTTTAATTAAATACGGATTTTATATACATATTTTTATTTTAAACATTACCTGTAACGTAATTCTATTTTGTATAAGCAAACCAATTTTGATATCCATACTATCTAATTGTTGTGATAACGTTTGATTATGCCGTATACTTTGCACAACTTCATGTTTTAAATGCTGCAACAGTAAATTTGTAATAGAACTTATATCATTCAAGAATTGTTTAAATACTGAACATTTTTATACTTGTAACTGCAAGTCTTTGTCATAATCTTCTGCGTTAAAATTTAGAATCGCTGAAAAATGTCGAACAACGGGAAATGGTGGTTTTTCCATATATAACAAGGAATGAAAAGCGCGTCTTTCAGCCCGACCACGCCACAAAGCTTGTATTTTTATAATTTTTTCTTCCTAAAAAATATAATATGTTAAATAAGCCAATACAACCCCTAATATATCGTGTACAATATTAATTAGAATAAAAAGTACTTACTTGTTCCCCATAATAATCTAATATATTTACATATTTAGCTTTTATTTTTAAAAATTTATTCTTTGATTTATCTTCATTACAGTTTCTTTTTTCTTCAAGTAATTTTGCATATCGTTTACGTTGTATTATATTTCTCCACCATGCTTGTATTTGAATAACTTTATCCACGTTATCGTAAAAAAATGTAAATCTATCGGAAATTTTTTTTCTTAATAGATATCCACGGATATAAGCTTGCAATTGAATTATTTGTTTGCTTATTTCATGCTCTTCGTGCTCTCTTATTGTTGTACTTTTTATTACCTCCTGAAAATAATGAATATATATAGCTTTAACATCTTTTTATACTAATCAGTTTAATTTTTCTAAGTATATGTTACTTTTATATCTTCCATGCTGATATAAAATGTTTCAGATATATTTTTAGGACAATCCCAAGTGTAATTATACTTTTGTAAATCTAAATATGATTCATTATCTTTAGGAGTAACATAACGAACAAATGCACAATTGTACTTTTCATTCTGAAACACAAGAAGGAATTACTAAATTCAATATTCTATTAATATACAATCATTGTAAGATTATACCTTCATATTTTTTAAATTGCACAAAGTTTCAAAACAGTCTGCCTTATATTTGTCTGGTATTTTAAAACCAAACATTTGAAGACAATCAATTGTGAACAACATATCATTTCGCTGTAATCCTAAATTAACTTGTGATAAAAATGTGCAGGCTATAAAAGTATGAAATTTATTATATTATATTATAAAGTTTAATAATAAATGGATAGAATTTGTAAATATAGTACCGTGTTGAACAGTTTCAGCCTCCACAGCAACAATTTTTGTTATATTTTCTACATCTTCCAACCATAATTCAGAACCATCAAAATGTTTTTCCTCCAGACATTTTTTAAATAATTTCAAATAAAGAGATGCATCTTCTGGTGAAGTAGGTTTTTGTAATTTCAAAGCAGTATCTTTTAGGGCACTTATGACACCGCTTCGATCGTTTTCTACGACAGCTGAGTTTAGTTGACGTAGCACTTGTATTACTGTCAAAATAAAGAAAGAGTGAAAATATATGATAGAGTTAACATAGAAATACATAGAAAGTTTATGGAATATACCCTCGTCATCATTTTGACATTGTTGATTTACAACATCAATACATTCTTGTATATCAATATATGTTAATAAAGGACATTCTTCGTCAATTGTTTGCTTTTCACATCGAACTGCTGCTAATGCTCTATAATATTTTACTTTATTCCCCTGATCTAATCCCTAAGATATAACATATATACAAAATTAATTTTTTATTACAATTATATCTATACAAAAAGTACACTTACAGATACATGACAATCTGGATTTGCTAATGCTTGATAAACTAAATCTGGATCTCCTGTGTCTACAGATTTACTGATTTCTGCGATCCTTGATAAAACACGAGTACTAACTATAATATCATTATATGAAAGGTCGTTCTATTAAAAATGTTGTTCATATTAATAAAGATTCATAACATATAATTTTAATTCTTTATTTTTTGTATCCAATTTTTACCTGGGATTCAATACGATCAACTTTCATTTCTTCATAATATAGTGGTATTGCAAAATCATCAATTTTTTCTGTTAATCCAAGATCAGGACTTTTTAAGACTTTATAGAAATCATTTCGTGCAGCATTTTGTAATGTTAGGTTTAGAAGTCTTACACTATCATCACCTGTTATAAAAAAAGATATTTGATAGTTACATCTAATGAGATGATAATTGTTATACAATGATACAATTATATAAATGTTTTTTATACAAACGTTTCTGAGACTTAAATGCAGTTTCATTTGTTTTATCAATTTCATTTTGAAGTAATTGTTTCCAATGATGATGATATATTTCTGAATATATATTATCCCATTCAGAACTTTCTAATAATTGCATTAATTGTTCTTTATATAATTGTGCATTTTCATGGATAATGTTCTAGCAAATAAAATTATAACACTTATAAGTAGGAGAATTACAAACAAATATATTGGTAATAATGTTCAGATAATACATACTTTTAAATCCAATATAGGTGATTTTAATGTATCCATAAAATTATTATTTTTACAATGAACAGACTGAATTATATTTTTCACAGTACAATGAACTAAAAAAAATATATACAATTAAAAGGAAAAATATAATTTGAAAATAATGATTGTATTATAACTTACCATTAACATAATTAATATGACCCTGAATTTCTGCCTGAGTTAATAATTCATCATATATATCTGGTACATAACTATCATTAAGAGACTGTTAAAATTATATTCATTAATGCTTACTAAAAATATAAATGAAAATATTTTTAGAGAAAAAACATTACTTACTCTATTAAGTGCAGCTTGTGTTTTAGATTCCTTTGCTTCCAACAAAGCATCCTTATATTCTTCAATATAACAAGGCATAATACTATTTAATTGTACTACTTTATTTTGGAGAGTAGTCAATATCTTATCATTATTCTTAAAATTAAATATTTATTAATTATTTAGGTTGCTATCTGAAATAATATCTAAATACAAATTATATTCAAACCTTCTCTACAATAGCTTGATTAATTGCTATCACTGCAGCATGCAATGTTACTGCATCTATCTCCATGCTATCTGCTAATAAACCACCAATCTTTTGGAAAGAAGGCATTTGAATTCCATATTTTTTTAATTCTTTACTGACAGCATTTATTTCTTCCTCTAAAAAAAATAAAACACTATAATAATAATATAATTAATGTCATAGATTTTTATAGAATATAATAAAATCAACCAAGTACCAGTAAAATTTACTTTTCCATACAAGTCTTGAATTTGTGGAGCTTTACCCAATTTAAATAAATGAGTACTCAAAGCATGAATACAATATATTACGCGTGGCATATTTTTTTTATCATAAATATCAGTTGTTTCTGGCTGAAAAGTCTGTTAAAAAAAATTGTACTCATTATTGTATTTAATCTCACATATGAGGAATATTTTAATTTTTATATAAAAAAAGGCATACTAATGGTAACTGCATAGATTTTAAGGATTTTAAAAAGTAATTAATATTATCTGTGTGTCTGAATTGTAAACCAACTGCTATATAACGTTTCTGTTCAAGATCATATATTTTGTGAAGAGGCAAAGTTTCGGGTGCCATAAAATGAGCAAGCTTCGCCAAATATACTCCATTTCTTAAATTTTCTTCTAGCTCAGTTGTTGGAGGAAGTGTTTCTCTGAGACATGCTTCCATCCATCTATAAAATCAAATAATGCTTATAAATAATAAGAATAATAGAAGTTTATCAAAACTTGTTAATGTAGTTACTTTTTGGCTTCCTCCAAGTGACAGAGGTACTCATAAGCAAGTGTCTTATGACGTTGTTCATCCATTTCCTCTGCTGATTTACGAATATCTGTTCCTACAAAACTTTATCTTCTAAATAAAAAATTAAAATCTACGTATATATCGCATAACTATTACAATATCCATTTTCATGTGCAAGCAAATTTTCAATTTGACACTTATATTTTACAGAGTAAAAATTAAGTAATTAAATTAATTGTTAATGTCACCTTTTTCATGATTAATTAATATGTCATCAGTATCACACATATTAGACAGGAAGAAAATATAATTATTAAACAAAAAGTGGGAATAATACACGATAATGGAATAGTACGTTAAATTCTACAAATTCAAACTTGTTCAAAACTTCAAGATGCTGCAACACTGACTAGTCATGCCAACTGAAATATTCTGTGCTTTCCAATATCATTGGACAACGATTTCATGAGAAAGAATCATTAATGACTCACTTCGTATCGTTAATAATTTGATTCTATTTGAACAGATTCCAAATCAATTTAATTTGACAGGCTATAATGAACGGATAAATAAAATAAATAGTAAATAGTCAATTCTAATTTATTAAACACTATACTAATTATCTGAAAAATAAATCAAGAATAAATTCAAGTTACAGAACACTTAAATCTAGCACATATGTGACAGCAGAACCTCAATCCTCAACATTACCAAGATTGTTCAAATACGCGATAAGTGACAACGGCATGGTGAAGTTCTTATTCACTATATAACTTACGTGCAGAAAGGTCTTCATCCGGCTTGGCAATATGGGCGGTTGTGCGAAGCAAACCTTTGCCTCAGATAGAATTAGCATATCCTTCTTGAAGATCTGGTGGTTGGCCGATGTGTTCGTTTTTAAAAGATCTGATCCCAATGACCTTCATTGAGTTCCAAACTTTAACTGCTTGATGAAAGATATAGAGACGACTGTGAGATGTTTGTCCTTAGCCAGTGGTAAAGCAGGGACCGCAATAGGGTCAGTATTTTTCAACCTTGCAAATATCTCGGCCGTAACAGATGACTCCGTTTTCTTGTTATTTTTCGTTTTGAGCTCATCAAAACGCCTTTTTCTTTATTTCGGCTTACTTTTCACTGCCTCAGCAGGATCGGTAACGTCTTTTACAGTTAATGATCCAGCGTTTTGCAGCATGATTAAAGTTACAACTAGTATCAGTCGTAAATAAAATTGTTAGAGAGGAGGAACTAATAGAAGGCAGAATGGAAGCAAAAGTAGTAGATTGATTAAAAATGGTTAATAATAAGCAAGAAAGCAAGAGGATAGTGTATAGTTAAATTAACCACTCAAAGAATATATACGTAATTTATAAACTGTTCTTCCATAAGGATTAAAAAATATATAGGATACAAAGACTTGTTATGGTTAGGTAATTTATGGTTCCATAGTTTATATACATTGATGTTAAATGCAGAGTATAAAATATATCTATTAATAAGATTATTTAATGAGTATATCATTTAATAACAATCTAAAACAATTTTTTTATTATTTCTTTCAAAGTTAAATTATTTTACAGATAAATTTTTATCGTATTTAGACTTTCAAGGAGTCAAAATTTGTTTATATTTACATAATTATTTTATTAAAGAGATGCACCCAGTTATTGTGTATATATAATTGACATATGGGTATGTGTGTATTAATGTATACACATTGTTGAAGTGGTGTAGAATTAAGGGGAGGCTAAGGAGGAAACAACACAAGAATAGTGGGGGGGACAAGGGGGATCAGATAAAGCAGTTGACCCTCGCCCCTTCAATGACCCGGGAGATATCGTTCCACTAAATTCACTGACGCACCTCCCAGTCGAATGTGTAGCCTCCTCTACTGTACATCATACCGATCGCTATTTGTTACTATGTTCGTCCACTATAAACACATGTCAAAACAGGATATGCAGCTTTGGAAATTCCTAGTTGTTTTTTTTTGTTTCATCAAAATAAGCCAATGCGATGTACAAAATTCTACCGGTAAGTGGTTGTATATTTTACAAAACAAGAATTCGTCCTTATTTTACAATTGTGATATAAATCAATTGTTGTTCGATTTCAATTATTATTGAAATTACTTCAGTCATTGCATAATCTAAAATTAAGATCAACAATCGATTTCTCATTAATATAAACATACAACATTAGAAAAAATAGAAAAAATATTGCTGTAATAAAATACGAATAATAATTTTGTAAAAGAAAGAATTATATTTTTAATGTATCGTCAATTTATAGTAAGTTAACTTGCAATTGAATTATTAATACAATTGGCAGTATTAGCAGTAATTCGTAATATTAATGTGATTTTTTTTTAGTAAAAGCAAACGTAATTTCTGTAGTTCGATGTAACGTCCAAATGATAACACTTTCTAGGAAAAAATGATACCGCTGCGCAAATAGCGCTTGGTGAGAAACGACTTGGGGATCATATTCGCGCAATCTTAAAGCATTATCAGCAAGATGATCCAATAGGAATACCTGGGGCACCAATACCAGATCCCATGCCAGTACCTGATATGAAGCATTCGTTCTCCATATATACCATGAACTTCAAGCAAGTGAACGTTTATGGTCTCTCTAAATTCCGAATAGTAAACGCAGAATCAGAGCTGGCACTGATGCAAGTGAGATCTTTTTCAAAACTCACTATTCAATATAAAATCATAAATTTGTCAACTAATTGGAATACTGTTAATACTACGTATCGATATGATTAATGGTGAATATATAAGTTTTGAAACCGGATGTTTTAAATGTCCGAAAGAGGAACATCTATGAATATCTTTTTCTTGGACTTATCTCAATTGCCAACTAGCAGTATATATTAATCATATATACATATTAATCTATAAGAATTGTTATTTAAAGAACAATTATGCGTCGGCTCTTCTTTAAAAAGATATGCATCGCTTCAATGCCTAAGAACGTTTGTCATTACGGAAAAATACACGTGCTAATTATACGATTGGTAACATAGAGTGTTTCGCGTTGATGACTAATTACAGAGATGTATAATTGAATTACCTTTTGAGTCTCTGCTAAGTCGGTCCACATAAGAATTATCAAATAAGTAAAAGAGGATTATATAATTACAAAACGTATTTAATCTAACAGAGCATTCAAATTAATTTTAATTTTAACATGTCTTAGGTTTCGGTGACTTTGAGTATCAAAAACTTGGATATAAACGGATTTTATACCCTATCCGCCTGGCTTTCACGATCAGCCGGTAACTTCACTGTGAAACTAACAGAAGTGAATGTAAAAGGAATTGCTAGACTCGAAGTTACCAATGAAGGTAAACTGCAAGCACAAAACATCGACATGGATTTGACATTCGAAAAAATAGACATAAATTTCAAAAATTTGGGCTTTCTTGGTTCCATGTTCCAAAGCGCGATCAATTCTATAGGCACCTTCATTTTCGACAGTATTAAGCCCTTCATATTGAAGGAAGTAAATACTAACATACGGTAAAGATTACATAATTTAATGTTATAAGATATAATAAGCAGGAATAGCCGACAAACTATATCATATTTTAGGGGTGAAATTAACAAACAAATCTCGCAACTGCCGCAATATTTCCCGAATTCTATATCGCCTTTTGATATGGCAATAGCTGAAGCTCGTAAACAAGTATCACAAATGGGCTATGATCCGTACAGGGTAAAAGATTATAGTCAAACTGTCGGTATATTTACGGTAACGTCGACTCATACTTGGGTCACTGGCCTGGCAAGTTTTTACCGAATGGGAAACGTTACGTTAAGCATGGAGAATAGAACAGTAAATATTTTGTTTTCAATTGTCTCCAATTTCTTCTGTGATGGTCGTCACATTGTTCACACATGTTTGAAACATAGTTATAACATAGTATTTACCTATTATCATAATTACATCAGTTGTTATGTCATATACATTATAAGTCGAAAACACGCTGACTAATCAATTTTAATTAACACACATAATTGTCACGTTTATTCTGTACTTCATTTGTAGGCGTTGATGCATCTTTAAGTACTGTTTGGTTGTTTCCATTTAAAGGTATACATCACAGTTGATATTGGCACCCAGGAAATCGAGGGAAAGACTCATTGGGAAATAAGTGTGATTGGTGGTTTCTTATCTAGGGCTGGTACGGTTTCCTTTACTGTACAATATTGTAGGGTTCAACTAAAATTGAGCCAACCCATGGATACTCGGAAGAAACCAGGTATGGAACAACTTGACCTTGAATTAGGTAATATACAAGCAAGATTTCATGGAGCTGGTACAATCGATTATTTGATTGAGGCAAGCGTTAACATACTACCAAATCTTTTAAGGTTCGTTTTCGACATTTTTTCAGATCTCTTTACAGTCAGTTTGTGTTTAAATCCATAATATTATTTAAACGAGCATAATTTTTTCTTGCAGGTATCAGATAATGGATGCTATAGAAGGACCGCTTAGAAGACGTATACAAGCTGAAATAAATAAAGTGAACGTTGAACAACTGATTCATGATAAAATTCCTGATATAGAAGAACAGGCTAGACATATTCAAGGTATGATTCCTATGGAGGAAACAATTCTGAAAGAGATAATACCACCTCTGGATCAGGATGAACGACCATTTTCAGAAAGCGAAGAAAATCGAGGTCCTTCCTAAATATTGAACAATTATAAAATACGCAAATATTTAATTACTTGACATCTAGATTTAGATTTTTTTTTATCGATACCAAAGTTATAGCAAAAATATACAAAGATCGCGATAAATACACTGCGCAGCACATCGTGTGTTTTGTACATATTTTTGATTTACTAAAATATACTTTTTAGATATACTTTGATTATAGATTAATTTCAAAGAACCTTCTTTTTTTAAATACAATGTTTATTTATTGAAAAAAAAACCAGTAAAAAGTACAATAGTGTATACTTTAAATCATAGTTACAAGTATAATGGCTATAACAAAACTTAAGCAGACTAGTGTATAAGATAATTTCATTAACATTGTATGGTATAATATCAAAAGTACTTATTTTAAACGTATTGATTTTAATATAACGTATCTTTAAGTGATAACACTAATTGCTCTCCAAAGACATATTATACGTTACTTTATATTTAGGATAAATATTTTAAGTTCTTTGGACGCGTAAGCGATGCAATCTTAAGAAATTAAATTACGTAACAGTATAATTAAATTATCAGTTAAAAATATGCAATTAAAATTAAATCGATATGAACAAATAATTTCGATTATTCAATAATGAACAATAAAGAAGTTACTTAGGCTTGCAAAAAGAAAATATATAATAAATTCCAATACATGAATACTTCTTAATATCGATTAAGTGAAAAGTAACATTTACGCTGCCTTAATCGCTGGCGCATTGCTTTGTTCGATCGGTACAATTCGTTCTCCTGGTGCTGGTAGGGCGAGTCTCGGAGCAGTGATAGTAAGAATACCATCCGATGACAAACTGGGTTTAACATGGCCAATATCATATCCTTGTGGTAGTACGTAACGACGTACGAAGTGTCTGGATACATAACCATGTTCGTCCTTCTTTTCTTCATGTTTACCCTCGATGGTAATACATTTATCATCTGTTCGGACCGTTATTTCCTCTGGTGCAAATTGCTGTACATCAACGATCACTTGATATTTATTTTGATCTCGTTCGACAGTGGTTGAACCGCCAACTTGATGTTCCAATTCTTCCATCATGTTTCTCCATGGTTTGAAGAATTCCTTGAAAGATGGCATTGGTGACGGTTTCCAGAAATCGTCGCTGGTGCTAAGACGTTTAAAATGTTCCTCCAATTCTCGATGGTAACGATCCATATCTTCCCACCAATTGCGGAACAGGTCTCTTGATATTAGTGCCATGTCGATGTAACTGTGATCTGCACAAATTTGTGGCGTGTCAATGAATGTAGCAATTTAAAAAAAAAAGAATTAAGTTAAAAATCATAAAAATTAAAAATATTTTTAGTAGGATACTAAATCGATGACAAAATGTAAAAAAGTAATGCCATGTATACAACAAAATTGTTGACATCGTTGACAACATTTACATGACGTAAAGAAACTCAAGCTTTTCGTATTATTTCACTAGCAAGTAAATGCTTCGACGAACATAATATGCATTCATTTAACAATTTAATGTTTACGTTATATGAGAAATGACTATCAAAACTTGCTGCAGCACAGTATGAATTGTATACAAATGTTGACTTGTTTTTACGCATTTCAGACATCTATTCTTAGATTCATAAAACGTTATATGAACGTTGCACCGATACTTGAAAATTACCCTTCTTTTAAGTTGCAAAGCTACCGAAGATGCAAATTAACTTAACAAATAAAATTTTAAACGGTCGAAAAAAAAGAAAAAAAAAAAATATAAAAGGAAAAAGAAAACCGGCAGTTGATAAAATGATCGAAAAGTTTGTTAAATTATTAACACTTGAATAAAATTAAAGGAAGTTCCAATACATACCTATCGTTGGAAATCCTTTGTTTCGTTTTATAAATCACACTCTCAGAAAATAATAATTATCGTTCGCTGTATAAAGTCGTTCGGTAGTTGCTCGAAAAGTCACACGAACTGTTCGCTTCGAGTTACAATTTCTTACTGACTGCGCAATACTACCGTCCGTGGGTTTATATTTGGTATGACGCGCTTTTCGAGACTTTTCGAAGCGTACATGCGCAGAAGTATACTGCTTCGAATTTTCTGGTATTCTAATTCTACTGGAACTTACTAGTTTCGTATCGTGACCAATCAACGTGTTTTCTGATACAACGACCGCTTCTCGTTTGTTCTGGTAATTTCTCTTGGTACTTTTGACACTATTTAAAATACATCGTTTTGCTCCATGTTTCTCTACATATTTTTTAGCTTATGTATTTTAACGTAATATCTGTAAATATATCTAACGTATGTGTCATACATTACATCATATTTTGTATTAACTATATTATATGTATTTAACTATATTATGAGATATTTTAAATTGCACAAAATATCTTCTTTTTAGTATATTTTGTTAGTATATTATATCGGGTTATTATTTACAGAATTTTAAATGTTTTCTATTCTAATATCAATGATTAATCCTTACAAATCATTTAATGGAAATAGTCACCAGAGATAAATTTGAGATCGATGATATACACGTATCATCTACAGTACTAAAAATATTGTTTAACAAACATCTTTAACTGATGACGAAGGAATTTATTCTAGGATACTTTGACATAGACTAATAATAAGAAATTGAAGAATAATATATCTATTAATTGATACAAGCAAAACATTAAGAAAGAAAGAAATAGATTGTTTTATTGGGAATACAGTTTTTAATCTAAAGATAGACATCGTTAGAAAAATATGGTCGACTGGATGGTAGCGATCTCTCTGTATGCTTATGAGTACTCAATATGATAAAAAATTACTCAATCGGTATAACAGAATGCAGTTTTTCCCTTTACCATGATGTGGTACAGAGATATTCGTATCTCATTTCTACGCATGTGCGTAACGAATAAGCGCGAAAATTTTAAAATATTTTCTATTGAATGACATTTTCTATAATAAAAATAAAAAGAAAGATTTCGAATAATTTTATTGTAATAACAACTATAAAAAATAAATGAATAGAATTTTTATACACTAAATATAAAGGTCGTACAAAGACCATAGGAAAGAAAAATTAAAATAACGAATAACTACATAATGATTTATTATTTATTGTAATAATATATTATTCTTTTCTGTTTTATCTTTAATTCGATATTGATTTCATTTATTTAACTTAATATAAATTAACTTAACATAACTTGAGGATGAATCATTGAGTACTATATTTAAACAGTACAATAATATTTTGATTGCACTACCGTTATCTTTTACATAAATTTTTTCTTATTTTTCGAATTTAATCATTGCACGGAAGTTTTTAATGGATGCAAAACCTTGTATGGATTAAGTATACCATTGGGATCCATCATTCTCTTCAATTCGTGCATAAGTTCGATTTCAGAAGAACTTCTACTCATGTGCAGATACTTCGTTTTCGTGAATCCTATGCCATGTTCAGCACTTACACTACCACGAAGGCTAGATACGTATTCGAAAATAAAAGGTTGTAGTTGTGACGCTATCTCAGGTTCATACGAAGGTATAGAAACCTGTACATGAATGTTTCCATCACCTAATAGGCAAAAAAGAGACAAAAATATAAAAAAATAAAAAATTGTAACCTTTCGAATTAATTTTCGAGTTGTTCAGTCTTGAGCATAAGAAATACAGGTATTTATTAAATGCTTATTCAATCATACCTAGATGGCCGTATCCACTAATTCTTATAATACGTGGATCTCGCAATCGTTCTCTGAGTACCTCGATCACTTTATAAAAATGTGGAAGAGGTATGGAAATATCATATTTAAAAACGTAACCCTCTCGTAATATTGCTTCGCTAATGCGTTCTCTCAGCGCCCATATATTCTATGTAAAACAGAAATAGTTTTCTTTATTTATTCTCGCCAAATGTTTCAATTATTTGCTAGAAATTATTGTAATTATCAAAAGTTTAAAAAAAGGTTAAAATTCCCGAGATAAATAATACGGTAAAAATGGCTTCTACTGTAGAATAATAATATAAGAAAAAGTAAGAAACGTTTCTAAAGGACAGCCAGATGATACGAGAAAATACTAATTACTAACTCTGACTTTGGCAGGATCTGAAGTCATGGTACCGTCTTCGATGAACTCGTTGGCAAACGCCTTCTCCACAAAAGAGTTGAGCTTCTCTTCATCATGGTTCACGTTACTACCAGAAGTCTCCATTAGTACGTAAAAGTTATGACCACTGGTATTCGACGTTAGTGGATTCTTTAGACCCAAGATCTCTGTCGAGACGTCTAAAGACAACTTGTCCATCATCTCGAACGAAGACAAAATCTCCCCCAACTCCTTCTTTGCCAGATGAAACGTTTCTAGCACTTTGTCAAAGTTGTCTAGCCCTACAATAGATAACGAATTTTTATGCAGAGATGCAGAAAGCACTTCCGAGGACCTGTAGTACCTAAGAAAGCAACATTGATGGCTGCAGGAAGAGGTGGACATTGAATTGCGACTTTCGTTACAATTCCCAAAGTTCCTTCGGACCCAATAAATAGATGTTTCAAATGATAGCCAGTGTTGTTCTTCTTTAGCGTACTTAAACAGTCTACCACGTCCCCGTTCGCTTTTACCTGAAACGAAATGATTGAACACAGGGAAAATTGAGGAGAAGATGATGGCTCGGTTGCCAAATTTGAAAACTCACAGCTTCCAAACCTAATACGTTTCCATGAAGATTACCATAACGAAGAAGTCTCAAACCGCCAGCGTTTGTGGATACGCAACCACCGATCAGACAACTACCCTTGGCACCGAGATCAATCGGCATCATTAAACCTACAGTCGCTAAATGATTGTCCAGGTCCTCGAGTACGCAGCCAGCTTCGCAGGTCAGCACCCCTAAAGCGAATAGCCATAAGACAAAAGAAAGTTCTCATTTTTCCCAATTGATCGTTTCAAAAATGCCGGCCCGATACCTGTGACCTTGCCCTTTTGTCTGAAAAGCTCGACTTTTCCTATTTACCTGCCCAATTTCTATCTACCAACCTGCCAATTCGTTCGTTTCGATGATTTTGTTCATAAGTTTCATGGAAATAACAATCTCGTCGAAGACCGGCACGCTCCCGCCTACAAGACCTGTGTTTCCGCTCTGGGGGCATACGGCCAACCGATTGTCGTTACAATACTTTAATATGGCAGATACCTCGTTGGTGGTTTTCGGTTTCAACACGAGTTTGCTCTTCCCTGTAAGTAATTAGGTTCAATATCACGTAACTTAAGTACTACATCTGCATTTAAGTCGATTCTCTTCCCAACTCACGATGCTTATGAATGCATCGCGAAAGGTGGAAAACTCATTTGTTAAAAAATCTACGCGAAACATGATTACTATATAGACATGTCATTGTAACGTCAAGCGAATCCAGTTTAAAAGAAAATTTCATCGGGAAATTCGAAAAATCGTCAGGACACGCTATTTCCGCTTACCTCTGACGATCTTCGAGTGATCTATATTGTATCCTTCGCATTCATCTGCATCCGTGATCACTCTATTTCGTCCAAGTAACTCGTCGAAGTATGCTACGTGATTATTGGAAATATTCGCGTAGGGACCTCTCTTCACGTCATATCTGTCCGCCGTAAATGCCGGTTTCGTGGAACAGAATCGAAATTTCGGACATCGTTGAAATTTCCGTAAGAAAGTTTGAATAATCATATTCTGCAAAAGATTTTTACGATCGATACAAATCCATCGGACCGGTGTTATCAGCGTTGTTTCTTGTATCTACGAAAAGATACGTTCATTGCGAGCGCACGAATCTCTTCCGGTGTCGCGTGAGTCTGCTACTTCCGACACCGTATTCCATGATTTATCGGTCAATTAATCCCCGTGAGAAACACCCAAAATCTCTACCTTAATTTTTACGGCTAAGTTACATTTTAACCACGTTTCTATTTGTGGTTGAATAAATTTAATAATACGACTATTTTTATTCAACGTGGCTAAGGTTCGTAGATGGCGGAGTCTAATTGAAACCGAGTATTCCTGTAACTCGGTCAAAAATTCAAAGGATAGAAATAACCACAGGAGATCCTCAATTCACGAATATCAGTTTGCGATTAATTGAAATTTTTACCACATCGAGTATCCATTTTGTGCTACACATTAGAACAACGTATAGGTTGTAATCGTGCTATTGAATGATATTATTTGATACTGTCATATTAAATGATTACATCGATATTTTTATATATATCGTTCGTTACTTTATAACATGTAAGTGAGTGTCGTATACGTGATTTATTGTAACGTGAAAAAGGTAGCATGCCAATTCCTAGGAATGATAAGGAAAGTGAGGAAAAGAAAATCAAAGAGAATGTAAAGAACAGGGGCAAGATGAAATTTCGTGACTGTCAAGTGATCGTGGTAGCGTGGCAAAAACCAGGCGTGGCGTAATTACGTGCCCGGGGCTGCTTCCATTTTCTACACGCTAATTCGCCTCTGATGCCCGATCGACGGACATCGAATATTATAATCCACAATGAATGTTGATGGGTAACTCCCCTCCTCCTTATGCACGTCCCCCTCTCTGCCCCCTAGTCGTTCAAGAGGATTCGCGGCGACGCGTGGTAGAATTACAATTCTACGGAGCGGTGGGGAAAATAAGGTCATGGGTAGAGGGGTCGAAAGAGTGAAGAGAGAAGACGAAAGAAAAAGAGAACGAATCGACTGACAGAGATGCAAATTCATCGTGGTAAGAGGGAAGAGGAGAACACGAATGGGAAACAGAGAAGCCAATAAGAGATTGGAATGGGAAGGGGACCAATCGTTGCGATGACTAATACAGTCTACGTTTTTGTATGTACACGCGAACTTGATTGGTTGTGTGGGTTGGCTTGCATGAAAGCACGACACTTTCTTTCTCAACATATGTATACGATCGCGTGTCTGTATCAAACAGAGAGTGAACACAAAGGAAGTTAACTACGAACACATAGAAACGAAATGCACGTACGTATAAAGGAACGTCGATATAGATGTGAGATGTCGCTATATTGAAACGCAGGATACGTAGCTATGAGTTTCTAAGGAAGAACGCATGCGCGACACAGCCAAGGAGTAAAGCTAATTTCTCAGTGGCGGCTCGAATCATTAACTTGTTACCTTGGCAACCCCGGTCGACCTAAACCATTGGCTGTTGCTTCCCCCCACTTTCCCTTTGCACGCTCTATCGGTCGAACAACAAACTACACGCACCGCCACACTCCTTCGCGGAATATCGTAATTTTCCTAACCTTGCGTGAACAGGACTATAGACTGTCGCTGTTTCACTCGACCCACACAATCATATGACAGAATATGCAGTTGTATATGTTAGACATGCCACCGTAGGGACGCGGTTGCTGGGATTGGCGCGACCACGACTCTTCCTACCCTCGAAACATTCTACTGTCTCGCTCTTTGTCGAAATCCATGACTGGTATTAGAAGATGACCGCTAAATCTACTACATTTCGTACCTTACGATAGTTCTTTCTCAATGTTTTGTTTCAAATAACGTAAACTATTAAAAATGTATAGCAACACGTGTATATGTATACATAATAAATACAATAGAATCAAGGTATACGTAGCATTAAAAAATAAATAAATTCAGAAGAAATAGACGGTGTTAGTTGGTGATACTTGCGATGAAAGCTAATGGATTAAATTTAAATATAACGACAATGAATATCTCGAACTTATAATCGATACTAAACAGAAATTATTACAATATAATACAGGATACAGTAGTAAATCATTCAAATCACAATTTCAGCAATTTAAATCGTATATAAAATAATGTAATGTTTATACGTTTAATTGAATAAACATTTCATTCTTTAACTAAAAGGAATAGTATCATATTTTACGAATAGATATCCATCATATAAAAGCAAGAAACCAGTGGTAAATGAAGTCGCATTACATGGTTTTGAACAGGACAGTATGAAGCTCAACTTAGAAACAGCTGTGCCAGGAACGTAGCGCACATTCGCGAAATTGGATCGAAAAGAACCCAAAATTGAAAAATTTACAAATATTGTTATTTTTTTACATATACATATATCTTTAAATACACTTATGCAAAAATTAATTTAATTATTAATTTTGTACATACGTTTTACTTAATGTTATTTGTACAATTAGATTTAAAAAATTTCAATATTTGATCCTTCTTAATTTATTACGCCAAACTACTATATAATTACTATAAATTACCAAAAAATAAATCTATTTTATTGAATTTTAAAGCTATTTTTTCATATTTAAAATATCATTATCAGGATCTTATATATTTATTTTATGCCAAAATAATCTGACAATTGTAATAAAGAAGAAAATACTTACAAATATTGTAATTTAGTTGCTTTGATGTGTTTGATCAAAATGTATTAAATAATGTAGCGGTACTGGGTTATATTTTCGTTTTGTATAATATCATTTTGTACCAAAAATAATATATTAAAATATACAATTTAAAAAATGTATATGAGATGTAACATAAGAAATTAATATAAAATGTTTATTCTTTTTACTATTAAATATGCAACAGAGTTATATAAATGTAAGTTAATAATATATGATACTTATTAATACCTGAGATTTTAATACAATTGGAGACAGAAAATAATAAAGTTTAGGAATATTATAAAGTGCAAGGGGAGAACTATGTAAGTAGATTCGTCCCTGACAGTATCGTGAAGTTATACTGCGAAATATTCTGCAGACTATAATCACGTATACGTGCATCACAGGGCATATAATTGTGTTAGTGAGAAATGTATGAGTGTAGAGTAAGAGTATGAGTACCGTTACGGGGCATGCGCCTGCAGCCACCATATCCAATGGCCCCGCCTTTCACGGTGCAAACGATGCCTTTGGGATTTGTCCTCGCTGGACCAATGAGCGTACGAGTCTATCATATGCGACGGGAGAGGTGAGGTTATGAAAACCGACGTGGAAGGGAGCAGACAGGAAGAAGGGCAGTGAGGGGAGGGAGAATCGAGAGAAGCGAGGGGTTCCGCAGATCGTGTGGGAGCAGGGAAGCAGACAACGAATGCGACTACGATTGCTTACGAAACCTTGCGACGTCAACGTCTAACAAAACTTTATTTAAAACATTTGTAGTGCTTTTTAAAAACAAATGAAATACAGACGTGTAGGATTAAAAGTTTGTTCAAGCTTATAGTGAAATTGTGTAGTGACAGTGTCTACGGCGTGTTCGAAAACGTGATAGGTGTGACTGCGCAGTCGCCATGTGAGTACCTGAACAAGTATCTAAACTCTATGCAATATCGTGTGCCTCCAATATTTTTAATTTATCAGTTATATATTGCTAATAATTCAATGGTCACATTATATTCTACGTAACATTTAATAATTACCAACAAACAACAAATACACAACACTCTTTGCATTATGTCCCGCCGGATCTTCGAACGTGCTTTATTTTGTAATCCAATATGTCGGCGTTAGGGACGCTGTTCGGTATTCACCGAGATAAAGTTCCTTTATTGTACGTATTATCATTTTTTGATAAATAACCATTGAATAGACAATTCCTAAACAACCGCGTGTGTTGTTATTCTCATTATCGTCGTTATTACCATTATGGCGAAATCCATGTTGTCAACCGCCCCCTGGTACGGTCGCTTCTCCCCTTCTCTTATTTTTCTTTCCCCCTTCCTCCTACTTTACCCTACAACCTGCCTTTCAATCGTATTTCCCGCTCAGAGAGATATATGCCCTCTTTCTCTTTGAACCCCTTATCCAACTACTAATTATGGTGCTAGTAAGACGACATTTTGTTCCTATCTAAAAACCAAGATGGATCATATGTTTTCTGTTCATCGATACTTTGATACTTATGCATGAATACAGATTTCTTCTTTACCATCTGAAACGTTTAAACTGTTTTAACTCATTAAATGTTTTTATATTTTTTGAGATACTATATGTTTCCTTTTTACTAAATTTATCTACGAACTAATTTGTATAACGCCAAGTCGTATAGAGTAATAGCAACCAAATATACATAACTTAATATACTTTCATAATGTTTCAAATTATTACTTATCCAATATTTGAAAAATAAATAATTTCATACGTCTAATTATTATCTGTCCTTAAATTATTGCAATTTTTAAATATAATGCATATGAGAAACTTCAAAAAGTATACAAAATTATAGGTTATATAAATATTATTAATATTGATTCTAATTTCATTTTATTCCATTTTGTTAGATATTTTAAGTTTAAAAAATCAGTGAATAACAAAATTTCATTCGAAAATTGCTATTTTAAATAACGTATGTACACATACAATTTGTTTTCAGAATAGAACATTGCGTTGTGATGCTGTTATGTCAATATGTAATGGAAATATTTTCATGATTTTAAATTTATATTTTAATATATATTTTAGTTATTATTATTGTAACTCATGCAATTAAAAATATAATGATTTTTAATAGTGACTGCTATTGTTTAGTACCTTTATATTGTATGTATGATATACATATTATTTAAGGTTATCTATCACGCCCAAAACTATTAAACTTTGTACACAAAATAAGTAATATGTATTATATATCAAATAAGTCATTAATAAAAGGATTTTATATTTTATTTGTAGTAAATTGTATATTTTAATATATAAGCACACCAAATATTATAAATTAACTTTTATGTATATTGGTACTACGCAAAATAATTTTTTATATCTTGAATATGCAACAGTTAATTATTTATTGTAAAACACTTACATTCTTAATTAATATTTACACCGTCACCCACTTTTACACTTGATTATTGTTTCATATAATAATACTTAAAGAAAATTTAAATTAGACCTCACTACATTCCACGTGTATGAATATTATTAAGGTTATGGACAATAAACATTGCGTAATTTTTTTTTACATTCTTATATCAAATATACTACAGTTTATGCACTATTACATTAATTGATAGAGTATATTGATATATAACTATTTTACTATTTTTGGAAAAGTTGTAAAAATGTATATTAAATTTTTAGTTCAAATTATTGTAAAATTTATGTTATAATACATATTTGTCTTAAATATATAAAATTCAATTAGAAATAAATTGTATAATATGTAAATAAATGTTCTAAATATAATGTAAATCTACTATATATTTATGTGTTTATGAGTATGAAGAACTTTAATTTGAAAAAATTTCTTTTTTAGGTGCAGTAAATTTAAAAGATTAAAAGTGACATTTTAATAAGCAATCTATATAAGATGGCAAGGAAAAAAGACATTGAATTGCTAACAATATAAGAGTGGGAAGAATACTTCTTAGAGGAAGTTTAGCTTCGAATAACGAAAAGGTTTAAGAAAACATGACAGATGTTAAACCAATTGGAATCTCTCAAAATCAGCCACAACAAGCACAACAACAGTCTCAACAGCAACAACAACAAACCCAGCAGCAACAGCAACAAACTCAGCAGCAGCAGCAACAGCAACAACAAGCTCAATCACAACAAATGATGATTGCAACCCATGATATTCAACAACAGCAAAATGTACAGCAGCAACAACAGCATGTTCAGCAACAACCATCTCAGCCACAACAAGTACAACAACAAGGACAGCAACAAGTACAATCTCAACAAGTTCAACCACAACAACAAATTCAACAACAAGTGCAATCACAGCAACAAATGCAGGTGCAGCAGCAAGTACAGCAACAAGTGCAACAGCAAGTGCAACAACAACAACAACAACCACAGTCTCAGCAACAGCAATCAAGTAGTGGACCACACAGTGTTGTTCCTACTCAAGTACAGGTACAGCCACAGGTAGCAGCAATTATGCCCCAGCAACAGGTAAAAATTTGTATAAAGATATGTTATTACAGAGACAACATCAAGAGCTTAGAAATTTTTATTATGAAAAATAAAATATTCCAGGGTGCTGTTGCAGTATCAATGCAACATCAACAACAGGGCGTTGGAGGTGTATCTATGACTTTATCTGGGCAACAAGGAGCAACAACTATTACTACCATGGCTGCACATCCACAAGCAGTGCAAGTAATTCAACAACCTATGCAGAATCAAGCATATCATTTACAGCAACTTTATAATACCCAAGGAACTCCATTGTTGATGCCAGGGAATTTAGCTCTCCATCCAGCTGGCATAAATCCTTCTTCTATACAGGTACTTAAATATATTCGTGATCTTTACTACTGTTAAAGTACATAAATCTCTTTCTAAGTAGGATACTTTACAGGTCATTACTGCTGGAAAGCCATTTCAATCTGCTGCCCAGTTAACACCGCATATGTTAACTACTGCATCAACACCAGGTCAAGGAGGTGGTCATCCAGCAGCTGGAGGAACTAAAGTTCAAGGATTTCCTACAGGTTATTTACCAGTACCTACTTCTGCAACACCTGGTGCAGGACAAACTCTGGTATTTGGTCAACTTGGTGTATTGGGTTCTCCACAACCACCACCGTCTATACAACAACAGCAGCAGCAACAATCTGCAAATAAACAAGATCAAGTACAAAAGGTATCATATTTTAATTTTAGTCTGGAATATATATTTATTAATCCTATACTCAGTTTATATCTTATACAAGTGTATTTCTAAAATGTGTAGTATACTACGTGTACAGCGGCTACTCCATCCGGCGGACGAGGTGGTATGCAGTTTGCTCCTTGGCAATTTACACCACAAGTTGCTTGGACTGGAATACAGCCACCAGCACTTTTAACTAATCAAATATTTATTAGAGGTCCTAGTCAACCTGATATGTTTATACAAAGTCCACAACCAATTCAAGCTCATAATGGTCAGTTTTACGCATACATTGAACATATTTTTTTTTCCTCCTTTTATATTTTACATTTTATGAAATTTTACATTTTCAATCAAATTAATTTACTCTATTATACTTGGTTAGCACTAGCTACGCAACAACAAATTCAGGGAGTACAACAAATTGCTGCAGCTAGTGGGAAACCAAAGGTAATGGATATACAACAACAGCAACAGCAACAGGGTAAACAGAGTACAGGTGGACAACGACCTTTGAGTATTTTGCCGTCCTCGTCACTAGCAGTACAAGCTGCTAATATAAGAGCTGCCAGTTCTGTTTCAACACAAACTGTTCATGGAGTACAAGCTACGGTACATGTACAGGTTACTATAATTAGTGTCAACAATTGGGAAAGTGATTTCAATTGCTGTAATTTCCGAATCACATGTAAATTATAAAAGCTTCTTTCTGTTTTTGTATAATGAAGAAATTTTTTTTTATGTTTTATAACTTAGAGTGGAAAAGGAAGCGGTAGTAGCGGTAAAAGTCGTGGTAAACCACTACAATCGCCGCAACAACCACAGCAACAGTCACAGCAAACGATGCAACAACAACATCAACAGGTTTTTATTCAACAGAAACAGCACACACAGCAGCAACAGCAGATGCAACAGCAATATCAACAACCACAAGTGCAACCATCACAACAGCAAATACAACCTAAACCAATAATGAGTAAGATGACCTTTCATATATTAGCTACAAAAAGGTATGGGTATTTTAATAACAGTCAAATTTTTGATTATTTTTCTTACAGCAAATATGGCTCTACAGCAACAACAACAACCAGGAGTAGTTCTTGGTGGCGAACGTCCGATTATGCCTGTAGTTTCGGTGAGCGGAGTTGGTGTTGCTACGTCTCAAATGAATCAAGTACAACAGTCTCCTATGTCCGCTGTACAACAATTACCGTTACAGGTATTAAACGTTGCATTTATTTACAATAAGACTTTTTAGTTCAATTACTATATTATCAACTATTATTTTTGTCATGTGATATAATTTTTCTAGGCGATCAATTCGACAATAATTGGTAGCCAAATAGTTAGTGGTACATCGCAAGTTCAAACAATGTCTATGATAAATCAATCAACAGATCAGCAAACACATGATAATAATTCGGCAATAATGATCACGTCACCTGATCGTAATCATCAAGCTGAATGTTCTTTAGTATTACCATCTACTGTAAATACCACAGCAGCAAATGAAGAAAACTCTAAATCAATATTAAAAAAAGAGGAATCATTACCAGTTACAATAGAAGAAATTACAATATCTCAACCCGAAACGACAGGTTCGTTCATAATTTACATTACGGTGATATGTAATAAATATATGCGTGTATTTTTTATGTGCATCTCATTCCATTGTTCTAGACGGGGACCAATCTAAGGTAGTTATAAAAGAAGAAGAAAATTCATCAATAAAACTGGAAGAAAAACCTTGTAGTAATCCTTTAGCAGGACTAGCAAATACAATTAATTCTATTACGAACGGTGTCAACAATGAAGACTCAACAGCAATTCCTGTTTCTATATCAGTTAATGCAAACAGTAAACATGTGCCTCCAAAAGCAATGGTCAAACCTCAAGTCCTTACACATGTAATTGAAGGTTTTGTCATTCAAGAAGGTACAGATTTAATATTTGATATATTTATTATTAGAATATTATCAATAGATATCAACACATTGATTCATATTTAATTAATTTGAATATTTTAGCATCTGAACCATTTGCTGTTAATCGAACGTCATTAAATAATACAGTTAATCAAGAAACAAGTAATATTTTAAATCGTAATAGTAATTCATCCTCTGAAAAAGAAAATCACGAAGAACCTCCAAGTAAGAGATAAAAGATTTAATTTGCCTTTTTAATACATAATATTGTACTGTAAAATGTAAAATACACTAAATACATATTATATTGCAGGAAAGAAACATGCACCAAATTATCCCAATGATGAGGATATGAATAATGTTCACATTGGAAAATGTGAAGCTTGTGGTAATTTAATAGATGAACAAAACACTAAATTTAAAAAAGAAAAACGGTTTTGTTCTTCTGGATGCGCAAAAAGGTTAGTAAAATAAGTTATTTCACAACCACTTATTAAGGACGTATAAAAATATAAGTTGTTAATACCTTGAAAATTATAAACTATAATAAATTTTCAATCAAACAGTAAGAAACGAGAAGTAAGAGATCGTGATGGTACTGAAAAACAGTGGACTGATATAGAGACTGAATCAAAAAGTGACGGAGATATAAAGAAAAATGGAGAAGAAAAGTCATTATCTACTACAACTACTAGTTCTTCTATTGATGAAACACTGCCAAAAGTTAATCCTGTAAAATGGACGGTAAGGAAACACGCATATGAATGTACTGAAAATAAAAATAGCCAATATATGTAATTGAAAATTTCTAATTTTTCTTTTCTTTTAGGTTGGTGAAGTGTGCGATTTTATACGCGGATTACCGGGGTGTGCTGACTACGCAGAAGATTTTGCTATTCAAGAAATAGATGGTCAAGCACTTATGTTACTCAAAGAAGACCATCTTATGTCGGCTATGAGTATTAAATTAGGTCCTGCACTGAAAATCGTAGCCAGAATCGATTCAATGCGTGTGGAATCGTCAAATTCTAACCCCACATCTAATAGTTCGTAAATGTTTATCATTTAAGATTTTTACTCGCAGAATTTCAAATTGCAGCCTATGGGCTACAGGGTTTGTGCAAGTATTTGATCAGGTCATAGAATTAAGATGTTTAAGAAAAACATGAGATGTTTTTATTCAAAAACAAATATTTGTTTGTTTTTTTTTTTTCCTCATATTGTTTGATAAAATTGTTCCTTTTTGTAAATGGGACAAAGTATTGATTATTAAGATTCAGTACTTGAAATTCTATAATTATAATTTAAAGATCGATCTACATAAGACTAAGTTTCGTACTATTTTGTTGGTATACAAAGTAGCTATATAGATACTTCGGATAAAAACATAGTGTTTATTTAATTTTTTAAGTTTAATGTATTATATTGACAATATATACATACACATACAAATCCACTTCATACAGTAAGTCTTACACCGATTGCTTTTTACAAATGTAAATAGAATTAAATTTGTGACTTTCGTAGTTTAAAATGTATGTATATTTGCTTTTAAAAGTTTTTCTAAAATATTGCTGTTTGACTAGTATGATCAAGAAACTGAGTACAAATTATGTCTATTACACAAGAAAAGATAAAATGTATATAAAGTATCCGGCATATATATGATGTATTTTGTACTCGAAAATTCCTTTTGGAAGCTGTATAAAAATTATTGCCTTCTGTAAGACTTACAATAATCTCGAAAAATATCCGGCATTTTTAAAACGGTTAAGCTTTGTGACAAATAGCAATTTCTGTGCAAGACAATTTCAAATTGGAATACAAACTATTTGAAACAATGCGAAAACACTTTTGACCATGTACTACTTTGTAAATGTATCATGAGCACTCAACTTACATACGTGTAAATATTAAACATAAAATGTTTATTTAATATACAAATTTTATAACATAAAATTTTAGTTGTTAACAGTAATTATCCTTCCAATTAGAACAAATGATTTTGAATTTAGTAATAATACACCCTAAGTGTAAAAAGATATATATTTTAATTATTTATATAAAATATGTCGATTACAGAGTGAGATATTATTTTTAATTTAATATAACATTCTGTAAATATTGAATATATTCAACAAAATGAAATTAATACGAATGTATTATATCATTATTTACTATTTATTATTATACCTTATAATATAATATAAGAATGTAAATACAATATTTAATCTTTAAATATTTATTTAGTAAATTTATTAATTTTGCATTTAATACTGTAGAGACTGACAATTATCATAACAAATGTATTTCAAAATTAATATTTTAACAATGAAATTGCATTTATAAAATGTGCAGTACTTTCATATTATAACTTACACTTAATTTCTATTTAGAGTAATAAATAGATACAAATCAATTACAAACAAATTACAATAAAAAGATACAAATTAATTATGATGTAATTAGATAAAGATATAAATTGCATTTGTTATTTGAAAATTACTCAGGGCATAATCACATATATCTTTTTATATTGATTTGAATGGCATTTAAGTAACAAATGTATATTATTGTGATGACATTCAAATAAATTAAATCTTTGAAAATATCAAAAAATTTTACCATAAATATACTTCATTCCCCTCTATTGTAATCAATGTAATTATAAAATGTAATAATACTCCCTAAAACAAATACAAACAAATTCGATGACTAAAAACAATTCTTTTTTTTTTTAAATTATTTATTACAACTTACATACATACATTTTTATATTTTTACATTTTAAATAGCAATATTTTTATATTCTCCTTCTGCTAATAATTCTTTATTACTTTCCAATTTCATTTCTTTTCTTAATGGTCGTACATGGCGAAAATATCTGTATATTTCGAATACTAAAATTCCACTAAGGAATATTGTAGAACCCATTAAGGTATATACAACTCCTCTATGAAGTTTATCTAAAATATAACTTTTTTTTTTATACTTTGGCAACATTTTGTATTAATATTTTTATTTTGTATTAAAATTGGTCTTCAAAATCAATAAACCTAGAAACATTTAAATATTATTACAAATTACGTAATTGAAAAATATTTAATAAGTTTAATATAATTTATAACATAATTTATAACATTACATAATTTATAATGAATATCTGATAAAAAAGAATAATGTATTATAATTTTCCAAAACTTCTTTACTTTTATTACTTACGTATTTACCAAGCTTTTCTGTTTGAGGTTAAGAGTATATTTCAGCGTTCCTTGTCGAACTGCGAACTTAAACTCAGCTAACCCTTATGTATAAAATACATAATGATACTTTTCCCATAAATCAAATGTGGTGATAACTTAAATTTATTGTCAAAATTAATATAAATTTAAAATACTTAATGCACTTCACGATATTTTATATTTTATCTTATTTAAATTAGGAATATAGATTTCTAAGATATTTCTAAAAGTTACCTGCTATTTCTTATACAATTTATACACATTTTTACATAGTTATTTATTACATATTTCTAATTTTAATGTATTTAAAATAATTCTAATAACATTATTGTCTTAATAAAAAAGATATATTTTTAGTTTTTTAAAAATTCATTAAATATTGTTGAATCTACATCCAGAACTATCTCATCCAAGGAAGGTCCTTGTTGTGTCACTTGTAATTCTAAAATGGAAACCAACTTTATTGCATTGTCTTAAGGATTATGTTTTTTTATGATTTTTCTATCTTTAAAATGAACAAACTTGATATGGATCCTGTTGCTTTGTACTCCTTAAGTTCTTCTTTAAAAACTTCTTCAAATGTTTCTCGTCTTTCTTTCATCATTTTCTGTTGTTTAAGTTCATATTTTGATACCCTTTCAATATGTTCATTGGCCAATTTTGCTAAATTTCATATATATTTTTATTGTATTAATTTTATATTAATATAATCAGTAGCAATACTTTTAATACTACATAATTTACCTTTAATAACATCTAATTCTGCAAGCTTTTTCTCTTTATATAAGGCTAATTGAAATCTGTGATCCAACTGTCTACTTTGCAAATCTAACATTTCATTTAGATCTTCTAAGCGATATATTGCACTTTCTACTTCTTCAAACGTTTCTTGTAAGGTTCCTATAATATTATAAATTACATAAATTAAATTTTTAATATTTTTAATAGTAGAATTCAAAATGTATTTAAAATATTAATACCTATTTGGTCCATAAGATCTTGTATTGCATTGTTGATTTTTGGAATGTAAGCTAAAGTACTATTTAAATGGGTGATATTTTTCCATTCTTGTTCAAGTTTTCCATAAATAGTTCCAATCAATTTATCAGCCTCTTGGGCTTTCCCTGCATTTTCTTCTGCAAGTTCATGTAATTCATTCCATTGTAATTGAAATCTATGCAAGATATCAGCTCCTGCATTATAATTAACATTTCTGATATTACTATTTTTTTTTTGTTTTGGGTTATCAACAACAGTTAATCCTCTAATACTAAAATAATAAAAATAAATATAAAACACACATCAAATATATAATAACTTATCTATAACCATATATTTTATTTGTATAAAATTAGAAATAAAACATTTACCTAGCTGATATACCTTCTTGAACTGTTTGAAATTTATTACGTAAAGTAGTAAACATGATTATAAATTATTCTATTATATATTTATAATTACAATGTTATATGTAATTAAACAATTTCAAGTTAGTTAATGTTGTGGCATGAACTATTAATAAAATTTAGTGCAATATGCTTTCTACAGACATAATATATTATTAAGCATATCATGATCATATAAAATCTGTCTTTTTGTTGACGCATTCATTAGTCATGAAAACTATTTATAATAATCTTCATGATTTATATAAAAATAATCACTTATTTAGATTAAAAACTTTCTAATTTAGAATACAGACATAAAGTATATATAACATATATCAGACAATATTAATAGTGGAAAATTATTATAAATATTAGAAAAGTATTAAAGTAACCTGTTCTTAAATGTCACTAATAATAACTTATTTATTCTTATTCACGTGGTATTGGTTGTAGAAACAAAAACCTTACAGAGTAATTGCTGATTAAAATGTATTATTTTTTAAATAATAATTCTAAATGTTAATTTTAAACACAATAATTACGAAGTTAATTAAATTACATATAGTTTAATGAACAATTTAGTATTTATCACTTTATTAATGATTTTTGGCTAAACCAAGTATGTAATTGGTTTATGTCTTTCTTAATTAAAATACATTGTTTGAAGTTTAATGAAAAATATAATAACACTGCGCAATCTTTCTTTAAGTTGGCAACACTGATATATGATTACCTGTAAGATATATACATATTTGATTGAAAGTAATAACTATTTTCCATATTATAATAGTTGTAGAGGACACTTTGACTATTATATAATTTTAACATGAACTTTTAAAATATTGAAAATAATAATAATTGTTTATATACTGAATAAATTAATTAACGCATAATATCCCGATAATATTATTTATACCTAATAAAAGATATAATTTATATATATAAATTTTTGATTATTTATCAGGTGTTAAAAATTGTAATGGCTTACTATATTCAATACTATGGAGAAATTAAAGAAGAATTGTTGATTAAATTAAGATAAAATGCTTTTGTTATGTTTATAATGAGTCCGTGTTTTTGACTAAGAAATTAATTACATTAGATTTTGATCATATATGTATTTTCGACATGAAACAATTTGGCAACATCGCTAAAGCTTAACTCCCTCCCTTTAACAATATGACTGGTGCCTAGCAACCAGTGAGGTCAACAAACGAGGTCAAATTGCAAATTACCTGTAAAAGGAAAATCAGTAAATAGATCTAATAAAATGATATATTAAATTAATTCTAATTTTAATGTTAACTGAATGAGAAAAGAAGACAATAAAGTTCATAACTATTAGTACCAAAATAAAACTATAAGTAGTTGATAGTGAAGTGATACGATAATTTAAATATGATAAATATTTTAGTCTAAAAGAAATCATTTAGAAATATTTTTATGTTTTTGACATACAATATTGAATTCATGTGTTTATAAATGTAAATTGTATTTAAAACAAAATGAATTTAAAAGGAAAGAATATATATATACATAAATATCGTTTTTGTCTTTTAGTTAATGTAATTGATAATATAATTCTTATATAATGTAAATTTAAATAATTGGAAATAAAAAAGAAGGGTTCTGTGTTTGTAAAGTCTACAAATAAAACAGCTCTTGTAGAGATACATGGCGGAACCGCAGGACTGGATGGAGGTATACCCTGTGTTGCCAAGTTTTCCTTTACTTGCGTGTTCAATTCCAAAATATTTTGTACGATGACATCAATGATATAATCAGGGTATAATATAATCATTATAATGAACTCTTAGCATAAAAGATTGTAGATTTATTAATATGTTTGTTTGTAAATAATTCATTTTATTTTTTCTATTTTCTATGTTATAAATACATGTTCAAATGTTAATATAAACCTTCTATTTATATCGATATGATTATGTTAGCTTCCATTTTTTTAATTCAAAAAGTGATTCTTGATGAGATAATCTTTAAAGCATTTAAGTACTAATTAAGCCACACAGGAGAAAAGCTTCAACATTTTAGAATTACAGGTTCTTCCGTTAATGACCTTGAACAAGTTCGTGAAGTCCTGTTAACCAAAGTCTTCATTGAAATCTTTATCTTTTTCTATCCCTACCACACACGCAATGAGCATAACTTGAGCAAACCTTGTCAGAAGTTCGAGCTTAGAAAGTTGTGCGCAACTCGCAGTGAAACCAGATTTGTGGGAGGAGATGTTGGAGAGGGAGGAGTAGTCAGGGATGTTGGGTCAACGTACGTATCCAAGTATCCCCTTTCTCCTTGCATCAAGTTAGACCGCTACTATATCGTGGTGAACTCGTCTTCTCCATAAAGACGATTACCTTTCTGCGCATATTACCATGACTACGGCGCACACTACTAGGAGTTGCCAACCAAAGGACGAGGAGTCCATGGTAGGGATGAAATCAATAGTCAAGTATTCCGTGGAATGAGAATGTCAACTTATATTTAACCATTCAACTGCTTGCTTGAGTTTTATTCATCGTAAACAAAGCGATAAAAATAGTTGAGGTTAAACCTTCAATAGGACAGTACTTATTCCTTATATCTTTCTTATGTAAAAAACATATTAAGGATAATATGTAACTACATAAACAATAATTTATGAACATAATTGACTATTTTGTTGTCATATTACTCAATACAGTCACAAATATACTACAGAAAATCAATACAAACAAATATTAAGTACATATGAAAATTTATAAAATCATTATCATTAATACCTACAATAAATGAATGCGAAATTTCATTTGAATCAAATATAAAATTTTAAACTCGAGTTGTTTGAGTATCTGTAGAAAACTGTACAGAACCTGTTACGATCAATAGATGCCAGATTCGGTCGTTTTCGACATGTTCCGTTAAGTTCCCCTACTATATTCGTTCCTGTCGGCCTCCAACCATTCCTGCCACGCCTTGTTCACATGTATTTTCCCGGCAAAACCGGTTATTTCAGGTATGCTTTTTGATGCACGCTTTTCCATAGAAAAACTGCACGCAAAGAAGTTTTCCTACTATCGCATCAACATCGAATCCTGATTTTTTACTTGATTGAAAATGTTAAATTATAAACTTGATATAATATATTTGGTTAGAATATATTACAATATAAATAAAACAATAAAATGCGCTTCAAATTATACAATTTTAGAATAAACAATATATGTCCATAATAAACTATAACTATAATTTAAAATACAAAATTAAAATGCATATGAATAAATGTACGTATCTTTTATGAAAATGTATACAATTTGAATAATTTCAATATAAAACTGTAATAAAATATCATACCAAAATATAATGATTGCCATACAATCAATAAAACCATAAAAAATTGTGAATGCAAATAGTCAGCTACACAGTAGAATTTAGGTACACTGGTTGATGGCTGGCAATTGGATAGTTAACGTCGACGATTTTGTTGGAGAATTGTATGGATTAAGAGACAGCGTGGAACATTCGGGGGATAGTAAAGAGAATAGAAGGAAAAAGAAATAGTAGAAGTTAGAAAGATAGTAATAACAAAAAAAAGACAGAATAAGAGAATCAGTTAATGAAAAAGGAAAGGAAAGAGATGGTCTGTTAATAGAAAATGAAAGGAAAAGCTGGGATAGACAGAGAACGAGAGGAGAAAAAGAGTTTCACAGTGATGTTTGAGTTGCGCCTGCGTCGGCAGTACTTGCTATGAGCGGATTGGCTCCCTACTCATACTTGAGTGCATGTTAGGTTGACTTAATTTCAATTCGGGCTCGTTCTCTACTTCTCCCCTCCCTTTTTAGTTCCAACATATATTTCGGTTGGTTTCTTTTGTTTTATTGGGTTTTACTTGAAGGGCATACCAGATATCGTAATACACATTTTATATATTCTGAATAACTACAAACATGCGGCGAGAGTGAACCCTTTTTATCTTTGATAAAGAAGATGTGACGATAGAGGTAAAAAGATCGAGGAAGAGACAAAGAGAAAGAGGGACAGAAGGGAGAGGAACGTGCGCGCGAGAGAAAGAGAGAGAGAGGGAGGGAAAG